CTGCCCTACGAGCTTTATACCCTAACCCTGCCCTGCCCTACGAGTTTTGTACCCTAGCCCTATCCTGCCCTGCAGGGCAGGGTAGGGTAGGGTAGGACAAGGTTGACCTGCAGGACTCTAGTGAATTGCAACTTTTTGGTACAATTCATGCGAACAGATGAAAGTGAGCCTATGCAATTTTTGAGTAGTGCATTTTATCACAATCTATGCCAGTAGTGCGCAAAAAATATTTCCTAACACTTGATCGATTATTAACGGAAATATGGCCCTTTTATAAATGTATGACTTTTTCTACTTGTGGGTGATTCCATACGTAAGCAATCACACTTTGAAAGTTCAAAATTTATATATAGCAGAAATCAGTACACGATCATAGATGGAATGGTCGATGTAGTTGTCACGAAAAATGAAAATTTTTTTTATCCACCTGCAACCCTGGAGGGGAGTACAGCAATTTCGAAATAAAAACATTTTCATTTTTACGGAGAACCATGTTGACGATTAAATCTGGAATCATGTCTTAATTCGTGCTAGGTACGAATTTTTGAATAAAAATGTGAGCTAGAGAATAGTGCGCTTTTTTATGTTTATGTTGAGTAAATTTTTTCGAAAAAACCGTTCACATCTTGAACATTTTCGCTTTTGAGGTCATCATTTTTTTCCAAAATGGTACTCTATGATCGCTTCCCACTTAACTATGTCGAAAAAAATATTTTTGAATGAGCCGTACTGAAAATATTCGCGAAAAATTGTCATTCTACATGTCTCAGTATAATGTAAATTTCTCCGGAATAGAAGATGATTCAGGGCTGAAATTTTTATCATTGATAGACCTTGTTAGTTTATATCTTGAGTAAAAATTTAAGTCTAATCGCACTAATCGTTGAAGAGTTATAAAGCATCCAATTTTCAAATTGCCATTCTACAAAGTGAGTATAATGACCTTCTTTCAGAAAGTCTTACCATTTTGTTACTCAAAGAGTTGTCTTTCCTTTCGTATAATCTCTGCTATGTATATATATATACCCTGGAAAAAATAAGTTTCACTCTGTATTTTTGAGGATATTGTTACCAAAAGAACATTTTTTTTTAAAAATAACGACATATTCTGAAAGCCCATGAAATTTTGCACCATCCTGTGTAGATTCATTTTCATTTACACCTTTTTTTACCAGAGAAAAAAGAGTTATGATAAAGTACAAAATAAATTTGTGGAAAATAATAAGCAATGAATGCTGATTATCAGGACAATAAAAGTAGGTTGAAATCTTTTTGGGAACTCATGTCCGTAATCTGAAATGTCTCTTTTTATTATGAGAAATAGCATTTGTTTTTTCAAAGTTTATGATCTACTTTATTGTTATTTATCGATTTGTGAAAAACTTTTACAATGATCCTCGAATTAGCGACTTATTTCAGTAGAAAAAATTACATAAGGATCTTGGCTACGATTGAACTGTTTATAACAGTTTCATTAAAACGATTTTCGAGCAGAGAAGTTAAAAAACACCAAAAAAAAATTGAACAGAAACGCTGTATGAAACGCCCTCTCTTTTTCTCATTTTTTATCGAAAATCCTATATTTTGGATAACCTTGATCCTCTAAGGATTCCTATATTTTAAAAAAAGTGTAATCGGAGGCCAGAGTGTCTGTCAAATAATGTGAACGTTGGACGAACAAGAGAATGACGTATAAAATTTAAATCCATAATATGCTTCGATAGAGTATTGAACGCTGTACAAAATAGCCTATTTAAATACTTTTTCTCTTGCTGTTCTATAGTCCAAAACTTCATTTTTCTTCTCACGTGTCAGTAAAATCTAACACTTTGTTGTCATGTTTTCCTAATAACTCAGCGACTGTATGAACTAGAGAGCTGAAATTTTGTGTGCCATTGTGACATACTAGGATCAATAACTGATGAAAACATTATCAAAATCGGCTGAGGGGAAAAACGTTATTAGAGAAATACAGCTAAAACGCAAAATCTACCAGAAAGTTGCAATTCCCTCAGGCATATCACAATTCACTCAGTTCATAAAACAATCATAATCTGTGTTTTAGCGTTACCGGAACTTCACCGGTAAGACATTTCACTAACGGTGAAAGGACACTCGCCAATGGCGAGATTCCGGAGGACCTATTGGTGAAGTTTCGGAATCCCCAGGTGACCATGTAAAATCGAAAAAACGCACATAGGATATTTCACAATAAAAAAAACAGTCTATTCACAATTATTGCTTTGTCAAATTTAGCTGTATTCTTAAAAGAAACAAAACTATCGTCAGATCTGCCGAACACTAGTATTTTCACGCCAACCAGCAGCAAAAAATGGCAGGGTAAGGGTGTCACCAGAATTTATTCATTTTTTGATGCCTTATAATGAACTATATGAATGTTATTGCTTTCTTTTAGAAGAAATTCATCATTATCATTAATGTTCAATCGAGTTAAAAATATAAGATTTCATCGTAAACTACGACGTTTCCAGAAGTATATTCGACAACATTCTACTCTAATTCTGTCCATTCTAACTATACTTATTTTGATCATAATATTTCGTGAAGAAATAACGTATCAATTATATATACGTACACTCGATGTACAACCCTACCAAAATGCTCTCACTCTATGGAGTAGTGATTATCATATAAGGCATATGAATAACTTCTATAGTTTTGTGCGTATTGAATATTTCAATGACACTTTATTTTCAAATTTTAGTCCTATTCATGATCTCAAAACTATTCTTGTACCTTTTGGCGTACAATTTTTCGATAAAAGTCTGTCATATAGTTGTCAACGAACAAGAACATGTTTGTCTCATATTCGCGTGTTAACAAACACCAATGGAATGAATTTTTCCGATCAGCTCGCTTCGGAATTTTATGAATTTTATAAAAACCAAAGGGAGATGAATTTAGTCGATGCATTTGTTTGTTTTCATCCTGTATCAATGTGTGAATTGTACATGCAATTTAATCGTAGTATGATTGTTATTTCATCAACACGGTATGAACTTGCACGATTTCAGCCTGATCAATGGATGAAATTAAATGAAAATTTGAAAAAAATTGCTCAAGATCCAAAAAATTTCGTAGCAGCCAATAATCTTTACGATGCTGAATATATTCGTTATTTTACCGGTATGAAGGTTCCAGTTTTACCCAGTCTTTGCAATTATACAAATGCTGATTACAATCCAAAGCGTTCACAATTTCTACTTGCTCCAATACACTCATTGTATTTTGATGACGTATTTAAAAAACTATTAAAGACATCTTTTAAACGATATCAGAATCATACAATTAAAATTGTGCCCATACGAAATCTCTATCCTAATTATAAATACTCTGATTTAACCAATCATCCAGCTATTATTCATGTTCCTTATCAAGTTTCAATAATGAGTGTATTTGAACAATACCGAATGAATATTCCACTTGTATTTCCATCGCTTAACCTTTTGACGAAATGGCATTATGAATATGGTGTAGTCGCTGAAAAGACTTGGGAGCAAGCTTTCAATGAGAGAAGATCGAAGAGTTCTCGTATAAAAGGCGTTCTTACGGATGTGCCCGATCCTAACAATGATTACGATCGTTCAGCAATACGATACTGGTTGAATTTCTCAGATTTTTATCAATGGCCACATATTACATATTATGAATCGGCTGATGATCTTATTTCAAAATTGATTTCAACCGATTTTCGAATGATTAGCAAGCAAATGAATGAATATAACAGACAAGTTGGCGAAAGTGTAATGAAAAAATGGAAAGAGATATTGAATAATATAAAACAATATTCAAAGAAATTTCAATAATGGAACTCCTAATAGTTGAAACAAAAAATGCAGTAGACAGTGAAAAGTCAGTCTAGTAATTTGCATTAATGTAATCCAGTTTTGAAATGTTATTAATTCTTTGGTAACAAGAAACTCATCTTTACAATTTGCATTTTTCTGGAGATGATCACAGTTCTCGATCATCTATGAAATCTCTACATATAAGGTCATTTAGAAGAGTATAGAGTGTTGTGAGTTAAATGTATCATTGGATGTTTGATCACCTATTATATTTTAAATGCTCTTCAGTTCTGTATCGGATTCGAAATTTTTCCGCGCAGGATTTCTACGTAACTTTGCGGCTTGGTAGTCTTAGAAAATTTGATAATTCTGTATAAATTCGCCTGTTTCTAATGCAGTATAGCCATTCTGTCTTGGCTCTCTTAAGAGAAATCAAAGAGTCCTGTCGCCCAGGGATTAAATATGAAGATTATGTCAGATAGTCTTGCTTTTATTTTTGTTAATTTTAAAATTGCTTCGAAATCAATAAACTTGTGCGTCGCTCATGAACAATAAAAGGTTGTACAACGGAAAATGAATGGTTCTGATTGAGTACGTCTATTAAGAATATTCTTGTTTTTTCTATTTCATAATCTCTTGTTGGGTAAATGAAAGAAAATTCATCTCATATTTTCTTTGCGAAGAAAAACTATTAGATCGATTTATTTTCAATGGTTGAAATCTATATATTTACAAAAAAACAATTTCCCAAGTTACGAAATTCATTGAAAACGGCGCTGTCTAATGTTTTCATTTACCTTTTTAAATAATTTTACTTATTTCATCTTCTATAAACATCAACGGAATGTATGAGTGCGAACGAATCAATAAGCAATTAAATGATTATTATTCATTTGTTACCTCTATAATTCATTTTCTTCAGAAATTTGTAAATCAATTTCATAAATCATTAATAAATTATTCCTTTGTTCTAAAGCATTTTCATAAAAAATCAACTAATCTATTGACTAAAACTAATTCAATTTATGAATCTACTCAACAATTATATCATGCGTTTTCATCTCTAACACAAACATTCGACGATGAATATTATCATCTCGCACAGAGAACTTCATTTCTAAAAGTCATTCAATTGACAATTGAAAATCTTAAACAGCAAATGAATTCATCAATATATTTAAAACAAAAAAATAAATTACATAAATATACATATCGTATCCTACGCTTAAATCGTAATAGAAAACGACAATATTTATATCAATTAGTTCAACAAATACGAAAACATGACAAATTAGCATTGACTTCGAAAGATAATCTCGATAACATTGCATTACAAACAACTCATCTTTTGTGGAAGCTTTTTTCCTATTCGCCTTATAAATTCAATGTACAATCCACCAAAACATCTTCAATTTCACTGCATATCACTGATGCAAATGTCGATGTACCATGTATTGAACATAGTAAATCTAATGAACGATTGCCTTGCCCTATTGAAGAAGTAGGCTCTGGTGATCAGCTACAAGAAAAGCAAATTAAAGGAACTATACCACATGAATTCAACCAAGAACAAAGGCAACTATCGAATAGTAACAATGCATTAGTCATACCAGTGCATTCTAAAATAAGTACCAATGAAAATCGATCATTTTGTTCTACTGATATTGATGAAACAATTGTTGAAAAAAATCGACTAGACGATGAGGATGATGATGAAGATGATCGATGGATAAAATTAGTCATACAGAATGAAATTCAATGGCAGAAAAAAGAATTATCTATATCAACAGATCAAAGTAGTGACGATAATGAAAGTGTTAATAAAGAACACAGAAGGACAATTAACGCTAAAAATTCAATTCATCTATCTGATATAAGTTATACAACAGATTATTATTCACAAAATGAATCAGATTGAATATTTTTTTAAATTTTTATATCGTAATATTATATTGAGTTTTACTACATACTATGTGAGAGCTCGAATCGAGATGCATTGATTTCAGATAAACTTGATTGTCATATTAAAACTAAAGTATTTGATAATTATTGACGAAGAATTTCAGAAAAGAATCTTATAAAAAATAGATGCCTGGAACTATTCATTTCGATATTCATAACCTTAGATAGATTTTTGATACGGTTCATAGGTGATTATCTTGTTTCTTTTTATATTGGTAACTTCTTGATCATCCACAACATTTCTGAAGCGTGCACACAAGCTCAAATGGTGTGCTAGAAAAACTTCGAATTATTGTTGCTATTCTTATGATTCTACTAGTCTATATTTTAAACCAATCGTAATACTTAATCTAAATTAGTTGAACAAGTTGGACAAGGAACTATTAGATTTAACTGAAGCAAAATCTTCAGTTATTTCATTGATAAATTCGCATAAAGGAAAGCCTAATTTGCTGATGGCCGACGAATATATTTTCAAATCGAATAAAAATGACGTGCAATCAATTGATTTTCTCCTCACTTGTATTTGATATCTTCTATGATGTTAATTAGTTCAAAAATTATAAATCAACATACTGCGTCTATTGTTTTAATTTTAATTTTTTGTATTTAAAATATACATTACAAATTTACTGATTTATGCAATTAATTTTTTTCACTAAAGCAATCTACCACGCGTGCAGTTGTTTCTACAACAGTGAGCGTTCATAATGAATTAATGTTTTTCTTACTTTTGTTTAAAAGTAAATCGTCTACTCCTTTAACATAATTCTTTACGTTTACTAGGTTGTGATGATTAAGCGGCAATGCTGCTTCATAAATTGGCTGCGCTGTCTTCAAACATGCGAATATTGTTGTACGATGAACCCAAATCAGGATAATCTACTGGTAGATTCTTCTCTTGAATAGCAAGTGAGTTTCCATAGAATTTGAGGTCTTCAAAATATGTTTTCTCTTGGTCGTAGATCATACCAATGCTGTTGTACAACATAGCCATACTCGGGTTATTCTCATCGTGTGCTTGTTTGAAGAGGAACACGGCTTGATTGTATGATTCGAGTGCTCGAACGTGATCATCTTTATTTCTATGAGCATTAGGGATGCTCTTGTGTGATGTTACCAATCTCCACATGTTCGAATGGACGAGTACTTACAAGAATCTCGAATGGTTTCTAGTATCATTCGAGACTTGTGTCATGCTCATCCTTCGCATTAGCAACCATGCAAAGACGTTGATATAATTAATACACCCAGGAAGCGATCATTTGATGGAAGTCCCCTCAGCCATCGAAGGTAGTACTTTTCGACTTGGTTGAATTTTCCCATTCTATACATCACATCACCAAGAGAGAAAAGATCCGTTTCCTCTATGCGATATTCATTCTTCATGTGATCATACAATTGCTTGAGATCGTTATCATATGATCACTGCAAAATATCATTCGAATAATGGGGATTGGCGCATCGGCTGACGAATGACCATCATAGATTTCATTCAATCGAAAGATGGGACCGAGCACGAAAAGTACTTCAGCTTCTTGTCCATAATAACTGAACTCATATATTTGTGCAAATGATCGCCGATTCTCGCCATTCACCAGGCGAACGACAGCAGAATCAGCTTCTATTTCGAATATTACAGAAATACTATTTCTTGATGCGCATAAATTCAAAATTTGACTAACAAATTGTGCTGCAATTTTACGATTTATCGACGTCGATAAAAACGAATTTAAAGAAATTAATGCGATTTTCGTAAGTTTTGATATTCAATTCTTGATAATATTTGACCTCGATATACTGCTACGCGCTCGTGGCATTGATGAGTAAGTAACTGTTCGTAAATATCACGAATCACAGTTCGAAAAAGAAAAGTGAGGTCAGTGTTCCGTATGCGCAATGCCTCGTTCATCATACGCTACAAAAACGACTCGCGCCTGCACCACTGAATCGCCCCTCACTTGATTCATATTCCATATGAAATTCATTTTTCAATAATTCAAACAATTTATTTTTGTCTTTTTTGACTAGGTTTCATTCTAATCAGTACATCTATGAGCAATTATGAATGCAGAAAATCACCGTTCAGCTTTGTTGAACTTCAATCTAAAATGTCCATTGCCAGAACTTCTTCGTTTTTGCCTAGATTATTTTGATCGGCTCGAATTATATCGATCAATTCATCCAGTTTGATACACACAGCTTTTACCTTCAATAAACTAATAATGTATAGAATAGTTTTAAATAATAAAATACATGTACTTTGCTATATGGTTGGCTCCATTGTAAATTAGCCTCTTTATCGAAACAATATAAATATTTTGATGATATCTGAGGCAATGTTTGCATTTCAGGCACGACACTACGACCCATTTGACCACTTACAATCAAAATTGTCAGATCGCCTTGTTGAAATTACGAACACGACCCAAAAATTCTTCAGGATTGACAAGCGCCCGCAGCTGATTAATAATGTTTCTTAACTTCTTTTGAGCCACCACATTTTCTTCATTGTTGACTGAAACATCTAACCAAAAGATGCTGTAGGTTTCTAAACTGTCATGGATTTTGTTAGCTGAAGCCGTCGAGCTCGCCATTTTTGGTTGAATTTGAAAAGTTATATTTATCTCTTGTGTTTGTAATTCGAATAATAAATATTGCCTTGCTATTAAAGTTGTTTTTATTTATAACAACCACGTGCAAAAAGAAACATATCTCTTACCTCTCTTCTGTCATTATTCAGAAAGTTACTGTTGCTTAACTTCATGTAATCATCTGTATTACAGTATGAGTCAGACATAGGCGGCGGAGCCATTAGGCTTGGGAAGGCTCAGATATTTGAAAAGAATACAGGTTTCGTCGTGATTGACTTAACTTACAATATATTAGGAAATCTTTTTCATGAATATTGTAAATTATCGCATTTATAGTTAACAAATTTCACTTCAACGGCTACGGCTCAGAGATGCTTCATTGTTATAAATGGAATAAAGACATCTATGACCAATAATGACACAACAACGGTTTAACCATGCATTTATTTCTCATATGCATTAAGGGAAACTAGATCAGTTAGACATGAAGAGCATTTGTTCTGAGTATATTGCAAAAAAAAGCCAGAGAAAAGACGTTACTGGGTATGAGCAATAGTTTTTGCACTTATGATATGTTTGCTTTAGTCAAAGTTTAAGATTTTTTTATGCTTATGTTGATAAGGAAATAAAAATTTTGATAGTACAGTCTCTAGTCGAGAACCACCTAATGAATCTCCAGGCAGTCCCTGTCGCGAGTCCTCGACGAGCTAAGAAAAATTTGAAAACTTTCTATTGAGACTATCAAAAACCTACGTAAAAATTCGAAAGTATCTTCGAAAATTCGTAAGGGATTTCTAAAAAATGACTGGAAAGTGCCATAGAAATCTCAAGAAGTGAACAGAGAGTTTCTTGGAATTTCTAAGACATTCTCCACTCAGTTTTCAGAAACCTTTCACAAATTTTCGAAGACACTTTCGGATTTTTACGTAGATTTTTGATAGTCTGGATAGAAATTTTTCATATTCTTTTTAACTCCTCGGGAACTCATGACAGACCCTTCTAAAAAATCCAAAATTGGTGGGGACTCTGGGGATGCGTTAAGTGATTCTCTTGACTAGGAACAGAATGTTCGATTGTTCTGCAACCATATAAATGGATCAATGCAGAAGCCTTTTCAATTAAAGTTGTGACAACGAATTTTAAGTCTATCTTCTCTCCAAATATCGACTTTTTATCGTTCGTTGAAAAAATTTGAGCCTCCCCTAAGTTCAAAACGTTCCGCCACCTATGGAGTCAGATAATTTTAATGTTTGCATTTTCTCTTTCTTCTATTCTGCTTTTGTACATAGATGACACCTACGATACACGTGCGTATATATCTTTTTCGTTTCCTTTCATGTTGATATAGTTTGAATCTTTTTTTATATCAACATACTCTTTTTTCAAGTGTTCTTATAGATGTTTTCACTAATTAATTTATACATGTAAATTTGTTCTTCACAAACTTCCCAAAGCCAATAGTAACGAGATCCGTTTGCATACAAGAAAAAGGCAGCGCTTATTCACTGTCAGATACATACAAACGCCTGTATCGAATTACTACCGTCATCAAGAATCTACAGAATCGTTTTCGAGTATATCCCAAATTGATAATAGATAAGCACGCACAGCCGACAAGGTCAGCGTCTATGCAGAGTAACTTCAAAGCACAATAGCCAAATGATGAGTACTGGATTGCACCTGAGTCGAACATATGCGCTAATAGATTTCTACACTCACACTATTCCACCCAAGATCAGTGTTCTACTTACATCTTTATCTTCTTCTTAAGTTCCCGCTTGGTGTCAATTGACAGTTACCGGCTTCGACCAGGCACTGGCATAGTGAGACACGCTCCAGAACTACGATTAATAGCTACACTGCTGTGGATAATCCATAACCTCAAGTACTGCAAGCGCATGCACAATTCACAAGAATGTTCGTTTCGGTATAAATTCTACTCTGATCGAAAATAAATACGTCGATAGATAGAAATCTTGACGTATTCAAACGTCGAAATAATTCCCATGGTACTTTTGTTTATGCGTAAAAACTTTCATGTGTATGTGAATAAAACGAAGCGAGTAATTTCAATGTGCAATTAAACTTGAGTCATTAACCTATTTTCTATTTATTTCTTTTTTGTTATAACGACATATCTCAAACGACAATAAATAGATCAGAGGAGCTGATAACACCCTAAGTACATCTAACATAAAGAGCATTCATGCAACTTTTTATGAAATTCTTTTGTAGATGTTGTTTTTTATGTACCAGTAGACCATTGCATTATTACTAGTTGGAATTTTTTTCTTTTGCTTGCATCAATTAGTAACATTCAAATGCACAGCTGACAGCTAGTCAGTACCATCTGCATTTTAATACTAACAAGTAATTACCTTGTCTTACACAATTATCATAAATTAATCAATGATTGATCACCCGTATTCTACTATTTAGTATACTTATCAGTTTCATTGAATGATCAGAAGGAATGTGACATTCTGATCTTTCATTCAATGCAATACTAGATTTATTTAGATACTGGCAGAAGACTAATTTCAATTAAAGTTTCAGTAATTCAGCTTTCGTCAAAATTTTCCCTTGTTTATCAAAACTCAGATTCTCGACTACTGAAGTATTTATGATATGCTCTGTTTTATTACACATGTGCCGCTCGAAATGCAAAGAGTATGGCAGACTAAAACGAATAAAAAAGATCGTGTTTCATAACAAGATTTTTTTCTACTTATGTTTTTGCAATTGGTTGATCATAGAGATGAAGAAAACTTTGAAAAACATCTCATTTTGGAATTTCGAAAAACACTTCATGATGGACCATTTTCTGTGTTTAATGAGTTTTACGACGTTACACTGCCTAGGGTAAAACCGTTCTATCTTGCAGAAAGGGCACTTTTGACGAATTCACATGATTGAAAACAATCTACTATGGTAGAATTCAGATATCGAGAATTCGAATGATTGTGTTAAAACTTCACAATCGATGTATTTATTCAGCATTTTTTAAATGTCTGGAATCTTGGCCTACTCCAAATGGAACCTTCTACGGTATACAAACAAGAAAGAAACGACTTCATTTCTATGGTTCCATAAAATAGGTAGAGTCTGTTTTAGTTGCAATTGTATACATCAATCAAAGATAAATATAATGCTAAATGCATATATAATTGTTCGTTTCTACCTTGAATGCATACAATCATTTTCTGGCATATAGAATTTCAGCCATCGCATTTGCTAGAAAAATATATGGCTCACTAATCAATAGCAATAACGAATTCGTGGTCACCTTGGTATTTTTCGATGTGACATATTCTCTTAGATCTCAATATAAAAAATTTATCAATAGAAATCTTCGTTTTATAAGAGACTACCATAAGCTTATGCTACTGAGTGATGCAGCAAAAAACTGACGAGACAACCGAAGAAATTTTTATTTTTATTCTTAATCACCATGTATACTAAATCAACAATATACAAGCACTTTTTCGCTGTAGTTTATTGGCTTCCGTTGATATTTTTTATTTTAAGCTCATACTACTCAATTCTGATATTACTTCACAAATAAGAACAGAAACAGTCATAAAATTCATTGAAAAATATTCATCATCTAATAGTCAAATAAAAAAAAGTATTGCTAACGTTGCATAAATTTTAAAAAGAGACAAATTTCGAATCTTGTTTTTTTCTGAAATATCCTATTGTAGATCGATTATTTTGCTTCATGTTCAAAATTCCAATTGGCAGCCAGATGTAACTCGAGATTATTCTTTATGAAAATAAGCCTCAATAAACATCAATACATGACTGGAACTAAGCAGTTCTTATACTATGTTTCTGTTATTTTATATTCTAACTATTTTTAAGCCTTTAGAGTTACCATGTTTTCTCTATTGATCTTGTAGAAAAAAAAAGTAATTTCTACCTGAAATATACTCGTGTTTCATCTGCGCATAGAAAAAAGAAAGTTCGCGATTTGAATGGAAACAAAGAGTAAAATTGAGAAGTTGACATTAATTCCATAATAAAACAGGATTACAATGTGCTTGTTTGTCAGATTTGAATTTCATTTTAACGCAAGTAAATAATAGTTGATGTCATCGCTTGAGCTAAGTCTCAAGAGACACTTTTTGTTATTCAAAATAAAAATGCGGCAATTAACAAATTCGTAGTTTCGTCATTTGAGGTATAACAATATATCGACTGTTCTTATCAAAACTGAATTTCTGCCGATAATAAATCCTTCTGTTAGACAAATAGAAAAAAAGTTTTATTAGATATTTTTCCATACAAAAGTAATAAAATTTGTTTGATGACTTTATCTCTATGAGAACTTTCAAGTACAATCGTAGTGTTTTTTATGATCATTTTTCTTGATGAATTTATGTTTAAATATTATCAAACCTCCAAAGAATTATTAATCTTTTTCTTTCTCTCAAAACAGTTACATCATAGTGAAGATGTTTTTTTGTTTTCCCCATAAACACGCACTTATGCTTATAAAGATAACGTTCTCTAGACGATATCTCATAGATGCTAAACACATAGTTTCAGAAGCGACATGCGATAGTAATCAAGCCTAACTGAAAAAAAAATACGACTTGCTTATCGATACTGTATTATGATGTACAGATGTTATTGTTAAGTATGGGATCTACGGATGATAGCATTTAGAATTCTTATGAATAATCCACAAGCAATTGCTGATGCTCAATACAAATTACGTATAGAATATGTTGTTTTGACAGTAAAATGAATTAGTTTATTGTTAATTATTGAAATGGCATAAACGATGCAATGAAAAAAACAACTAATGAAAAAAAAATAATAAAGCATATCATGGCAATGATCAACATTAAACGTTTGCGATAGTCACTCATAATTTCACAACATCAACGTTCCATAGAGAAGTTTTTCCATAAGCGATAAGTTTTTTTTGAATTTTGTCGAACAAACCAATTTCAATTTAAAAAAAAAAGAACGAAGAAAAATTATGTCATTGAAAATAAAGAGTTAGAAAATTCAGACTGTTCATTTATAATAATGTGAGGTTAAAAAATGATAATATTTGCATGCATCATCAATGAAATATCTAGCGAAGTATAAGCCACAGTGCATGAATTATGCCAAGAATCCAAAAGCCAAAAATAGTTAAAAGTATATTGATTATCACTTGATTATTACAGGCTTTTTCATGTAAGTAAGCAGCCAATGGTGGAATGAAAATAGCAATAATAATTAAGAGAATGTCAGCCATGTTCGTGACGTTGTTGGATTAGCAGGTGTTTAGGTTTATGTGTGGAAAAAAAGAAAAAAATACAGCGAATGTGTATTACTTTCTTGTTGCTCAAATTCTATTTTAATCAGTGCTACAGGAGAAAAGGAGAGAAGGAAAGAGCAACGTCAATTTTTTTTAAGAGAGGAGGAGATGTAAAACGACCCAATGCAATCATAGTACGTCTCCATTCAGTTACCAATTCAGCTATAAAAGTGGTAGAAACCCACACATATTTAACGACAAAAAAAGCAGTAAAGGTGATCAAAAAATAGTAAAAGGCATAAAAAAAATGATCGATTGCCTCATATTTTCTATTCTTAGTCATAAATCTCTTAGAATATCACGTTTCACAAATTCCATTTAAAATCAAGGACTCTCTCTCTCTCTGTCTTACATACCTTTTTCAAATCAAACAAATTCACAATTAAGACGATTTCTATCAGATTTTAACATGCGAGCAATCGATCACTAAAGCTTCAAGAGCTAGTAAAACGTGACCATTGGTATTATGAGAAAAAAAATAAAGAAGCTCAACTTATTCTTAAACAAGAATAATCTGCTAATAGGATAACGTAATCAGCCATTGCATTTCAACAATCATAGCAATAATTTTACAAAATCAATCGCATTATTCAAACGATATAAAATTTCCTATGTTAATGTTAGAGACGGCAGGTGAATACACCAATTAGATTTGTTATTTGCAAAACATGTGAAAGCAATCTCAAGGAAATTTTCCCCATACCAATCAAACCTTTTATAATTGTGCAATCTTTCTTCGTTCGTATAACATTTACTTATTTAAACAAGACAACGTAGGCATTATTGATGCAACTCACGTATATCTTGCGCTTATTTTCTCCGTAAAAAAATATCATTGCTATTCGTTGTACGACACATTTGTGTCGAAACGAAAAACAACGAAATTCTTGATTGTATATACTTGACAGAAACATAAGAAAGTTAAATTTCCTAAACGACTGAGGAAAAACAAAAATAACAACTACAGCACGCATTATGATTTGAAATCATAAAAACCTAAATAGTTTATTGAAACTGTTCGACTAATTTTTCAGTTTCTTTGGACATATATCCAAATATGACTAAGAATTTCAAGAATTTAAATTTAAACCATCGCTCCGTTCGATCTTTGCTAGAAATATAGAAAACGAATTAAATAAATTTCAAAAAAAAATATTCGCTTACAAAAGTATTAAATCAAACATAAATAATTCCAATCGAGCATAAATACGATCTTTGATTAATCTCTGCGGTGTTTCGTATTTTCGAGCACCCAAAATAGCACTAGAAAACAAGATCATTTATAATGAGTAACACTTGATTATCTTGATTCAATGAATATGAATTTCATATTTAATATACTGAAACAACTTCTCCTAGATCAAACTAAATATTATGGCAAGGATTCTTCTATCGTGGCAAACACTGTATTCTTGTTATAATAATACAAAGAAATTGCTATCTTAATGTATGAATATCATAGAATCAAGAAATAATAAAACTTTCATAGCCAACCTTCGAGCCATAATAGTATGTCGATCGATAAGATTTCCATGATCACGAATAGTCGATCGAATTTGATTTAAGTTTCTAAAATAAACAAGTTTATCAAATGTTTGTATTGGCTACATTCGAATGGAACCAATTAGCTTGTGACAACAGTCAATATCATACGATAACTATACAAAAGTAAAAACTACCTGAGAACAAGAATAAGCTTGTCCGGTAATTGCTTGAATACATGATTAACTTCGTCCATTTTTTCTCGAGCTTTTAATCGTATTCGATCCATTTCCTCTTTAGCTATTTTCTGTCGGAATGATACACTACCATATCGAGAACGTAATGATTGCATAATAAGTATTTCCGCAAACAAGCGATGATATTTTTCTATATATGATTTAACAAAATACGTATAATCGAAATGCTTCTTAAGCTCATTGATATACACAAAGAAAATTATTTAAAAGAAAATGATGACGACAACTAACCTTAATATCATTAATAATGATCGAGGCATATCATAGAGAGTTCGTAAAATACTATCTTCAATGTCACTGAAAATAGTTGCGAAATCTTTACGTATGGCCATTTTTTGTTGTGAATTCATATTAAGAAATTCCTTTTCACTCTAGTCAGATAAAATTTATTATAAGAAAAAATTAGAAATAAAAAACAATTTCTTACAGGAAAACGCACTTTTCCTTGTGCACGTGCTGCTCTTTGTTCATCGGGTGACATGCGATCCCAAACACCGGGTGATATTGCCATATCGTGAATAGGTCGATGAATAGGACGCATAGAGAGGACAGCGGCAAATGTTAAATAGTCTTTAGCTATATCGAGAGAACAAAGGAATTATATAGTTTCTCAATCGTCATCGTTTTCTTCTAATTAAACTTTGTGTATACATATTTAAAAGAAGCAAGATCGACTTACCTTGTACGCCCAATGCTAATGAATATTGTTTTATTTTGGCTTCATCTTTCAATATAATTGCTTTCCATAGTTGACATAGAGCTTCTCGATCTTTTGGACCAATGGTAACATATAAACCGTGATCAAGTAAAACAATTTGAACATTTGATTTCGTTGGTGTATTAGGATCTTTTCTGACATAAACATTACCGGGCTAAATTTAAGAAAAAATGAATACCTATTCGACATGAATAAAATGAAAAAAATACATGAGGATCAGCGTGTACAAATCCGGAATGAAATATTTGAAAAGCCATAGCTTCAACAAGTTTTGTATCAACTTCGTTTAATGGTAAGTTTGCTTCTTGAAGTTTTTTTGTATCTGAAATTTTTATCCCATCGATATATTCCATGACGAGTACTCGTTTTGTTGTGTACTCCCAGAAAACTTTTGGAACGTAGATATATTTCAAATGTGGTGATAGCTGTGCATAGCATTGCTCGGCATTTTCGCCTTCTAATTTAAAATCAAGTTCACGTTCTAAGTTGCTTTTTACTGAATCGATCATCCAACTGAATTCAAATTTAGGAAAAATTCTACCAATGGCATACAATATCATTCGAATCGTTAACATATCGCCAGTGAAACGATCTTGCAAATCAATATATTGTAATTTAACAGCTACACGTTCGTCTGTTGATTTAAGACGGCCTTCATAGACTTCAGCAAGTGAAGCTGCAGCAATAGGTTCAGGAGAAAGATAAGAAAATAAATCGGAAACTTCACAGCCGAATTCTTCATCGATTAATTGACTAACCTATGAAGACATAACCGCGTTTAATACTGATAAATAGATTCATTAATTAAAATGGCAAGCACAATAAAGTGGCGTCCACGATTGCCGATGAATGTCGAATGTGATTACTTTAAGTCTAGGGTATCAGTAGTTCTTACGGAGTTCAAAATAAGAGTTAATATTCTCGTCATATGTGGTATTCTTCTTTCGCTCCGAATTTAATTGTAACAAAGATAACTATTTCTTATTGAGGAGCATCCACACCTCTACTTTGTTTTACACTTCCGGGTTACTCATAGAATGACTTATTGAAACTTTCTTTCGTCAAATGAATAATCTTTTTGTTTTTTTTGTAAACCGAGAAGTATCTTACCTCATTTCGTTGTCTTCTTAAAGCTCGATCTTGTAATAATCGAAGTCCATCAGTGTATTCTCTTGGTAAAATATGATCGGCACTAACCATACCTTGGCCCATTTTAACATATAAGCCACCATTTTCGATACATCCTTGCGCTATTCTCTCGGCTGCTCGTGTATGACATTCTTTAAGTTTTGAATCGTATTCTGGTGATGTATCAGGTATAGTCCAAAAATGATATTTATAATCAACTGCAATAAGAAAACCGATGCGAAATGATCTGCATACAAAAAAAAATAAATTGCCTTTTAGATGGCACACAAAAACAAAACAATGGATTAATAACAAACCTTAATGCACGTTGTAAACCTTCAAATGACACTTTTATTTGACGTTTTTGTTTTGTTGTAAGATAGCAAAAATAATACAGACTACCACCACCAAACAATAACCCATTTGCTAGAATATAATTTCTCAAAAAGCGTCGACTACGACGTTTGACACCAACACGATCAGCTATTACTCGAAGAGTACTTGTATTACTATTCGATGGTAGATTCCTTCTTATCAAACGGCATGTATTTATTGTCGATAGCAATGAATAAGCTCGAAACGCATTCATATATATAAATATAAATCTAAAATATTAGTCAAAAACTTTCCCAATCTTGTCCTTGGTATTCAAAAAGCATCACATTATAGAAATATACAATTGTAAGTACATTCAATGAGATAAAAAGAATTGTTTCTCTCATCATATCACAAAAAAAAGAGATAAAACCGGACAAGTCATGCGCACATACGAATCAATATTTTATTCGCTTGTTGTTTTTTCCATTGGCATGAATATCAGCGGACGGTGTCTCATCTCCTTGGTCCATATCAATCTCCTCGTCGCATGCTGCACGTTTCATACTTTTCATAGTTTGAAGTGTCGGATACATTATTTTATCTACTCGAGCAGTATTATCATGATCATTAGCTAACCATGGATGTTCAAGCACGCTAGTTATTGTTAATCGTTTAGTTGGATCAACACACATCATTTGACGTATAAGATCTTTAGCTGGCGCAGAAATTTCCGACCAGAATTCATCGGGGAACGTATAAAGACCTTTAAGAATTTGTTCACTTAATGGAGGGGTATCAGGTGATTCACTAAATGGTGGATAACCAACTAAAATAAAAAATAAATATATATTAAAACATCATATTTCATTGGTTGATTATTTTTTCTTACCTAAACAAATATATAAAATAACACCTAAACTCCAAACATCGACTTTGTTTGTATAACTTCCTGCACCACGATTAGCTAAAACTTCCGGAGCTAAATAGAAAATAACTCAAGCTGTTATTTTCTTTTGTCTCTTACCAATATAGTTTGGTGTACCGCAAAATGTTTTCATTAAACTTATTTCATTAATCAATTTCGATAAACCAAAATCAGTTATTTTAATTAATGTTTCATTTGTGTCTGACGATGCTAGAAGAATATTCTCAGGTTTTAAATCACGATGTGTTATCGAACGATCATGTAAATATTTCACGCCAATACACATTTGTCGAAATAAAAATTTACTTGTTGCTTCATCGAACTGACCGTGTGCAATTACACGATCAAATAATTCTCCGCCATCAACTAAGTCGAGTATTATGTTAAGTGTATTGGGTGTATCAAAAACTTCATGTATACGGATTATACATGGATGGCATAATCCCTGCAAAATTGAACATTCATTTTTTATGTTTTGATTAAATGCAGCGGCTTGTGGGCCAAAATTTGTAAAATGCTTTTTTGCAATAATTTTCATTGCAAAACGATCCCATGTGTCTAAGAAGAAAACAAAATCAATTTTAACAATCGCATTTAAATACATTAGAACAATTTACTAAAGATGTATCAATGTAAATCATGAGATTTTGACTGAAAAAAAGACGAAAATCTATAAGCGAAACTTATGGGTTGAAATTTTATTACTTAAATATCTTGCACTCAATAAAATTTTTATTTCAACAATCATACAATCAAACTCTTGTATGTCTGAGATATACTCTAATGGCAGGTTAAACTTCAGAAAAAAGGTTCTTCTAAGATAGTGGTTTCAAAATGATTCCTTGTGCAGTTTTACGGTTGCTGAGATACCTAGTGCAAAAGAACGCTTAACACATCAATAAGAAATCATCTAAATTTGTTACAAAACTTTAAGTGCATAATACACAAACGCTAATAGGATTTCGTTGTAAACAGATTGTAAGATTTGTTGAACCCAAGAAAGTTTTATATAAAATTTATTTTCTCAGTAAAATTTTGTATATTGACAGTTTAGTAACAATTTCGTTATGTTCCGTTGATGGAAGATGTAGATTCTTATAATAAAACATTGCAGCTCAAAAGCAACATTATGTCTCGTTCAGTTCAAATAGCAAACATGATGAAAATCTCGAATACTATCAACAAGGATACAGATCGAGTTTAAATCTGAACGAATAAAGTATTGTATGATGTTTAATATATTAATAAGGATCCAAAAGAGATTTGATAATCAACAAAGACTGAATCCTTGTTGAATAATGATAGAACATCTTGTTAATGAAAATTAATCGTTTATCAACATGATATTTGTCTTACCTCGATTAAAGCATAATCTGACTTCACCATAAGCCCCGCGTCCGATTTCTCTTGATACGATATATTTATCTCTAATAACAGCTGGAATCGATACATCTTCACTAGTATTTGAATCGATATAAACATAGACCCGATGAGTTTTTGATGCTAATGCAATTTCTGCATTATTTTCTAAAATCTGCTGTTTATTTTTTCCTAGTTTTTCTCCATTTATATACGTTCCATTCGATGATAAATCAACAACATAAACATATTTTTTAGCTGCATCACGAATTATTTTAAAATGTTGTGATGAGTAAGCAAGAAAATATTTTGATGTTTGAACTTCCGATGAATTAAATACTATCGTACATGTTTTACCACGACCCAATGTATATTCTTGGTCTATTAAATCAATGGATGGAAACAGTTTATCTATTGATAACAATCGGCCCCATATAGTCGATAGATTAGTAGAGTTTTCACCGTCTGCTGCACCTTCGTCGATATTATCATCGTAGGTTTGTGTCGGTAGGCTTAAACTCTGAATCGAAAGAAAAAATTAGAATTCAAAACAGTTCTTCAATAATCTAACCATTGGGATTGGTTCATTCATGATACCAATAATGATGCTTTTGTACCATATAATTATTGTTGTTCAAAAGCACAAAACATCAACACAATTCAAGGTTGCATCACCTCATATTTTGGATTACAAGACGGGTGCAAAAAAATACCAATGATATGACATCAACAGAAACAACGAGTGACATCTGGTTTGTATGTTTAGAATCTAGCAGAAAACGAGTCAAAAACGAGTGTGTAGGTTTTTGATAGCTAATATTGAAAGCAGTGTTCTTAATAGAAATCTAAAATAGGATGTACGCATACACTCAGCTTTCCCGTGTAGCGTGTAAAACTGTACACGTTGTTTCGGAGATCAAAATGTACAAAATGTACAAGTTAAAATGTTGATTTCTATAGATAAAAATACTTCTATTAAAAAGTCACTTTTATTTTATTTCCCATGTTGACGAGTGCACGAAAATTTTTAATTTACAAAATGTAAAACGTTTCGAAAATACAAGACCTCACTCAAAGCAAGATATTAACTGACATTTTCATCAAACATTATTTATTAGCACTAATAGATGTGTGAATATACCTAATGAAGAATATTACAATAGATATCCCAATAATGCATGCATAGATACAGTTCAGATAATAATATTCATTCGGTTATGTAACGAACAACTAGATTAGAGTAGCTTGTGTCATTCTCGGCAAAGATGTTTATTAGGCTGCGTCAAGTTATCCAGAGTGTAACGACAAAACTAGAGAGTGTCGCCTATGCCCGTCGGCATGATGGTGTATTGTGTCATCTGACATCTCCAGAGTGTAACAACTTTATACGTAACACACGTATATATAGGAGAGAGATAGAAGAGAGACAGAGGAGAGAGATATTAGAACAATGGAAGGAGAACAGAAAGAGAATGAAGGAGAATCATCGAAGCGTGCCATCAATATCGGCACAGGTTATACAATAAATTAATATAAAAACCACTTTTTCTTATTTTTTGATGATCTGTATGAGAAAAGACAAGCAAAAAAACACAGATTTTTAGCACTTGAAAATTGAAAATTTAAACTAAAGTAGACTTATTCTAAGATGAACTTTTTTTTATCGTTCTCGAAAAATTATTTTATTGCCACTTCATGTTTTTGATATCAGGCTACAAAAGTGCAACAATATATTACGTTTATGTGAACATGGACGATGTATAGTATAGTACCTCTATCTATTTTTCTATTGGGCCAGACATAAAATTTTAGTTACGTTTAATGGATTTTTTTTTCATCATTAAAGCACGAAAATTCTTGTATAATACATCGTGTAAAAGCGAAACTCAGCGTGTACAACACCTGCACACTCTTTTTATTCCAGTATGTAAAACAGTGTGTAAATCTTATTTGATTAGGGTACCGTACATTTTGTTTTGCTGGGTACACTCTTTCATTAAAAACACTGCTCATCACACGACTACTATTTTTCTTTTGTTTTAGTTCGTTCGTATAGTCCAATATGAACGTTTTATTCTCCTATAGGTATATAAATAGAAAGAATCAACACATACGAACGATTACCAGTGGCGGATCTACCAGTTAGGCTACCCGGCGATCTTCACCCCCCTGAAGAATTTTTTTCGATTTTCCCCAGCAGAAATGAAACAGAAAATAGTCGTTCTGCCTCAAATAGACTTGAAAAACCGCTTTTTGGTCAGGAGCGCCACCCCCTTACAGTTTTTCTGGATCCACCACTGACGATTACATTTTAGCATTCTCATTGACACATTTATCTCGTCTAAAAATCATATTGTTTTATTTTAATTGTTCAGATATTATATGATATAATGGCAAAACAAATACAATCATTAACAGTTATGAACGTAAAACTTGAAGAAACTGAACGCGTTGAGATGGCAACATTATTAAAAACTAAAAGTAATTCAACTGTTGAAGTAAGAATTGTTCGTTATTTTATCGTCTCAATATAATTTTCTTTTTTTTTTAGGTTTTATCTGAATTAATCGAGGATCCATTAACAAATGAAAACGACAAAGCTAAATATATATGCAAACGTATTTATATTAATTACGAGAAGAAAAATTGGATTAGCAAGTTTTTATTATTTAGTTTCTTTTACTTAATTAATTGTTTTTCGTTTCAGATGCCATTGAAGATATTAGTAAGTATCAACAAATTACAAAGTCCAAGAAACTTGAATTATTAAAAATGAACTGCTGCAATGCTGTCATAAATCTCGAATGATATTGATGGAATTAACAAATAATCATGGTAACCCAGGAGAATGAATCCTAGCCTAGGATCCGATCGGTCCCTATTGGAATCCGACGGCACACTTCGGAAGGCGCAAGGAAACTATCGGATTATTGTCGGATTCCTGGTTCCGGAATCGATATCGGAAACTGATAAAATCCGACATCAATTGTCAATCGGAACCGGAATGCTTCGGATTTCATTGGTTCCGACAATCGGATATGATTGGAAATACGACTGTCGGATCCAACATTGATTCCTCAACCAGGAATCCAACGAGATTTCGTCGGATGGTAGGACCCCATAGAATCCGATGGAATTCGGTATCGGATTGATTCACCTGGGGATATAATTATCTATTCATTAGATTTTTCAGTCATTGATCATTATTTTATTTTGAAGATCAGATTAAAAACAAGTAATATCTTGAATATATTTTATTTTATATTAATTTTCTGAAAAAAAGGCACACTTATATAAAGACAAAGACAACAAAAATAATAATACATCAAAGCAATCAACAACAAAAAAGAATCTTTAATTAACATGATTCATTTGAATTAAAGACATCTTTTACTTGTTTTGCTTGATTTTTTTGAAAATTTACCATTAATAAAGCCATCAGCATTCTTTTGACTTATAGTAAAAAAAAATTGTGCATGTTCATCCTCATCGTCAGTATCTATAAATAAAATATTAAATATAATAATCAAACATGTTTCAGCACTTCCCAGGTGAATGAATCCTATATCGGATCCAACCACCCTATACAATCCGATGGGATTCCGGGTCACGGAACCACTAACGGTTTCGACGAAAAAAAAACATTTAGTTAATTGGCCACTAATTAGTGCCTCAAGCCAACATTAGAGGGTAGCGCAAGTTGAGCGTTGGATCCGTCACAATCCGACAGTAGGATCCGATGATTATCCAATGTTATTCCGATACTAGGGATGCGAATGCCATTCCACAACTCGGAATCAGATAGGAATTCGTTGGTTTATTGGAAATTTATATAAAATTCGATCGGAATCCTATAGAATCTTATTGGGTCCGATTGTCGGAATGATCATCCTGGGTATTAAAAAAAAATAAGAAAGTAAATTGATGCCAACAATAGAAATCGGCAAACATGATGTCTTCTTGGGAAAAACAAAAAAACTAATTATATTTTAGTGTAGTTTTTTTTTCATGTCTAAAATCTCATGTCAATAAATAAAAGATTCTCTTCGTAGTTTGATCAAATATTCGCGATGAAAAAAGAATTGATAAATGAGTAAAACATTTTATTTCAAAAGCTTTACAAATAACCTCTCCAGTGACCATTAGGGGATAAATGCTTACAGAAAACAATTCTCAATTAACCAATCATAAAGTACATGCAATATAGAAATTTAATGCGGAAGTTTATGGCATGATTTTTGAAACCCCATTATTGCAATCGTCCTTGTTGACAACATGAAATTCTATTTAAACAAAAAGAAGAATGAAAATTACTTTTATTCAATAATTGTTTTGTGAAGCGTTAATCAGTAAATCACTTTTCTATATTCAATTATTCTGGCAAATTCAAGGGAGAACAAACTGATTTTCAGGCATAGAAATCACTGGAAATCATGGAAATCAGTTTGTCCCCCCTTGGATAAATCACAAAAAAATCTAAAATTATCGTGTTTTTTTTAAACTTCAAATGAAAGAAGAAAGAAATTATCTTAATAAATCGGGTGCTATGAGTCGTAGAGAAATTTCTCCATGTTTTTCACACATTATCTCCATTTGTTTTTCAATAAAGATCATTAATGCTTCTGACCAAAATGTTTGACAAATATATTTTTCTGATTGATCATTTTCATGTAAACAACGATAACATGGAATAAAACGATTAACTAAATAATCACCTTTAGAATTTTGTACAAATCTCGTACCCATTTCAGGATACCGATCCCCTAATATAGTATTAAAATGAGACATTAATGATGGTAAATTAATTTGATTAATTCTTAAAAGACAACAATCATAATAACGAAGTTCTAAACCAATTTGCCAAACAATCCATGAACATTCAGCCATAAGAATATTTTGTAAAAGTTTTTTTGTAATTGTTTATCTCCAATTGAAAGTGTAAATAAACGTGACCAAAAACAAGTTGGAATAAATATTAAATGATAATAAATCATTATTATCTTTTTTTATACGTGCTACATATTCTAAATGTAATGAATTTGATTAGATGTTTCTTTAAATTGGATAACACTTGACGAAGATATAACCGATGGATGGTAATGACTTCGCTGAAATTTTAAAAAAATAACTATTAAAAAATATGATAAAGAATTGTTTTTTTTCATTTACAATGATATTTAGAATCAATTGAACTGGAAGAAGTGATGGAACTATTAAATTCCCCGTATTATTTTTTTTGTTTTTAAAAATCTCTATTAATTATGCCGCATAACACTTATTTATAGATGTTTTCAACAACACTATTGCCTTTGAAATGAAATGTGCAGATAAAACTGATCAATGACATTATTATTTTGGTTTATTTACTTTTCTATTTAATTCGAAATCGTTTTTCATCATTTCTCTTCATCCTGTGTATTACGTGTGATCAGGCAGACATCATAAGAATATGTGGAAATTTATAAATTTCACAGAAATGCTGGCACAGTTTTTTATGCGCAATCACCTCATATGTAAGTAGCCGTTGAATTACTATAAATAGTATTACGCTATCACTTTTGTTTCGAGAAAGAAGTATCGTTTTTTATGTATAATTTCAAAAGAAGGTAATATTTATTGATATTATTTGGCCCATATCGCAATAAAAATAAAATTAAACAATGAATAATTTATTACGAAAATGATCAGCTTAGAAACCTCGACCTGACGATTTCTGGTGGAAGGGCCCTTTTTACATAGAGTAAAATTTTCCTAGGCTGATGAAAATTTCAATCGATGCTAATAAATACATTGGGCAAAATAGTACAGAAATCTTCAAGAAACAACATAGTGTTATTTTCGCTCAACATCGTAGATGTTATATTATCGTCTTGATAGATGTCTCTCTATACTATTTTGTATGCTTTGACATGATCCATTGGTTCATATTCACATCTAATGGAACAGCAGATGAAGCAATGAATGAATGAATGAATGAATGAACAAGTACTATTGCCAATAAACCAATTTTTAAGGGAATATGTAATTTGGCCTATATTTATTTCAACTTCGAAATGTACTCACATAATATAAATGAGCGAAACAAAAAACGTTATATAATTTCAAAAAATGAATGTTTTGTTTTTTGTGAATGTATGATTATGTAACAGTCTACTTGTAGATTATGTCTATTCATCTGTTCAAATTAAAACGATATTTAACTCATGTTGAACATTGTGTTAGATATACACCTTCATTAACTAAATGGAATCAAGTTTCTGTAAATAATTCATTGAATGTACTCATAAATCTAACTTCGTTTTTTTCTTCAGAGGTTATTTACTAATTTATCCAATTCATCGTCTTCCAATGCACATCGCTTAAACACAGTTGTACCGAAAGGTTTCGAAAAATACTTTCCGGGTGGTGGTAGTAAAGGACCTCAAGCAAAAGAGCCAAGTATTTTGAGCTTGTTTTTCTTTGTTAAAATAGATTAATTATTTTGTTTTCATTCAGATGCAAATCAACGTCCTCCAGCTCCACCAAAAGAACCTACTCCTAGCGAAAAACCATCTTCAGGTAGTCAACCAAAACCGCCTACACCGGGTTCGAGTTCTGGTGGCCGTGGAACATCATCGTCAGGCGGCGGTGTTCCTTGGCGTGGTTTAGAATTTAAATTCACTCCGGGTGATAAAAATTCCTTATTTAATAATCGTACAGCCCTTGCCGTACTTATTGGCAGTGGCATAGCTGCTTATTTTGCATATAACAATACATTGTATAGAGAAATAACCTGGAAAGATTTCATTTCACAGTATTTACTGAAAGGATATGTAAGTTAGAGAACTATTTTGCGTGCAAATAAAATTCTATTGATATGATTTCTCTAGGTAGATAAACTCGAAGTAGTGAATAAAAAATGGGTTCGTGTAAGACTTCTTCCTGGTGCACCAGATTCAATGGTAAAATAGATATTGAAGCCTTTTCCTCATATAATTATACTTTATTTCATTAAATAGAATACTTTATGGTTCGCTATTGGATCTGTTGATTCATTCGAACGTAATCTCGAGAATGTTCAAACCGAACATGGCATTGATGCTGGTGGTTATGTACCTGTTTTATATAAAACAGAAGCTGACGCAAGCACATTATTGAGTGTTGCATCATGGGTGTTGCCTATAGTTTTCTTTGTTTGGCTGTTTCGACGAGCCGGTTCAGCGATGGGACAAATGGGTGGAATGGGAGGCAAAGGAGGATCTGGTGGAATATTCGGAATGGGAAATACAACCGCGCGAATTGTTAAAGAGAATGTTGGCACATCATTTAAGTAGGAATTTATTTAATTTTAACAGAAAATAAGCTTACTCAGAAGAATATCTCTTCTGTATGTAGAGATGTAGCTGGATGTGAAGAAGCGAAGCTTGAAATTATGGAATTCGTTAATTTCTTAAAAAATCCACAACAGTATCTTGATCTTGGTGCAAAAATTCCTAAAGTAAGTAATTTACGATATAAAACAAAAACTTTTCAAGTGGATAAGTTGCTTCTGATTCTTAATTAGATGTATCACCGTGTTCTTAATAGTATTTTGGATATTCTTTTGAAGTTAGATTAGAAAAAAGGTTCGATTATTAATGTTCCTGTCCTCAGATATAACTATAATAAGTTCATGAACTCTTTTCACATAACTTCTAATTCTATGGAGTGCGTATAATCTCGAACTAAAAGCAATTTCTCAGTCAGAGAGCTTTGCAAATTTTTTAATTGTTCATATTCTAATATAGGGTGCTATTCTAACTGGACCACCAGGCACAGGTAATCTATGTTAAGAGATTAATAACAATTATCTATTGTATTTTGTTTAGGCAAAACTTTATTAGCAAAAGCGACTGCTGGTGAAGCTGGTGTTCCTTTTATTACTGTATCCGGTTCTGAATTTCTTGAAATGTTTGTTGGTGTTGGTCCGTCTCGTGTAAGCTTTTATATTTTTTACAAAAACGTTTTCCTTTATGATGAGACTTTAGGTTCGTGATATGTTTGCATTAGCGCGTAAAAATGCACCATGTATTTTATTCATTGATGAAATCGATGCTATTGGAAGAAAACGGGGTGGACGTTCAATGGGTGGCCATAGTGAACAAGAAAATACTTTAAATCAACTTTTAGTTGAATTGGATGGTTTTACAGGACATCAAAATGTTATTGTATTAGCGGCAACTAATCGAATGGATATTTTAGATTCAGCTTTATTACGTCCTGGAAGATTTGATCGACAAATATATGTCGGCTTGCCAGATATTAAAGGACGTGCTAGCGTATTTAAAGTTCATTTAGCACGTTTGAAGACTTCGTTAGATAAAAATGCATTATCTAAAAAACTGTCAGCAAGAACACCAGGATTTTCAGGTTTACAAAAATTCATTTAGAAAATAATTTCAAATAATAAAAAAAACATATCTATATTCTAGGTGCTGATGTCTCGAACGTTTGCAATGAAGCAGCACTGATTGCAGCGCGTGATTTAAATACTGAAATCGAATTGAAACATTTTGAAGCGGCCATCGATCGAGTTATTGCCGGTAAGCCATTATCTATTCGTATCGTTCTGTATATAATTCATTCGGATTTAGGTATGGAGAAAAAATCCCAAGTACTACAACCAGAAGAGAAAAAACAAGTCGCATTTCATGAAGCTGGTCATGCTGTATGTGGTTGGTTTTTACCGCATGCTGAACCGATTATTAAAGTATCGATTATTCCTCGTGGTAAAGCACTTGGTTACGCACAATATATGCCTAAAGAGCAATATTTATATACCAAAGATCAAGTAAGACAGTTCTTTCAAATAAAGAAAATACTCCTATCTTAATTTAGCTATTCGATCGCATGTGTGTTATGCTCGGTGGTCGTGTAGCTGAACAAATATTTTTTAATCGTATCTCAACAGGTGCACAAGATGACTTACAAAAAATAACTCAATCAGCTTATTCACAAGTTGTCCGTTATGGTATGTCCGAGAAAGTTGGTAATATTTCATTTGATATGCCTCAGCAAGGAGATATGGCTTTTGATAAGCCTTATTCTGAAGCAACGGCACAATTAATTGATGATGAAGTCCGCGCAATAATTAGACGTGCATATGATTTCACATTTGAATTATTAACGTCGAAAAGAGATCTAATCGAAAAAGTTGGACTTCATTTATTAGAACGTGAAGTTTTGTCACGTGATGATATGATTGAATTAGTTGGAAAACGACCATTTTTAGAGAAAACAACCTATGAAGACTTCGTTGAAGGAACAGGTAATGAATAGTTTTTCTTTTATTAGTTATATTTAAGAAAATTCTTTTGTTTTTAAATTTAGGTTCATTAGAAGAAGATACAACTTTACCAAAAGGTTTACAAGATTGGAATAAAGAAAGACCAACAGATAAAGAAGCTAAAGAAAAACAACCAGCATCGAACTGATACATAGGAAAAAAATCATATTGAATCACCTTGTTTTTCTGTCATACATGCTTTTTTTATCAATATAAATCCTTGTTGTGTTCATTCTTTTTGTACACATATGCTCTGACCAACATATGAAACATTTCGTGTAGTGAATATTGAGACTGGACAAATGTATTTATAGGACTTGTCTCCATCCTGAGAATGAACTGACTGTATATACTTATTCCGGCAGGCAGTTCATCTGTTTTTTTTTTCTTTCCATAAATCTGACGACAATATCTTATTATTGATGTTGCTAGTTGAGTTTATCTCGAAGTTGATGGAAAAAGAAACAAAGCCAACGGGTATTTTCTATATTTATGAGTTACATTAATCCTGAGCAAGTTTCGAAATTAAACTTAAAAACAAATACCACTGATAAACTTAACAATGCCGTCTTTGATGTATGCGAAACGTGATCGTGCTCTGATTCCTATTATTGTAGAATGGACAGCCGAGATGATGAATCGATCTAATTATTTATTTTCATGTCCTGAAGGTGATATTAATATTTTGCTTTTTTGCTTTCAGAGTATCATAACAAAAATAAAAATTTATTATCAACATGTCAATGGATTCAGTGCCGGAAAGTCCTAAATTGTCATTTATACAACGTTATCATGTGATACTTAAAGCTCATTATTTTCTATTCTTTGCTGGTTTTGGTGTTGTATTTCCAATATTAAATTTAACTCTTCGTGCTCATGGTCTTTCAAATACTGAAATCTCGTTGTCGAATACAATTCTGCCATTTTTAATTTTTGTCTCAAGTCCATTAATGGGTTTTATCGCCGATAAATCTCGTCGTTTTCTTTTAACATTTAATATTCTGTTATTCATAGTCATTGGTGCTTTTACGATTTTATTCTCCCTGTCACATATTAAATCTCATAAAATTCAAGCAGATTTGCAGCGTTTAAAAACGTCTCAGTACGCTCTGGATTTTTGCTCAAGTCAAGAAGTTGTTACACAATGTTCATCAAGATTAGAATGTGGTTGTTCTTATCAAGCGTATTGTAACGCAGACGATTTAACATTTAATTTTACAATGGCACAATATTCATCTATAGAACATACATTAACGGATAGTCTAAAATCTAAATGTGGTATTAGATATCGAGTACCTATCGATAAAGATGTATTACAAGATAAATTAAGTAAGTTGAATTCTTCTTTTTTCAAAGAAAAAAAACAAGAACTAATATTGTTTCTTGAAGATTTTCAGAATGCATCGTCCATTAAATGTGAAATAACTTGTTCGATTGCTTATTTCTGTCATGGTTTACGATATGCAAAACAAACTATTTATATTTTTCTCCACGCCATTTTATATATCATCGGTTCAAATTTACTCTCATCTGGAAGTGCTCTCGGGGCGTCAATTGGTTTTGCTACTTTAGCACGCTCAGATTTATTTGGAACACAACGTGTTTGGGGCACAATTGGCTTTGGCATACTTGCATATCTCACCAGTCTTATTTATACGTTCTTCGAAAGTGAATATGTCTATCTGGTTATGTTTAATACTATAGCAACATTGACAATTATTGTAACTAGTTTCATTCCATTACATAAAAATGAAAAGAAATCTACTGAAGAAGAACACCCATTCGATTTAAAGACACTTGTGCTACTATTGAAAAATATTGAAGTAGCTATTTTCCTTTCAATTACATTTCTGTGGGGAATGTGCTTTGGCTGTTTCCATCCGGTAAACTAAAAATACGACTTCACTTTTAATTGTAACAACTTGTCTTGTTTCGTTTAGTATCTCGCTTTATTCATTGATGAAATCGATCCATGTCAATCGCGTTCGATAATTGGTCGAATGTTCTTAATCGCATCAATATCTGAAGTTACCGCATTTTATTGTGCTAGACGAGTGATTAATTTCTTTGGTCCCAATGGATCGACTATTGTGATATTTTTGGCATTTGCTCTTCGATTCAGTGGTTATTACTTTTTACCACAGCCCAATTATTATTTACCAATGGAAACAATGCATTTTTTTAATTTTGGTATTCTCTATGTATTGATCGCCCAAAAGGCAGATCTAATCGGTATCGTACAATGCGCTTATTTTCCTCTAATGAAAAAGTTTAAATGTTTATTTATTTTAGCCCCACCTGGAATGTCTAGTACATTGCAAGGAGTCGCTCATGGTGTTATACATGGCTTAGGTACTATTTTGTTTTTCTTCGCTAAGAGTTACACTATTAGTTCGTAGAGATATAAGAAATAATAGTATTGATTAAAACTGACCTATAGAGAGTTCAACAACTAAAACTGCATTGTATATCAATCAAGTTAATTTTTCAGAATATATCATTTATATGGCACAATGGAACGTGAAAATTTATTAGATTTAGCTAGGCGGAAGCTTTTTTGCGAACATTTATGCCGTTATCCGAAAGGAACTATCGCTCGATAATCAAATGAGAAATTCTAACACATGATGATTACTAAATACTTCCGTGGCGATTTAAAACTCAATTTATTTTTCTCAGCCAATAATAATCATGAGCACATGAGACTATGTGTGAAATATGCCATCTTAAGAGTGTAGAACGGATTCCGAAACCAGGTGATACATTTTTTGTTCATTTTCAACTTTCTGTCATGTAGTGATCACGGTTCTATTGTACCCCTGGGAAAATATACGCGAGCTGTGTTGTATTTCAGACCTCTTTGAAGTATGTTGAATACAATTTTTCTTCTTCGAGCTCGACTAAGATGATCTCAATGAAAATCCTCTCGACAATAGAGGACTGCTGTGTTTTTGATTGACTGCAACAATGCAACATCGATTATAAGTATACAACAACAAAAAAAATTTCTTACGGCTCTAAAAAGTCAAATTTTATATTTTTATATTTGCAATTCAAACTCCGGAAACTATTTACATTTCTATATCGATACCTTGACTAAATTTTCGGTTTTTTTCGAAGCTTAAATCAATGACTAGCATCTTTCGCTGTGTCTATCGTATTTCACGGACTAAAATCGTAGCTTAAGCATAATGCTTGTAGAATGTCAACTTTTTTATTTACCCCATACAAACGACGTATGTCATCGCTCGGCAATTGATTAATGTAAAATGTAATTACCAATACAATGATACTCTTAACGTGCCAGTCCAATAATAACCAAATACCGTATGTTATTCTTATAGGTTGTGGCGTTGGTTTGCTTGTTTCGTCGTATATATATATTGTTGTTAATCAGCGTCTTCTGTTCCTTGTCTTTGCTATTTTGAATCTCGTTGCGGCTATTTTGTATTCAATTTACTTTCTATTGACACGAAAGAAAACTTCAAGTAAAAATGCGACTGTATCAGCAACGACTAATGATGTAGTCGAAGAAGGTAATTTTATTTAGGAAAAAAACACAGTTAATGTATGTTTACTTTAGATGCCCATTTAAATCAAGAATCTTTACCATCATTACCGATGATGGAGGCAAATAATAACGAAAATAAGAAGGATATCAATTGAATCATTTGGCGTTTTTGCTTGTCCTAGTTCTTTGGAGAAAAAAAGAACAAAAACCGTTTTTATAATCCTTTTTTTTGTCTAGTTTTGTAGAATCTCAAGCATTGGTTTATGTATTTTGCAGTTAAAGACATTTTCGATTTTTTTTGTTAATCTAAATAAATAGTGAGCATAGATATTTGCCAGTAGATTGAATGTTTTCAGAGTGGTTCCGTCTGTTGACTTGGTGTCTTACAGGATTAGTGTACGTCTATTCTAGAAAGAAACATGCCACGATTTGCGCACCTTTATGTTATACAGGTACATCGAAGTATCTAGAAGTGTCGTGCAAATAATTTATTGAAATGAATTTCATTAGGATTTTAGTGGAAAATCTATGACAAGAAAATGTTCACATATAAATAAATCCTATTTGAAGTGCTGTCGGCGTAACTTCTTTGAATAGACATGATAGATTACTGCAATACGTTTTTTAGCTCTTCGCTTTTGGATCGTACAATAGATTAAGATACGGATCAAGAGAAAATATTTTGAATAAACGTCTAAATTAAATATATTTTATTGTTTTCTTTAGGAAAGATGTTCAATCTACAATTTGAAGCAATCATAGGTATTCAATGTACCCATAACCTCTTTTTGATAAATACTGTGGTTTCTTTTTCTATACAAAGCACAATCGTTCCATGTTAATATATCTATCTGATGTAATTTTTCACTATATTACTGTTACCACTCTTCGCGTGCACACATAAGTCCTATAAATTAGTTTTTGATAGCACGCAGAAGAATCATGAAAGAAAAATAATTCCTTGGATTTAAGTAGGAAAATCTCTCTATGATTATGTTCAAGTTTTAGGATTATTTATATTATAATATATTATCATGATGAACAACATCTTGACGAAGCAGATTTTGTTAATGACAAATAAATAAATATATATATATATTATATATATATGAACACAGATAGTTGTACTTGAAGATATATTCTTTTCTTTTTGTTGCTCTCTCTCTCTCTCTCGTTGTGAAAAGTTAACTTTGTGCCAATAAGACGGAAGGAACACATATAGGGCAGTTGTCTGCTCTTTTTTCTTCAATGCGTCTGCAGAAAAAATGTTTGTCGAGAGAAAAAAACGACAAAAACATGTTCCGTTAGTATTTCTGCCGTGAATTCTCAATAAAATATAGCGTCTGTCTCTATTTGATTAAGCCCGTACTTCAGTAAACTTACACCTGCAAACTGCCATGTATTATTATTTATAATTAATTGTCAAAAACTATAAAAGAAAAATCGTGATGATTGATATAATTCTATTCCCTTTTATTAGAAAACGTAAAGCTAGAAACTAGTTATTTATTTTCAAGAGTAAGCTTAGGTCTGTTTTTACGACACTAGAGCCAATAATTGAGCCGCATTTTTTTCTCTTCCATGTATGATTATCATTTTGTTTCTGTTTTTAAGCGAAGATAAAAAAATAACAGTAAAGCATTGTTACTATCAGAGATCCAACTCCGAAATATATTTGATTACTACTTAGTTTTTTCTATCTCAAAGCATTCCACTTCACATAAAATCTAGAATAAATATATTGATCTTCATCGAGGCTAGCATCGTAGTTACTAAAAATTTGAATAAACGGTTAGATGATTTTGAGAAACTATGACGACGATCTGAGTTTCAAAATAATTTCAATTTGAATTCTTATTCGCATAGATAAGAACCACATGTACGAAAAAATTCTTTTTTTGCTCTCAACGAAGTCGTTTTTCTTCTTTTCTGTTGTTTCTGACCTTGATATGTTTCTTTTTTCTTCTATCCAACAACATAAAACGGTTTTTTCTTTCATATAATTAAACAGAATAAAGAATCGCATGAAAGGATCATTATTCTGCAACTTCTCATGAATGTTTTTTTTTCCCATCTCGTTTACATTAGGATTCCACAAAAATATAGATTACGATTACAAGTAGCTAGAAGCAAATTGTGTTAACTAATGAGTAAATCAATTAGAAGAATATTTTATCTGTTTTCTTCAGATATGAGCATTAAGTAAAATTTGTCAAAAAACATTCAACATGGAATCACCATCAATGTTAGCACCAACGACGAATGCCGTTAGTGCATCATCAACTGCATCATTTGTTCATCGACATTATATTTTATTAAAGACACATTATTTTCTTTTCTTCTCGGCATTCGGTATACTCTATCCAATATTGAATATAACATTACGAAGCCGTGGTTTATCAAATTCGGAACTTGCCTATATCAATTTAATTGTTCCATTTCTAGTCTTTTTTACAAATCCATTACTGGGCTTTATTGCTGACCATTCGCGTCGTTATTTATTAACATTTAATTGCATTCTTCTCATAGTAACAATATTGTATGGCATTATGTTTATTTCGCCAACTATTAAATCGCATAATATCGACGCTAATATTATCTATGATAATAAATTAGGTCGCGTGCTAGACTTTTGTGCTAGTCAAGAAGTAGCAACAAAATGCTCGTCAAGATCTGAATGTGGATGTTCCTATTCATCATTTTGTAGAAAAGATAATTCACCATTTAATTTTACATTTACAATGAGTCCAAATGATACTCGTCTAGCAACGATCAGTTTAGTGGACATAAGTGCATCGTCAAAATGTGGCATTCAATATCGAGTACCTGTGGATAAATATTTAACTGGTGATAATGAGGAATTACCTTATCACAAGGGCAATGCATCTTCATCGGACGCTTGTGAAATAACATGTTCAATAGATCATTTTTGTCATGGACCACGTCATCCTCGGCAACTTCATTACATTCTTCTTTATTCGCTTTTATTTATTATTGGTACAAACCTTCTTTCAATTGGAATAACAATTGGAGTATCGATTGGCTTTGCTACTTTATCAAGTCCGGAAATATTCGGTGAACAACGTGTATTTGGTACCATTGGATTTGGTCTATCAGCTTTTCTTGCTAGTCGTCTTTATGCACATTTTCACTCGGATTTAGTTTACATTATTATGTTTTCTACAGCGACACTAATATGTATTGGTATAACAAGCCTTATTCGTATACAACCTCGTACACATGAAGAAAACACAAATGTTTCTGCTTCAAAAGACGATGAAATAGAAGCAAAAACTAAAACAAAAGCTCGATTCAAAGCAGCTGCACTTATTCCATTATTGAAAAACATTGATGTCATCGTTTTTCTGTCGCTTACATTCATTTGGGGAATGTCCTATGCTCCTCTAGATCCAGTACGTATTCGATTTAAAATTTTAATATATTTATAATATTCGACAGGAATAGAATTTATGAGTATCTTTTATAAAACATTTATATTCTTCATTCTTCATATTTTAAAAAAACAAATATAATAAAGTTCATTTTCAGACTAGGAAGTTTTATATTAACAGAAAAGGCAATGAGACATGTTACATATACAGTGGAGTGCAAAAATAATTGCCGTTAGTATTTGATAAAGTTACTCTACTGAACATGATGCATATTAAAAGTTTTTTTTTTAATTTTTTTATAAATAGATTATACATACACAAGAGTACACAAATATAATAATTAATAGTTAGCTCTTTTTCCTTTCAACCAAAAAACGCAGTAAATACTATAGCTCCATCGATACACTCAAATAACTTGGGATCGCTTTGCCTGTGTACATGAATTGTGTTCTAGTCTAAAAGGTGTGTTTGAAGAAGAGTGAAAGAAGCTATGAACCTCCTTTTGGATCAAGATCCAATAGCCTAAGTTTCAGCTCGATACGATGTCTTCTCAATTTTTAAAGCGGGAAAGAAATTCAACACCACCTTCTCAAAATTTGACCTCTATTTGACGCTGAAGATGGATTTTCAGAATTTGTTCACTTGGGACAAAGTTTTATCTACTAACCAATATTTGTCTACTATGAAAATTTCAAGTCGGTCAGACAAGTCATTGTCGAGATAGTTTCAAAATCTGGTCCAAGCGCCATTTTTTTCGGTAATTCTACAGGCCGTGCTCCTCCGTTTGTTTTTACAATGCCGTGTCGTTGGACCTCATTTGTATTTCGTTAGATACTATGGCCGTAGAACTTCTTGAAGAAGACGATTTTCGTAGCGCTACGATTGTCCTAGTCGTAGTAGTGTAAGATGACTGCTTGATATTCTAGAAAAGCGGTAGACACTCGAATCATGATGTCTCTTGCTCTACTGAGCGACACGTTTTGAGGAGTCCCGCTCTGATTAAAATCTATAGCACATCCTTGATTGCTGATAAGAGTTTCAGAAAAATGCGTTCATGCGCTTCACATATATGACCCAAAAAAATGCGTCGGCGCAACGGCAAATGTTTTTGCATTCCACTGTATATAGGAGAGCTAAATAACTTGTATCAATCATATTTCAACCGTAATCAACAACTAGGCTTAAGTAAATACTGACATTATTCTTTTTTTTCATATTATTACGATCTATAAATAGTTAAAATAGACTTTTCTCATATTATTACGTTCTATAAATAGTTAAAATAGACAGTATCACATTTCCTTTAAGTACGTGTATTTGTACATCGACGAAATTGCTCCATGTCAGTCGCATTCTATTGTTGGTTGGATGTCACTAACATCTGCAACAGCTGAAGTCATGGCTCTTTTCATCGCCGCACGAATGCTTAAATTATTGGGCATGAATACATGTTCAGTAATTATTTTAATTGCATTTGCAATACGATTTGGTGGTTATTATCTCATTCGTCGACCCTATTTTCTTCTATTTATGGAAACAATGCATTATTTTAATTTTGGTATTCTTTATGTACTCATAGCTCAAAAAGCCGATGCCATTGGTACGTGAGAAATCTTTGTTGAAGCGGCAGAGGAACTAGAAAAAATGATTTTTTTTAATATTTAGCACCGCCTGGACTTGCCGGTACACTACAAGGTGTTGTCTATGGAGTTTCATTTGGTTTAGGTAAGATAGTTTGAAGAGAAATCCTCTGAATTTTATTCAAACCGAAAAACAAAAATTATAGGTCGTGGTGTTGGCTTGATCGCTTCGTCATTTATTTATACACACTTTCAATCAAGGCTTCTATTTTTAATATTTGCAATATTTGATGCTGTTGCTGCCATTTTCTATGGGCTTTATTTTTTTTTAAGAAAAACAGAACCAAAGAAAACTCGTCAAATGAAGAACAATATGAATATACCACAAATCGTTATCGAGCCTGGTAAATATATCGAATATTTATTCAGTGATTTAAATTAGATTATTGTTTTCTTTTTGTTTTAGAAACAAATATAAACGAAGAGCCATTGTTAATTTCGTCATCGGCAAATCGAGTAGACGAGGCAGATTTTGAACAATAGAAAACAAAAATCTCATTCGTTCGACGGGACGGCAACTATTCTTATCAGATTCAGATATTTTTGTGAGAGTGATCTAGATGTACATTGTTGGAAGTCTTTTTTTCCACTATACTTCTCAATTGACATTCTTTATGAGTATATTTTGTAATTTTACGACTAAAACAAGTACAAGAAAACGGAGGACATGTTTATAAGTGATATGTTACCAGTTTTTTTTTATGAATAAAACTTTTTAATTCAGCATTTAAATCATATTCTTACCACTAAGTTCAAAGAAACGCAGTCACTTGATTGAAAACCTTTGCTACAGATGGTGGAGTTTGGGTATGTTCTCAAATATGCATAATAAATTTATTCAAATGTACGCTTTTCATTTAATAACATTTAAAATCGTAGCCCACTCCGATCAATATTGAGTGCTAATCATATTGAAGACATCTGCTGACACACAATATATTCTTTCATGGCGTCAACGATAATGATATGAGTATTTTTTAGACTAAATAGTTTCGAGAAGAAATCATTATGAAAATTTTTTTTTCCACATACATATTATTTCATCTCGAATAATATCTACTACTAAATGAAACAGTTCAATTTAGTAACTCAGATAAATGAGAGCTATACTTCTTCTTGCAGATGTGATCAAAATATGATTGCATAGAAGACGGATTTAGTTAATTTTCAGTACGCAGAAAATTTGATTCGACTCTTCATTTTTAATCATAATCTTATGTCATTCATAGAACGATGCATTTACTGAGCAGCACTAGCAAGCTGCTACCAGTCGCTCTTTTGGTAAAATGCACGTGCAAAATTCTCTAACGAATTGACGAAACAAAACTACCAATAGACTAAGGACAAACAAGCAAACTTCGAAACGCGAAAAATAAGCACTCAACGTTAAAAGTAGAAACCATAGAAAAGTAATGAAATAAGCAATACTTTTCGAATATTCAACACTAGGTTTGATCGATTAATGAAATTTGTCGAAAATTCTTTTATTGAAAAGAAAAGTAGACTTATTTAATATTCTATCGAAATGAATCATATTACTAACTGAAAGTTAATCATTGTAAAATTTTTTCTTAGGATTCAATTTTATTAAAGTTCTAATGTTGAACAAAAAAATAATTAAATTTCAGTTGTAGTGTTTGCAATCGACCGCATATCAAGAGCAACCGTTAAATCCTAAATGAAAGATAGCACTTATGTTCATCGATCAGGATAGTTCTCACTGACTTTTTTTGCTTTTGCAGCACCCGGAATACTTCATTTTATCCAACATTTACCTTATTAAATATGACCTTACTGGTCAATCAAAACCAACAAAACTTTTCCAATTTTCCCTTCTAATAAATAACACGATGACACCCACATTTAGTGTTCGCAATATATGAAAATCTGAAAAACAGCTACAAACGTCAGCTTCTATAATCTATTTAAAACACTCCATGACAGATCTTTAGAAACGAAAAAAAAACACGACTAAATACTTCATCCTATTTGTAAATAGAAAACAAAAAAGAATGTCACAAAGCTTTACCACACTCTTCATTTACGATTTTTAGTAATCTTTAAAAAAAAATTAGAGATTAGTACGACACAAAAAAAGAACTGTTAATAGCACATTCTCAAAAGGATATCATAAGAAAAACAAGATTATCACAGATCGATATGATTGAGACTCTAAAAATAAAAATTCACAATAAAGTCATGAAAAAAATTTAAATATTACCTTTGAACGGTGGCAAATACACTCATCTTTTTTTATATGACTTTCGTCAGATTCATGTTGAACCAGTTCCATATCAGGCAAGACCTGTACGGGTGATATTAAACGTTTTGCATATTCCTGTAAAACATTTACATGATAACAAAGAATATGATTCGGAAGAAGATTTTGTCGAGTAAATCGTTGAGAACGTTTGACTATCTTTTGTGCCTGAAGATTAAAAATAAAATATACATCGACTATATCGATCCAAAGAATAAATGTATCGTTATACTTCTTCATCATGTGTTTTAGCCCATTGAAGTTTTTCAATTAAATCAGATAAATCTTTTTTAATCGGTATGTAATGTTGATTTGGTGCAAGATCTCTATAGAAATGTTCATAGAATGAACTTGCTTGTTTAAATATGAGCCCATCGCCTGCTAATAAATAAGGAAATCGATATGAAGCAACGGTTCCATCGAGCGATATTTGGTATTTATAATCGAAAAATTTGTTCATCGGAACTTGTTCAGAAAATGGTTGGAATTCCGAGATTTGATCACGAAAGAAAAACATTCGTGTTAAATTTGCATCTATTAAATCTGGATGTTTTTTGGATAGTCGAACAAGATCAAGACGTTCCTGAACAGAGTCAAATAATGGATTGATAATAAAAAACAAATCCTAGGAATTACTCGGCAACTATCGCGACCACGAAAAAATCCTTTAGGATTCTTTTTCGACCATGGTACATCGCGCGTCGTAAGCATAGCAAATATATCGAATGATGTTCTAGAAAGCATTTGAAGTGTAGCTTCAGTAATGTCATAAGTAGGCAGAATAATATCGTATGTTTGTTCCGATCCACACCAAGATATAATCGGAAGTGGATCATCACCACTACTCAATGGATAGTCACCCAAATTCATTAAAAATTCTACATCAGGTAAAACAACCTAAAGAAAACAAACATTTGATTTCCTTGGTAAGAAATTATTATCGTATTTTACTTTTCGTGAAAGAGACAATAGAATTGCATCGGAAAACATTTTAAATCCAACATGTTCACCGTGACATTTTCGATAAATCTATTCAATAAACAAACATAAAGAAACCAATATTCAATATCATTCTGTTTTCTTACCGTATTATCTTTAATAACATAATGACAAAGTGCGTATGTTTGAGGATGTTGAAAATATTTTTCTTTTGCTTTAGGAATTATTGTATTCATATCAATCTTATCAAATAGTTTTAAGTCCGCCCGTAGTTGAGTTGTTGATAATGCTGATGAGCATTCTAATGAATCAAACCATTGTGTTATATTCGTTTGTGGACAATAACAACCATCGGAATAAAGATAACCTTTGATTACATAATTAATATCTTCTTTTCCAAAGCGTATAAACAATTTAAGATTCTCTACCGATTCATAAAGACGAAATCGAAATAAATAAGTGCCATCATGAAGATCGTCAACTTTACGATAGCTATGGGCAGAATGTTGATCAGATGAGCGTGTTAAATGAAATTCTATACGATCAACGCGCTCACTTGAATAGTTAAGTCTAAAGAGAAATTATTTTCTTGTTAACCGATAAACGATATTAATACAATTCTCTACTTATTTCCTTTCAAATCATGAGATTCTAAATAAAAATAACGAACTGGCACTTGAAATGAAGCACGAAGTCCCGGCCCATAAAGACGAGATTGTGTAGAAACAGAATTTATTGTTAATAATAAATGGCAGATTAATACCAACAACATTTTGTCCCGTTAAGAGTGAGAGATCGACGTATATACGAATTATTATTGATTATGAAGAAAAGAAAAAATTCATTCTTCTAGTGATTCATGAATACACAGCGTACAAAGAGGGCACCACTTTATGATTGTGTTCAACAATCACTCAATCAGTAACTTAAACAGCTTGAGAAGCATTGTTTAAGTTTCTACAAAAGCTAGCATGTATAATCATTTCTCGTTATATCATAATTCAATAAACGTCCATTAATAGAGTTTTACTCAGACACGTTTGATCAAAAATATTCATGTAGCATGAATAAAGATCAATTCTATTAAATCAAGACATAGTATGTAGAAAAAATTGCATCATTACCGCACAGAATACTTCAAACGACAAAATTAGTTATTGTCTCTATTCGATAATCTAACAATATTTGTCCTTCTTATTTATATATGTATATTTTTTTTTCTTAGTTTTAAAAGCAAGGAATATACACTACAATGTAAGCATGAACACAAATAAAATAGTGCTACAATAAATAGAAAAGCTCTGTCTTAATTTGGTTACTTTGTTACACATATCTTGATCCGAACAAAAACAAATTTCTATCGGTTTCTTATTATCTCGTTGTATTTTTCGACATCCATTTGACGTGCTGATGCCCATCTCAGCTGTTCGTAGTAGTTCTTCAGCTGAAAAACATCGACGACTCGATTTTAATGATGATATAGCAGCATCTTTTAATTTCAAACGTTCTTGACTATTATTTCCTAATCGTTTCATATCAAGTACATCAACTGATTTCCAACATTTACCATCGCAATCTTCTAATGTATGTTCAGTAAAATCAAATTGTGCTTGACAGTCTTCAGATAATATTAAAAACAAATAATTATAATCATGTTGCAAATTAAATTTTATACGTACCATCTTGCAATACTCCTGGTTCTTCAATTGAATCAATCGAAACGTCACACTTCCAGCATTGTAGTGAAGATTCACGTGAGTTACTTTGATCGGAAATATTGAAAAGATATAATATCAATAGTAACCATTTACTTGTCATCTCCCATTCATCAACAATAGATCGAATTCATGTAATGCATAGAAATGAATAAATTGTATGGAGATTTATTTGCTCAAGAACAGTGCTCATCTTTTTCTCTCTTTTTTTCTTCTTCTCTTGTGTTTGGTCGGTCATTTATATCTTCTATCGATGAAATCTAAAGGTGACAAGCTCATCCGTTCATCCTTCTTTCCTTTTCTTCTTCTCTCTACTGTCGAAATTTTCTGGTCATCTGCTTTATGTTCACTATGTGTGTATTAGAATAACAATACGAATGTATTTTGTTAAATAAACATCAGATTGTCTGTTTTTTTTCTACGCACAATATTTGTGAAGTGGATATAAAGAAAAGAAGTCCATTCGTATCTAATTTAATATACTGTGCGGCATTTCTGAATATGGATATATTATCTATTATTTTCGGCATATCCTCAAAAAAATATATGCAACAGTCATGAGTTTTTTACTTCTGTCAAATGTCAAATATTTGCTTTTCATGATGTCATCATGTAATATATTTTTTTAGACGGAAGACTGAAAATAGAAAGAGGATCTGACGCGTAAGCGTACAATTGGTGCGCTTGTGAAAGTGCAATTTATCTCGAAAGCCATAAATATTTTTATCTCAGTGAAAAATATATGTTCATGATAAAATTTCAATTTAATACTTTTGAATAAAGACATTTTAATCATGAAGACATACGTGTCAAACTTGAAACTTGAAGTCAATTTTCAACTTTTAAACCAATAGCATTCTGAAGAATCGTGACTCATACATATAGCGCTATGAGTTGAAAGTTGACATTTGTTCTATTTTCAACTGAATTCAAGTTTCAAGTTTGACACTACTATCATGAAGATAACCATATGTGTTATTGTCGTCATGTTAGTCGTTTTTTTTTACATGAATACAGAGCTATAAATCACTTGCTGCTCTTTCTGCGATAATTAAAATGTCTCACACCTTGTGTTCTTCAAATTGCAAACAATGAGACAAAAGAAAAACACAGTGAATGTGTGTTGATAACTTGATGATTGTTCAGTTCGATTTTGATTAGAGCTATTCGTAAGCTGTTTGAATGTTAATAGTAGAATGAATTTTGCAAACTCCTTGCTTGATGTGATAAAAATGTGATCGTAACGAAATCTATAAATGCATTTCATATTATGTTTTAAATTTCGACGATATAATATTCAATGTTCTGCAAGTTTAAGTTTGCTTTTCGATGAAAACAAAAACAAGGGTGTCATTGATAATATTTCTTAACACATAAAACATGGAAGTAAATCTTCTTTTCGAAGATTTACAAGTACAAGATATTTATCGCTGAGTGCGCTGTTTGGATATGTCGTATGCGCCATTATGTGCAAATAATATTGATACTCTCTTTATGATGATTATGCTTATTAATTGTTGCAAAACAGTCGTAATTCTATTTCTTCCATAGTCATAGTCGTAAATTTCTTTTTAACAACCATGACATAAGTGCATCACTATTAAGTCAACAGGTATTTATTATGCGTGTATAGAAATCAATCTAAAGTCTTTGAGATTTGTTAACATGTGTAGTGTAGTAGGAAGTTTTGTGCGTATATTAATTCTATTTGCCATCGGTGTTGTATTATTAATAGTTTCAATTGCATTGAATGCTGCTACGCTCAGTACTATTAATAAACGATTTGATGAGATTAAAAACGCTAATGGTCAGACAACCGTTTCAATTGGATCAACGACCAGGACTACAACTCAGCCACCATCATCCAGTGGAAATTTGACTGATTCGATTCGTATTGCAGATTTAATGTATCATCTTAACGAATTACAACGTATTGCTAATGATGCAAGCAATACTCGTGCTATTGGAACTCGTGGATTTAGCGAAACAGTTAATTATATTTATAATTACCTGGCAGTCAATGCTCCTAATTTAAATGTTGTTCGACAACCATTTCTAGTAAAAAATTTTACAGTTAAAGGAAATCCAATATTGATCTTATCGAGCGGTGACTCTAATAGAACGTTCACTTATTCAACTAATTTAGCAAGATCTGATTTCACCTATGCCAATTACTCAGCCCCGATCGCGTTAACAGAGTTCAACTTAACAGTTGTTCCTAATTATGGATGTGATCCGGCTGACTGGCAAAACGTAGCAGGCCAAGCAGCATTAGTAGTTTTAGGAGGCATATGTACTTTTGCTGAAAAAGGTGAATTAGCCAATAAATACAATGCTTCCGCTTTGTTATACTACAATCATGGGCTGACAACGGCGAGTCTTGCACCTGTGATTGCACGTCTTCGCCAAGTAAATACACTGCCAGCAGTCTGTCTTTCCTATGCTGCAGGACAAGAATTAGTTCGGGCAGCTAATATGACTAGTGCAAGTATTTGGTTACAGATTGAAATTGAAAATTATCCACCATTCATGATTGAAAATGTCTGTGCAAATACAAAAGAGGGCAACATTAATGAAACTATTGTTATAGGTGGTCACAGTGATAGTGTACCTGCTGGACCTGGAATTAATGATAATGGTTAGTATTATTTATTTTCTTCTAGTTTCCATTTTTGTAGATATTTTTGCAACTACAACCAAAGAAATCGTTCTATTCATGTTTAAAACAAAAGATCTCGAAGACATGTAGATCAGAGTTGTTTGTGTTCAAAATTTTATCATATTAGAAGATAAATATAATGTACGAAAAATTGAACAGTTTGACTTTATCAATACTATCCGAGACTCAATAGTTCAACTACAAATGCGTTAAGCTTTTGTTTCATTACTTAATAAAAACACGTGTGTTTTAATATTTAAGGTAGTGGCGCCATGGCTATTCTCGTTTTGGCAACGAATCTTGCTCGTCTCTATCAATCGGGAAATTATATCAAATATAAATATCGTGTTCGATTCTGTTGGTGGGCTGCTGAAGAAATCGGACTTGTTGGAGCAATCTATCATGCTCAACAAGCTCAAAATTCATCTGCTATTATTGGTAATCGTCTTCAGGATTATCTTATTAATCTTAATTATGATATGCTTGGATCACCTAATTACATGTTGGGCGTCTATAATGGAAGTTCTGCGAAGCCAGGTACCCCACCATCAGCACGCAATGGAAGTATTCGAATCTCTGAAACTTTTAGTAGCTGGTTTGATAGAAACAATTTACCTTGGGATTATACTGATTTTAGTGGTCGAAGTGATTATGGACCATTTTTAGCAGCCGGTATTGTTGCCGGTGGGTTATTTTCTGGCGCGGATGAAACGAAAACACCTGAGCAACGTGCTAGATATGAAGAAAAACTTGGTTTAGGCCAAGGTGGTTTGGCAGGCGCGATTCTTGATCCGTGCTATCACAAAGCATGTGACACTACTGATAATATTAATCAGTTAGGATATGAAAAAATGGTTCAAGCAGCAGCCTATATGCTTGAATATCTTGGTCGGCTAGATGACTTACCGACTTGGTTATATCCAAATGGGCGGCAAACGACTGAACTGCCAGAAAATTATTTTCCTAATAGTGATTACTTTCGAGATGTCGATAGTTAGTTCATAAACTATTAATTACTTGAATGAACAAAATATCTCGTTTTTTTTTGTGGATAATTATATTGATCTGATGAAATATATTTCACAAAGAATGAGATAATCTTAAAATAAACGAAATTGAAATGAAAAATTCAGATAAATCAAGTAGAAATCAATGTTTACCAACTCTTGCAATGCGATTCTACAGGATGTTCGCAGAGTTTTCTCATAAACATATTTTTGTTTCTCTTTCTCTCTTATTTTATTCAACTTTATCAATAAACTCTTTGAAATATCAAGACGATAGGCCAAGCTTTGATTTGTAATTACTTCGCAGTGCTAAAGTTTGAACAGGAATTAAAAATTATCCGTCGTTTTCTAGCTTCATAAGAAACATCGCGCAGTATTTTTTAAATTTATTCAAACTATTTAGCGATTCAAATATGTAAATTCTCGATTGTTGAAGTTTTCTTAATACTGAATTTCTATATTTCTATTAAAAGTCTTAGAATTGAGAAGTAACTCTCAGGTTGATTCTTACAAATCAAAACGTGGCGTGTTCTCTTATCATTTTTGAAAAAAATTGTAGACGAAGCTAAATAGAATAATAGAGAGAAACGAAAACATTTCTATGAAAGAACTTCTGGGACATCCGGCATTACGTCGTTAATAACAATTAAATAATATTATCACTACAGAAGACAATCAATAAATAGTTCTAAAAAAGCTGAACTAAATTTTCAGCTAAAATTGTAATGATAAAATTAAAAACAAATTAGGATATTTGTTTATATTCTGTTGATTTTTCAATTCGAGAAATGTTTCATCGAACGATAACATATTACTCCTAATAGTCAAAAAAGTTGTCTGTTCGAAAAAGATTTATTTATTCAATTTTCTATCGTCAATGCTACGAAAATAATCTCATATAAAAACGTATTCGTCAACTATTACATATATTTATAATTGTATTGTCTTGTTTCTTTACCCTGATTGAAAGATGAACTGATAATATGTCATTTTTTTTGCATCGAATTCAATAATTTAATAGAGCCATCACTTGATTGGTCTTATAGAGAAAGAGATTTGTTTTCTCCCCATTAATTTCAAGAGCATTCAGTGAAAAATTCCAGTTGAGTTATACTCACCGTTATGAAGAACAACAATTTGAATCTGAGTTCGATTAACTATTCCTGATATCATTCTGTGAAAACTTTCAGTAGTTCCTTGCCCTACGGAATGTTGAGATTTGATCAAAAGAATTTTCATGATAAGCTCAAATTGACGCGCGTTCAAGTGAAAGAAATATAAGATAACCAGGCGGCCAAGTTCACTACAGGTGAAAAGGCTTTCACTATAGCAAGGCGAAATAGACAATAGGAGATCTGGATATGATCTCGAAGTGTGATGATACGTTTTAAGTTGATAGAATGATAAGTCGGGAAAAGATAGGATCACCAGATTATGATCATTGAACATCAAGACACGTCAAATTTGTGAGGGTGCATTAAAAGTGATACGATGACACGTCGAAGAATGATAAATCGCTAGATGAAGATCATCATCATAGATCAAAGGAATCCATTAGTATAATATAAAGTAAACATTAAAAGATCGTGCAATATCCAACTAAGCTACAGACTAGTATAAATACTGATACATTTTCCGTAGTAAGTTACTCGATCGACTTCATCGCTAGTTGAACTGTTGGCAAATTTTCTTCTATGTGACAATCATTGACAACATCTATCATAGCATTATATTCTTTTTTAAACATACATTCTGCTCAACTAATGAAATTTCACGCCAACATGAACTATGTGGTACACCTTATCGTCAAATGTATCAAAGATCGCTAACAAAAATCATAGCCATCACTTTTTCATGGTATACAATTGTCAACAGGTATTGTTATTGATCCATTTTGGAAGCCAACCCGTTGTGGGATTTTTTCTTAACCGATTCATGGGTCATATGATCTAAAGTGAATTTGCTAGCTTGTATGTTGGCATACGCGTGTCAAATCGTGCATTTTTATATATTTAAGAAAGAGAAATCTTCTGAAAACTTCGGTCAAATGCTTTTGATAAGAATTTTTTCCTAAATTTTACAGCACAGCTTTCGAGTTTGAGGACTGCTAATCTTTGATGAACTATTCAAAATTTTGTTTTCAATTTTGTTATACAAAGAATTTTTTACCGTAGAACATCATCATTTGTTGGGGTCTACGACAATTAGTCGTATTATAGAAATGGTCGAAATTCTCGAAAATAAAATTGCAGAAAAGTTTTTATTAGTTTTACAGAAAAATAACTCAGAGAAATCTAGAAAATAGCTAACAATCTATTCGAAAATCAGGAGCATTAAATATGAATATGAATATCAATGTTCAGCAAACTCTTCTAATTACGTATAAAGCATTACACGAGAGCCAGTGGTAGTTGCTTTAAAACTTTGCTTAATGCGAATGATTTTTTTTCTTACTCGGAGGCCTCTGTCTGCTGCGCTTTTCGCTATTCCGCAATCAATATAGTTTTTATCTTTTCGTAATATGTCGATGAAGCTAAACAGCGAATGCCACCATTCAGTTAGCGTTTACCAGCGAGGCCATCTACTTATCTATTTCACGGAGCATATCTTCATTTTTACACATACCGTCTCAGCCTCAAGCTGTGCTATGTGTGATTGAGTCCCGCTTGTGTAAATTGCAGTTTTTTGGAATTAGAAAAGAACCATGCTTCTGTCGAACATGCGACGAAATCTACACTGCGACTAATTGTCGTATCACCCAATTCTCGCTCTCCCCATTTGTTGAAATAGTATATTTTAAGGAGAGATCGACTAGTCGTTCATTGGTGCGCATCACAGGTCACCGCCAACAAATGACCATTCATAAGAACACTGTTTATTTTTCTTAAGGAACGATCTGTATAAAATCTCCGGCGTTCTTTGAGATTAATACATTTAGAAACAACTAAGAAAAGAACTCAGTAAAGTCTCAAGGATTCAGAGAGACAGCAGTGTTAGGAATAAAAATTAGTTTATCAAAAAAACAAGGATATTCATACTAAAGTATGTGTCTGTATCGTGCTCAAGTGTAAGGACATTGTTTGCCTGTTAATTTAACGAAAATTTCGGTGTAAATTAATGGACGATATTATCAAAATACATATGACTCTGAAAGTAAACATACAGGAAATCAGAGTAGAATCTTCTATACTAGGTTTTAATTGATTTAGAAAAATAACAGATTTCGTAAAAACGAGCTCTGATTCGTCCTTTTTGTTCTCAAAGATAATAAAATGTTCACGAAAGAAAAGTTTTATTCTTTGACGAGTCAAACAATTAAATTTTTATTTTCAGATAACAAGATTATTTCTTCATCAGATTTAATTATTCAAACATAACTATTTAATCATTTCAAATAATTACGGGAGATTTATGACGAAACGACAAAAAAAACAAAGGTAATAAAAATAAGATATCTCAATAAGATAGCGGTAACAGGGAAAAAGTGATTTATTGTGGCCATATATAATTAGTTAATCATCAGAAATAAAATGCAATTTAAATTGAAGACTTTTTATCTTGAATTGTCCGGACAATATTTTTTTAATCGATTTTGAGAATTAGTATTTTAATAAGACAAAACTCTTTTCCAAGTTTTGTTTTGAACTATGATTTTCAAGAAAAGCATTTAAATCAAACTTACCAATTCTTGTAAATGAATGATTTCTTTTTATTAGAAAAAAATCAAATGAAAGGATTTAATACACTATTTTCTGCTCAAAACCAACGACTGTTACCAAACAAAAATTCAATTAAGTTATTGAGTCAATATCAATTACTGATACTCGAAGGTATTTTATTTATTTTTATTTTAAACGAATGCTATGATCTCATTTACAAGCACCGTAAAATATTATTGCTTGAATTTACACTTGGAACTGTATAGATTTACGCAAAAAGATGTGGGCGCATGTAATAATAGTTAAATATAGTATCTACAAATAAATGAGTAACAGGGTTGTAACGGTTGTCGACCGTTAAGGTTCACTTCATATGTACGATTCTTTCTACTATACTCACGAGTTCATACTTTGATGTTATGACTATCTCTCGCTGTTCTACCACATGACTGTCATGTTTGAGTTTCTATCCGCTGAGACTTGAGCGCTTTCTAAATCTGCTATATGAGAAAATATAAATGATTGTAGAACATGACTAGATATGTCCAACCGGTACACATCGCCGTCATGCAAACAATAGTAAAGGTAAAATTTTGTCAATTTTACATACAGGTAAGCTGTGATCGTATTAGATTCAAACATTACTTAAGCCAACATGAGTCACTCACGTACAACTAAAAAGACATTAAAAACGTTCATTGCTTCCTCCAGTACACAGAAGGTTCATGAACAGGATGTAAATATTAATCTTGTATCACTGCTTTATCTCCCTTCGATAAATATAAGAATAATTTACATCGTAAAAAACCATGATATTTACTAAATTTTGTTCTCGAATGATAAGACTTCCTCGAAAACAAAAACAACAACAAAAATGATCTTTAGAAATTGTCGTGTTTTTACTAATCTTATTTTTAATGTCAATCATACATACAGTTCTCCACTTCATTATTCTCTTTCATCTTACATTATACTTTTATTGATAAAGAAGAATCAAGCATGCGGTCAGACGAAGTCACTCATATCAATCCTGACAGCAATATTAATAAAACTATGAAATATGCCAAATTCATTTTACCTATATTGGGCATTTCGTTAATTCTGGGAACGGTCGTTATTGCCCTATCAATAGCAACGCTTGTGAAAGTAAATAAGAAAGCCGATGAAATCTTGTACAACAGCGAAAAAACAATCATCACTTCAAAAGCAGCTCAACCCTCTGAGTCTACATTGGCAGCATCGATTCGTATTGATGAAGTCATGACTTACCTCAACGAATTACAACGTATTGCCACTGCTTCCAATGGAACTCGAGCTGTTAATACGCATGGATTCAATGCAACACTAGACTACATTGTCAACTATTTAACTGCAAACACAAACTACAAAGTAAACAAGAACTATTTTTACGTTAGAGACTTTGCAATTGGAAGTAATCCAACACTAAGTTCATCAATAAATGGTGTCCACAAATCCTATAATTACTCGGTTGACATCTCCGCGGCAGACTTTTACTATGTGAAGTATTCAACTTCAGTCAATTTTTCAAACAATATGCAACTTACAGCTATACCTAATGTTGGCTGCACCGACGATGATTGGAAGAAAGCTATACCACCACCTGAAGGTCGAGTGGCACTTCTCAAACGTGGCATTTGTTCCTTTCGCGAAAAAGGACTACTTGCTACTAAATATAAAGTAGCTGCAATTCTATTGTATAATGATGGTATTTCACCGGATAGAGTTTCACCACTCGAAGTTAGTCTTGCTCAAGATAATACACTACCTGCTCTTTTTCTATCGTTCCCCGTTGGTCAAGCTCTTGCCAATGCAGCTATCGACTTATCTACAAAAGCCACCGTACAACTGAGTATTCATGCAAAGGATCTACCCCATTTTCCCGTAGGGAATATTTGTGCAGATACTCCAACAGGCGATCCAACAAAGACGATTGTCATTGGTAGTCATAGTGATAGTGTAACAGCTGGTGCCGGTATCAATGATAATGGTAAGTTCATTATTGTAATCATGTCTCTAGTGTTTCAGTATTGAGTTTTATTATACTACAGGTAGTGGCTCTGCAGCGAATCTAGGTCTTGCTGTGACTTTAGCTCGCCTATTCCGATCACCAGCATATCCGAAATATAAATATCGAGTCCGTTTTTGTTGGTGGGGCGCTGAAGAAATAGGTCTTCTTGGCTCCGAATTTCACGTGAAACAAGCAAAAACAGCGAACGCTGTCGGCGAACGTCTATCAGACTATTTAGTGAATCTCAATTATGATATGCTTGGTTCTCCGAATTACATGTTTGGTATCTATGATGGGCGTACAGCTAGAAATGATACCCCACCGCAAGCACTACCAGGAAGTAACAAAATTACAGCTTTGTTTCGAGATTGGTTCATTCGAAATAAGCTACCATGGGATTATACAGATTTCAGTGGTCGAAGTGATTATGGCCCATTTCTAGCTGAAGGTGTAGTTGCTGGTGGATTATTCTCAGGTGCTGATGATATGAAAACACAAAAGCAACGTGATCGTTACGATGAAATACTTGGGCAGGGATTAGGAGGTATATCAGGGATTATACATGATCCATGTTACCACAGAGCTTGTGATTCAATACAAAATATCAATTTGTTCGGCTATGAGAAGATGGTACAAGCAGCTGCTTATGTTTTAGAATTTTTAGGTCATGAAGATGATTTGAAAACCTGGCTCTATCCATCTGGTGCCAGACACTAATTGTCTACTGGAACGAATTCGAAATTGAAAGACAGATTTTTATCGCAATAGTTGAGTGTTTCGGGTTCTATTCGGTTTACTGTCAGTATGATTTTGTTTATCTTTTCGATATTGATAATTTCGTGTTTGCCTAATCATTGGATTATGATCTTTTGTCCAGTTCACTGCTAGAGAGATGCTTTTTGTTCCTTTTTTTCCTGTGAAGATTTGCTGGAAGATACATTCGTGTTTAATTATATTTGTTTCTGTTTCTTTTTTCTATATACATTTCTCTAGAGTTGGAGTGTATCACTTTACTAGTTATCAATAGCTTGCTTTTATCTTCTTTTATTGGACTTGATTCATTTGATCCAGAAGAAAATGGACGGAAACTGAATAAATATTATAATAAAGGCTTCTAATTAATATTAAAGATAAAAGTTTAAAAAGTTTGCTTGGAGTGAAGATTTAGTGGGGAGGGAATATTGAATATTATCGAATTTCACATATACGATTTCTGAAAGAAGTTGACTACTGTACGTTTGATATTAATGACATTTACTGTAGACTAACTGGATATGACGTAGTAGGTTAATACATCTGAGTGTACTCAGCTATGACTAGTGTCGATTGCTATCAAGGTGTACGACAATGGAAGAATAGGCAAAAAAAGAAAAAACAATACAATGCAAGTATACCCGTCAACATTACTTCGTCGTCTTATTTGTATTTATGTTCTCTATACGTTATCGTCATCTTGTCTTTCGTAAGCGTTCGAAAACAAATTGGCTTTGCATTATGTGAAATCATTGAATAGTTTATTTTCACACTGTCGTTGTTGGTGTTTCATAAAAAAGAAATTAATCTTGAACGCAGAGGTATTTAAAATATTACAGTCTTTACTCAGCGTTTTTATCAAATGGTAAACATTGCTGAAACCTAAACAATAGATAACATTTAAAAGTTACTCACTTCACTTGTTCTCCTTTAGTGAATGTCAACCATAGCATTGTTCTTCATCCCATTATTTCCTATCATTTTTCATTCCATCTCTGCCGATGAAGACGAAGGCATAATGCTACCACATGAATCGTCTATTGCTAATAGTGGCAATAGCATTTTAAAAACTATGAAGTATGCCAAACTTATTATAACTATATTGGGTATTTCAATACTTCTGGGAACGGTTGTTGTTGCCCTATCAATAGCAACGCTTGTGAAAGTAAACCAGAAAGGCGACGAAGTCTTATACAACGCCGAAAAATCCATCATCACTTCAAAAGCAGCTCAACCATCCTTCGAGTCTACATTGGCAGCATCGATTCGTATTGATGAAGTCATGACTTACCTCAACGAATTACAACGTATTGCCACTGCTTCCAATGGAACTCGAGCTGTTAATACACCTGGATTCAATGCAACATTAGACTACATTGTCAACTATTTAACTGCAAACACAAACTACAAGGTAAACAAAAATTATTTCGATGTTAGGAATTTTGCACTTGCAACTAAACCAATACTTATTTCATCAATAAATGGTGTCAAAAAATCTTATAACTACTCGACTGATATCTCCACCGCTGATTTTTATCATGTAAAATTTTCCACTTCAGCCAATTTTTCGAATAATATCCAGCTTACAGCTATACCAAATGTTGGTTGCACCGACGATGATTGGCTAAAAGCCCTGCCATCGCCAGAGGGTCGCGTGGCACTTCTCAAACGTGGAATGTGTACCTACCGAGACAAAGCAAAATATGCGACTAAATATAAAGTAGCTGCAATTTTATTCTTTAATGATGGTATTTCACCGGATAGAGTTTCACCTCTGGAAGTTAATCTTGCTCAAGATAATGCCATACCTGCTCTTTTTCTATCATTTTCTGTTGGTCAATCACTAGCCAATGCAGCTCTGAACTTATCAACAAATGCCAATGTGCAATTGACTATTGATACAAAAGACCTGCCAAATTTTCCCGTAGGAAATATTTGTGCAGATACTCCAACAGGTGATCCAACACAGACGATTGTCATTGGAAGTCATAGTGACAGTAAAGCAGCTGGCGCCGGTATCAATGATAATGGTAAGTTCATTATTCGAATAATCTTTCTTGTATCTCTACATTTGAATTTGGTTTATTGTAGGTAGTGGTACTGCGGCGAATCTAGCTCTTGCTGTAACTCTTGCTCGTCTTTTTCGATCACCAACCTATCCAAGATATAAATATCGAGTCCGTTTTTGTTGGTGGGGTGCTGAAGAATTAGGCCTGCTTGGCTCAAATTACCATGCTAGAGAGGCCAAGAGCGCAATTGTTGTTGGTGAACGCCTTTCTGATTATTTAGTGAATCTCAATTATGATATGCTTGGTTCTTCTAATTATATATTTGGTATCTATGATGGACGTACAGCTAAAAATGATACCCCGCCGAAAGCTCTTCCGGGTAGTAATCAAGTTACAGCTTTGTTCCGAGATTGGTTCATTCGAAATAAGTTACCATGGGATTATACAGATTTCAGTGGTCGAAGTGATTATGCTGCGTTTCTAGCAGAAGGAATCGTCGCTGGTGGGTTATTCTCTGGCGCTGATGATATGAAAACGCAACAGGAACGTGATCGTTATGATAAAATGTTGGGTCAAGGTTTAGGAGGTATATCGGGAATAACCCATGATCCATGTTACCACAAAGCTTGTGATTCAATACAGAATATCAATTTGTTCGGCTATGAGAAGATGGTTCAAGCAGCTGCTTATGCTTTAGAATTTTTAGGACGACAAGATGATTTAAAAGCCTGGCTCTATCCAGCTAGGGGCACGCATTGATTATATTTTGGAATCATCTAGAATAGATAGACAGAATTTGTGTGAATGATGGATTGCTTCGGCTTGTATGGAGTAGAATGATTCTATTGTTTCATTTGTTTTCTTTCTTGTCGATATATCAGAGTTAGCTTTATTATCGAATCTTTATCTTGTGTCATGTTCATTATTAGAAAGAAGCCTTTTTTTCATTTTCATTCCTGAATCGTTTGATTGTGGTCAAGATTTTCTCGAAGATATGTTCGCGCTTAATTTCATGTTTTGATAGTTGCAAAGAAAAACAAGACAACTATGCAGTGAAAGCCTCATATCAGTAGTGACACAGCCACACGATGAATTGCATACCAATTATTAATAAATTCTGACTGACATGCTTATTGAACAGTATAAATAGAAAAATAGATTGTTTTATGACTTATAAATTTATACGTCGTTCAAAGAAGTTTTTCTTTTCTTATTGGCGCATTCATTTATATTTGGCCTCGAACATAGGCAATACATGAAAATATCAACTCGGCAGTTTACAAGCAGATGATGCAAACTCCTGTTTTTATTTTAGAAACTTTGAGAAAGGCGGAATCCTTTGAAAATATGGTTGTATCTATCAGATGACACTCGCTGATTATCAAGTCGAAGAAATGATATGTAAAAAGTACTAATCGTGAGAAAAATCAACTAATTTATATGCTTTTCTTCTTAATCTTTTCTTTTTTAAATGTCGAATATCTACACGGTATTAATTTTATCCATATCATTGTATCTCACAATATAATATCTCTTCTGTCATTAAAGTAAATATGACCGACACGACAGCTATTCAACTTGAAACTAAAAATAAAATGATGAAAACTCTACAATACAAGAGATTGAAACTACCGATTCTTGGTATTGTATTTATTTTTGGCACGCTAACCGTTGCACTTTATATCACTATTCTTGTGAAAATTAACAAGAAATTTTCTGAAAATGGATTCAGCACTGAAAAACTAATGATAAACTCGAAATTGCTTCATCAATCATCCGATTTGAGTTTGGCTGAATCTATTCGTATTGACGAAGTGATGACTTATCTTAATGAATTACAACATATTGCTACTGCTTTTAATGGAACTCGAGCTGTTAATACACCTGGATTCAATTCTACATTAGACTACATAGTCAACTATTTAACAGCAAATACAAACTACAAAGTGAACAAGAACTTTTTCTACATGCGAGACTTTTCACTTGCAAACAATCCAGTTCTAATTTCATCGATCAATGGTGTAAAAAAAAACTATACGTATTCAACTAATCTTTCGACTGCTGAATTTTATCACGTAAAATTTTCAATTTCTGCTAATTTTTCAAAAGGCGTTCCCTTAACACTTGTCCCAAATGGCGGCTGTACAGATGATGACTGGCGAAAAGCAAAGCCACCTCCTCAAGGACGAGTTGTATTGGTAGAACGCGGAATTTGTTTCTTTTACGATAAAGCAGTAATTGCTGCAAAATATAAAGTAGCTGCAATTTTATTCTTTAATGATGGTCTTGCACCTGATCGGTTTTCACCAGAAGAAGTTGTTCTTGCAGAAGAAAATGCTTTGCCAGCACTATTTCTCTCATACGCTGCAGGCGAAGCTCTTGCTAACGCAGCATTAGACTTGTCGTCAAATGCCAACGTACAACTATTTATTGATGTTAAAGACTTACCCGATTTTCCTGTAGGAAACATTTGTGCAGATACTCCAACAGGTGATCCCACACAGACGATTGTCATTGGCAGCCATAGTGATAGTGTAACTGAAGGAGCAGGCATCAATGACAATGGTAAGTTCATCATTCGAATAATCTTTCTCGTATCCCTACATTTAACTACGGTTTGTTATAGGTAGTGGCTCTGCAGCGAATCTAGCTCTTGCTGTGACTTTAGCTCGTCTTTTCCGATCACCAGCATATCCGAAATATAAATATCGAGTCCGTTTTTGTTGGTGGGGTGCCGAAGAAGAAGGTCTTGTGGGCTCCGTCTATCATGTCATACAAGCATTGAGCTCTACTGTTGTCGGTGAACGCTTTTCAGATTATTTAGTTAATCTTAATTATGATATGCTTGGTTCTCCTAATTATATATTTGGCATCTACGATGGACGTACAGTTAGAAATGATACCCCGACGGAAGCACTTTCTGGTAGTAATAAAATTACAGCTTTGTTTCGAGATTGGTTCGTTCGACATAAGTTACCATGGGACTACACAGGTTTTGATGATCGCAGTGACTATTTTCCATTCTTAGCTGGAGGTATCGTCGCAGGTGGACTATTCTCCGGTGCAGATGATGTGAAAACGCAACAGGAACGTGATCGTTATGATGAAATGTTAGGACAAGGTGCGGGAGGGATTGCAGGTATCATTCATGATCCTTGTTATCATAAAGAATGCGATACAATACAGAACATCAATGTATTTGGCTATGAGAAGATGGTTCAAGCAGCTGCTTATGCTTTAGAATTTTTAGGACGACACAATGATTTGAAATCTTGGCTGTATGCATCTAGCGACAGTCACTGATAATCAACCCGAAGAAATCAGTTATTGAAAAGGACATAATTCATTTGTATGAATGGGTGCTATAGGTTTTATACATTATTATCTCTATTTTCGTTTGTTTTCCTACCGTTCTCTGTCTTATTCATTCCTTTGTATTTGTATTTTTTCCAATGCTATGAATTCTTCCGTGGTGATTGTGTCTTTTGATGAATGCAACTTTTCTCAGTATTTTAGATACTGTATAGAAAATGCAAAGCAAAATTTTCCAATTTTTTTTCTATGACGAATGATTAATACCACTGGTACAGTACTAATAGTTCTTTTTTATTGGTGATGTTCTCAGGTTTTCTTAACATAATAGTTGTATCGATTGTGAGTATCGTTTCTCAGGAAGAAGACTTAGTCCAGTAGTGATTAGAAAATCTCTTGTTTTTTGTAATGCAAATGCATCATACGCTGTCATATAATAAACTATCCACATAGAATTACTCGTAAAACTTTTCATGAACCTTTTTGGCATTTCACACAAGACGAATATGTTTGCTCTGATTTAACACTGACAAACAGAACAATCGTTGCTTTCGGATATTTCGGCATACTCGTTTTTTTGATTTTGCAGTGATATCATTCTTTTGCCAGCGACCTTTAATTGCTTTCGTTGATGTCTAGGTATTAAGAATAACATTACAAAAAATAAGTTATTGTTATTGTTGTTTTGTTAATCTTCTTTCATAAATGTCGAACATCTACACAAAATTAGGTTTACCTATATCATTGGGCTGCACAGTAAGATTTTGATTACTTCTTCAAAGCAAACATGACAAACGCTGCAGTTATTCAATTCGAATCTAAAGATAAAATGTTGAAAACTACGCAATCCAAGAGATTTAAACTGCCAATTCTTGGTATTGTATTTATTTTTGGAATGCTAACCGTTGCACTTTCTATCACGATTCTTGTGAAAATTAACAAGATATTTTCTGGAAATCCACTCGGCAGTGATGAAAAACTAATGATGAACTCAAAAGCATTACGACAATCAGCTAATTCTGATCTGGCTGCATCGATTCATATTGATGAAGTCATGAGTTACCTCAACGGATTACAACGCATCGGTAAAGCTGAGCATGGTACACGTGCTGTCGGTACATCGGGATTTAATGCAACTTTGGACTTTATTAGAAGTTATCTAACTGCTAACACCAATTATAAGGTGACAACGAGTGTCTTCAGTGTCATACAGACTGCACTAGCTCGTGAACCCATCTTGATGTCGTCGATAAATGGTAATGTAGTCAATCATACATATTCGGCGAGTGCATCAAGCACTGAATTCTACTATGTGCAGCATACGAGATCGGCAAATTTTAGCGACTATGTTGACCTTACTGTTATACCGAATGTGGGATGTTCAGATGCGGATTGGCGCAAGGCAAGTCCACCACCAGCTGGTAGAGTAGTGTTAGTTAAACGCGGTGACTGTACTTTTGTGGAAAAGGGTGAACTCGCTTCAAAATATAAGGCTGCTGCTCTTCTTTTGTATAACGATGGTACAGCACCTGATCGTATGGCGCCTTTGTTTGTTACTCTTGGTGAAAATAATACATTGCCTGCACTTTTTCTGTCATTTGATCTTGGACAAAAACTTGCTACTGCTGCTACTGAAATGAGAGCAGGAAATGTTCGTGCCAAACTCAACATTGTTCGACGCAGTGATTTTCCAATTTTATCTGCTAATATTTGCGCAGATACTCCAACAGGTGATCCAACACAGACGATTGTCATTGGTAGTCATAGTGATAGTGTAACTGACGGAGTAGGCATCAATGATAATGGTAAGTTCATTATTCGAATAATTTTTCTCGTATCCCTACAGCTGAATTTGGCTTGTTATAGGTAGCGGTACTGCAGCGAATCTAGCACTTGCTGTCACCTTAGCTCGTCTTTTTCGATCACCAGCATATCCGAAATATAAATACCGAGTCCGTTTTTGTTGGTGGGGCGCTGAAGAATTAGGTCTTCTCGGTTCTGACTTTCATGTTAAACAAGCAAAAACACTCAATACTATTGGTGACCGTCTTTCTGATTATTTGATTAACCTCAATTATGATATGCTCGGCTCTCCTAATTATATATTTGGTATCTATGATGGTCGTACAGCTAACAATGCAACACCGCCAGAAGCTCTTCCAGGAAGTAACAAAATTACAGCTGTATTTCGAGATTGGTTTATTCGACAAAATTTACCGTGGGACTACACAGATTTTAGTGGTCGAAGTGATTATGGTCCATTTCTAGCAGAAGGTATTGTTGCTGGTGGATTATTCTCCGGTGGTGATGATATTAAAACACAAAAACAACGTGATCGTTATGATGAAATACTTGGACAAGGTCTAGGCGGTATATCAGGTATCATTCAAGATCCATGCTATCACAAAGCGTGTGACTCAATTCAGAATATCAATTTGTTCGGCTATGAGAAGATGGTTCAAGCAGCCGCTTATGCTTTAGAATATTTAGGTCGACAACATGATTTGAAAACCTGGCTGTATCCATCGATTGAAGTTCAACATGTACATGCTCGATCACAAAAACTACAACAAAAAATAGTCCAAGAGTACAATTCAATGAATGAACACTATGATATCTTTTTTTCTGCATAAATCTTTATTTTATACAAATAAACGTTTCAGAGAAAATCTACAATAGAAATAGTATTTTAATGATTGGATTAGTAATTAAATTAATATCACAGGAAAAGCATTGGAGTTGAAAGTGTTAAATTAAAAGCATTACATTTTCTCTCTCCTTATATTATGTTTGATTCTCTTTAGTGAACTTTATCGGTACGAAGAGCGTCCTCTGTATATAAGTAGATATCGTGTAGAGGTGTATTTTGCTTCAATCATCTTATAGGAGAACAGAATCAGCTGTTAATATGATTCACTGAAAATAATGTCGAATGATGATGATGATGACGACGATCATGTTGCTTGTCCATTTCAATGTTTATCTCAAGAAGCTCGAGAACTTTATTTAGAAAGTCATATTTCACGTATTCCTGTTCCATCACCACTTGTGTTCTATCGAGATTATGTTAGTCGAAATAGACCCGTTATTATTCAAGGAGCACTTGATCAATGGTCCGCTTTATCTAAATGGAATACTCTTAATTATTTTCGTGATCAACTTGGTGATACACCAGTAACAATTGATATAACTCCTGATGGTTATGGAGATTGTGTTAAACTACATAAATATTTTGTTACACCAGTAGAAGAAAAAATGCCGTTTAATCATTTTATGGATATTATTGAAGGAAAAAAATCATTCGACGGTATTGTTTATTGTCAACATCAAAATAGTTCGTTTACAACTGAGTTTCAACAATTAAATAATGATATACATGAACTTGGTTGGGTTCGAGAAGCATTCGGTTAGTTTTCATTTTCATGATTGCATGCTATTTTGATCCTATTCAATTCACAGGACAAGCACCGGATGCAGTTAATCTTTGGATTGGTACGTCAAAATCTATCTCAACTCTTCATCATGATCCCTATGAAAATCTTTATGGTGTGATACGTGGTCGTAAACATTTTACACTCTATCCACCAACAGACTTTTATTGGCTGAATCAAAAGTTCTATAAAAAAGCTCATTACGAACGGTATAATTCCACACAGAAAATTATCGATGACGATGGTATAAATTTAAAAGTGGATGAAAATTTTATTATTGTACCCGATGACGCCGAAGTTCCATGGTTTGATCATACTGAGAATGATCTTCAGGAACAAACATATTTAAATCCATTGAAGATTACTGTTGAGCCGAATGAACTTTTATATTTACCATCATTATGGTTTCACAGTGTCGAACAAGATTCACCAATCACAATAGCTTGTAATTTTTGGTATGATATGGAATATGATATTAAATGGAATTATTATCAATTTATGTCAAATATTATAAAACAACAACGAAAATCTGAAAAAAAGCGGACATAATTGTTTGTTTTTCTTGTTCAGAGTCATCAATGGTTTTCTTCTAACGAAAAAAATCTATATTCATTATTCTTATTCGTTACTTCTCATCGTTTCCTATCAAAGTAAAGAGAAAATAAAATACGAAGAGAGAGAAAAAGAGAAAGAAACTATATAGCATGTTTCTATTAGAATATATCGTTTCACATTAATTGCTAGTTTTTCTTTGTTAGTTTTGTATAAAACGACGAGTGCGCTCAACTATTGTCTAACAAAAAAATAAAGTTCTGTGAGAAAAATATGACATTTAAAGGCATGTTAAAAATTTTAATCAATGATTATCGAAAACAACATGTAAGTAATTTTGTTAGAAGATAATTCATTAACTGAAAATTATGTATTCGTCTTGATTGTTTAAGAAACTTGAATTCATTTATATGAAATTTTATAAATATTCCTATGAATCCTTGAAAATTGTTTGTTGTTCGAGTACACAATGCATTCTAATTTAATATTCGTGCTAGATTCTCTACGTGTTAATATATTTTATGATGAAATATTCATTGTAAGAACTTTTCCATTTATCCATCCTTAACTCATGTAGTAATCGATATTCGCAGATGTTTAATTCGGAGAGTTGATTGAAATGCATGACTATAGTCATTTAATGTTAATTGAAAATAAGCATTTTATAACTTCAAAATACGATCTATGATGCTTTTATTAGTTACCCCTTTTTTTGTTATTTTTAATTAGGACGCAAAAATGTTTTCTATTGTTCAAGAACTAATGAAAACACAACGAGAATTGCGCGACGTCAAAGAGCAACTGCGTGCTGTAGGTTTATTCTTGGATGTTAATAATAATTTTCTATTAGACTATATTTTTTTTGATTTTTTCAGTTACAAACAAATGATGCAAGTGCATCATTTAATAAAAGAAATATACCTGCGCAAACGGTCCGTTTATTTATTCAATATAATGGATTTTTCAATCGGCAATGTGAGCTTCGTCACACGATGACTGTCGGGGAACTATTGGTACGTTCTACAACCTTAAGGACTTTTTTTTCTTCATAAAAAATGAAACTCTATGTAACGTAGGCTAAACTTCGGCAATTAACTGGAACTCCATACGATCATCCTATACGGATTCGTGTAATTCAAAAAGATGGCTTAACAACATTATTTTTTCTTCCTGATGAACCTGAACGAACGCTAAAATCGTATAAGGATTGCTTAAAAGATCAAATGATTTTAAGTATTGAAGATGCCGAAGACGCTGATGTTGATAATCATAAAGAAAAACATTTACACCTATCTAAAAGTACAACGAGTAGTGAAAAAATCTATTCATTTGATGAATCTGATGTTTAGCATACGAGAAAAATACCAACAACATTATTTTCATTTGATGCATCTACTTTTTTTAATGTGTTTTTGTCTATGGAAACGTGCTGGCACATATATCCCACTTATCTATTTAATCAAATGTTTTTAATTCAAATAAAGAACCATGATTTACGAAGGATCTATTCAATGATAATTTCCGCCCTTGGAATAAACATTTATTTAATGTATTTTATTCATATTTTGAAATAAAATTTGATTTGAATCTAATATTTTAAAAGCTTGAAAGAAAGTTTGTCGTGAAATCATGATCAATAGTTGCTGAAAGGATGTGTCCAATCAATCATGAACTGTCATATAAGATAGCTGTTCACTGAATGATGAATACCAGACTTAAGTTAATATCGAACACAATGAAATAGAGAAAAAAACAGATGAAAACGATTGTAATTCATAGTCACTCCTCTTCAAAAGAGATTGTCATTAATAACTCTTGACCTGAATAATTCTACCGTCATTCATAAAAGGCTTTAATAGTATAGAATTGTGATTCTTTATGAAAATAATTTTTATTCCTGAGTCAACGAATAAACAGAACAGGATTTTCTTTTTGAATAATACAACAAAAATAAATCATTTTCTTATTACAAAAAAAAAACAAGAAGAACATTATCATTTTTCTTCTGTTTGTACTTCAATCACTTCAGTATTTTCCGTTTTCGTTAATTGATAACCAGTTCGATTTGTCGGATAGAAAGCTGTATATCTGCCAGCAATATATGACATCATGGCAAGACTTAAACAAGCGAAAACAATCGATGTTAACATTAAACGTGCACAAATGCCATTTATGATTGATCGATGTGTATAAACAACAATACCGATGAAGTGTAACAATAAACTAAGAAATACGAACAATGGTGCTAGATAAAAATATCGTCGAAAATATGCAACGAAAACCATTAGAAATACGCTGATAGTTGCACATAGTAACAATAGTGTACTAGTGATTGTTAGAAATATAACCCAAACATGCTGATTAGAATTTGATATACATTGAAAACGATTACATCTCTTGAACGGGCCATGCCAATGAACTTCACCATCCGATGAATATTCATTAATTGTCCATGAACTAGAGAGAGAAAAAGTGAACCATTCGTTTTACTCGAGTGAAAAATGATTATTTATTTACTAACGGTGTAAATAATGCAATAATAGTCAAAATTAATCCAATTAGACATAGAAATCCAATAATAATTGTCCGAATGTGATCGTATTTGTTTTTGTTTGCAGCGACGGTCATCTTTCTTTCGATTGAAAAAAAATGCGTATGTGTGTCAACGTCCTTTGTGCACGTAAACGAATGTTATACGCATGTTGTTGTTCGTGTTTCTTCTATACATTCTTAAAAGCAAGATAGAATGATGACCGATTGGACATTGAATAGTGCACGTCCGGAATGTTAGGTGTCGAAAAAAGAAGAAGAGAACATTGCGATTGTTTGTGAAGTTTTAAAAAGAGGTGCACAGAACAAAGAAATAAATCAATGTAACGGGGGGAAAAAGAAGAGACTCGTCTGTGCCGATCGACGATACCCTATACATTAATTAATCTAATCGATAAGACACATTTGTAAAGTGTGAGCTACGTGAATATCGTAGTGTCGTTTGTTTAGAGAAGAACCCCGTGTCGTGCTCTTTTAACACGGGTGCCCTTCTCTTCAGAATTTTTGTATTTCTAGTCAACTTTTTTTCTTGACTCAAACGTCCAATCAAATGAATCTAATTGTCAAATATTATTTTACTGCATATCTAAATCGAACAGAAAGCATTGTTTTCATAATCTCTTAGGATCAATACTTAACACAGTTGTCTCTATATCGCCATACAACTTATTCTAGGTTGCCTTATCGAGGAAATACGATAACACGATTTATGTTAAGACTTTCGTAACTAGAACTATATGCGCACTACTACATGAAAATGATCTATTTATTTAAAAATACAATTTTAAATGTTCAATATTATAAATTGTAGTATTTAAAATATCTTCGGTAATCTTGCATTGATGGTTCATTTAACGTTTCGACAATTGCAGTTTGTTTTAATCCTCCAAGCTTAACGAGTGCTTTATCATTGAATGTCAGATTGTGCTTCTTTAAAAAAGAAGACTTTACGATTATGTCATTGCCCGCTTTTGTTTGGTTTGATGAAATAAAGACAGTATTTTCTATCGTATCGTAAGAATCGATTGAATACAAGCTGTCACTTCCTATTGAAAAAGATCAGCCTTTAGTTGTCTATCATTTTGGCATGATAGAATTCATACATCTTCTTCCGTTTACTAATTGATGTCGGTATTATACTTGTGCCATAATAATATTTCGGATTAAATTATCTCATTATAAATTTCATTCGTTATTCTCAATTTGAATAAAAAGTTTAAGTTATCGACAACGATGACCAGATTGAAAGATACATTTCGTTTTCTTCTTCAAATACATTCAATCTAAAGCTTATGTATGCATTGTTAGTTCACGTATAGGTAGTATTTCTTTCCTTGTATGTGTGCTTACAACTTAAGATGATAGTCCATACCATATTTCTTATTTGGCTATGACTGAATCGTAGTTGGCAAGCTTGAATACGTGCATCGAATTGTGAATGTGAATGTGTGCTCGTCTACTTCTATCTGATTTAGTTTCTTCTTCTTTTCTTTTTTTTTATTTGCTCAGACGCAAGTCTCTTCTCCATTTCTTCTTTTACGTTTTATTCAGCAGCAGTGACGACGACTATACACTAGCAGCAGTGATTGATTGTGAAATTTGTTGTATATGTTCTGTTCTTACTACTCTCTCTCTCTCTCTCTCTCTCTTTCGTTCCCTTTCCTTCTCCTTCTCCTTCTTCTTCATCTTTCTTTATACTCTCAAGTAGAGCAAACTAGCGATGCGCCAGTATGGACCTTCGAGTATATGTTGATGGTGTTGCGCGCATCATTTGTGATTTGACTCGTACAACTACTGTTCATGATATCATTATTGCATTAGCACAATATATAGGTAAAACTGGTCGATATTCATTAATTGAACGTGCACCTGATGGTGCCCATCGAACATTATCACCAAATGAATTTACATATGAACTTATTAATCATCCAGATTGGTTCTATATATTAAGACAAAATTCGTCCAATACTGATTTATCCGATAATCAAAAACGTTCGAAAAGCTTAGATGAACGAAAGACACTCACACAACAGCAATCCATTGTTGAAAGTATGTTGATAGAATTTATTACCTTAGAGATATAGACAATGTGTGCATATGCATACAAAACGACCTTGAACGATAATGCGATTCACTAAGGCACCATATTTTTGAAACAGGACAAGCAAATACGATTGCGTACAAAGTTTGTTCTTTTACATTTCTAATCTTGAATATATATGTATATATATAAATATGCCATAAATTTTCTTAAGATAGACAATGGCAACTACAAATTTTTTCTCCTGTCCTCTGTTTAAGACTCTCCATTATTCATCTACTTCTCTCGGTCTAGTGCACTATTCTCGCGTAAAAGTTCAAAGCAACATTATTATTATAATCCACCGATACTCCTTTTTTTCCTCGGATAGAAGAGGTGGTACCACCAACGTGTAATCATACGTGTGCATACATATATATGTAGATCACTTAACATCATACAAAACATACATATAGAGTATCCTTTCATTGAGTGAACAACACGCGCTAATATACAATGCCTCGAGCAAAAAGAAAAAGAATATAAGTTAATATCAAGCACCTTACGTTAGAACTGATCAGCTTATTACTACGTGTCTACTCTAAGGATTAGTACAGTGTCGAAGACTCATTGATCAACAGCTGTTGTCATCGTACGCATGTCTATCGAAGAATCTTAAACAAAAAAAAATGATGCAATGTACGTGACATATATCGGCCTAGTGCTACAATATTTGATCAATCTTGTATTAGGCAAGATTAATTCAAGATGGAGTTCAAGTTGCAAACGAAAGCCTGCTTAAGTGTATTTCGTTATTCAAATAGGGACTATTCCATCATGATATCGAGTCACATATCGTTTGTAAAAATAACAAAAAATATTCAACAAAAATCTTTTTTTGTTGTCTTTGCAATCGATCATAAAAGTCATTGACGAATAGCAACAACAATCACTAAGCACACACAATCCACCTTGGCATGTCTTCTAACGTATATATCTATATGGTTGCAAGTCGTTCATCCATACGTACATATAGCTACACATATACAATGTAAAGTTTATCTTTGTGCATGTGGAAACAAAAAAAAACGCACAAGAGAGAGAGAGATAGTAATAGTATAGAGAAGGTTAATGATGTAGGATGACGAAAGTAAACACTCATATAAAAGTGAATATAAATCAAATATAGGATGATTTCTTTTCCTTTTCAAGCAATAATAATTGTCCATGTCTTATTCTAGTACCTTCAGCTGTTATCTCATCTTCATCATCATCAACAGCAACTTCAACATCTGGCCATTTTCGAACAGTAAATAATAATAATAATAATAATAATAATAACAATGGCTTTGCAACATTATCCTCCTCCTCTTCGTCATCAGTAAAATCTTCTGAAAAAAAGAAACGTTCTCATTTACGTCATATATTTCCATCGGATAATATAAATAATAATAATAATAATAATAATAATAATAATAATAATCATTTAAATTCTAATGAATATTCATCTCCACTATCGTTTATTATCGAACAAAAACGTTCGTCTCGTGCGCCCATTCAAATCATTGAACAAGATCTCGGTACATTAGATAATCGTCGTGGAAGGCCGAAATCTGCTTTACCATCAGCTAGTAACGAAAATAGTGCATTCCGTATTGTCTATAATCCCGATCATACTCAAAATGCTCAACAACACCAATATAGAGCTTTATTAAAAATACTTAAATCACAAGAACTTCAAGTTGAACAACAACAAAAAAAATTAAATGAAAAACAGAAAGGTTTGAATGAAGACGAAGAAAAATATTTCTTAGAGTTTTATTTTTTGTTCTCTAGAAATTGATTATCGAGAAAAACCTATTCAACAAAAAGATATTGAAAATCGATATCATTTAACTAAAGAAAACGATTGCCGTCTAACTACTGAAAATCAAATGTATACAGAAGAATATTCTACGAATGAACTTGAGAAGGAATTAGATTACGAAAAAAAATTGCATTCAACTTATGAACATGTACAACAACAAGTAAATCGTTGTTCAACAACATTAGAACAACAACGACAATTACAAGAACAAATTCAATTAAATGTAGAAAAAACACATGAAGATATTGAACAGATACAATCGAATATTAATGATGATAAAAAGGTTTGAATTAGAAAAATTGATGAAAACGAGCGAAGGAAAAAAGTATCGGATCTTATCAATAGAAAAGATAAGCTCATTTTTCTCATTATTGTCTTCTCTTATCTTTCGCAATCATTAATTTCTGTATGTACACTATTATACACATCCGTTGATGAGCATAGTCTTGTTTTACCTTCATTAATCGAGTTTATCCGAGGAAATCTTCTGTTTTGAATTTTGTTCCTGTTTATTTTATAGGATATTGGTCAATATCAGCATGAATTAGAACGTTCAAATGCTACTATTAATCAACAAGAAGATTTAGTACGCATATTAACACAACGTAATGAAGATATTGAACGAATTATTCAACAACGTCGACAACAACTCAATGACCTTGAAAACGAATTGATTAAATCAGATGAATCAGCTATTAATAGTAAGTCTACTAATACAATAAATATGTATGTTCTAGTTCAACATTTACCTATGTGAATTTTAGTTCATTTATAAAATCTAGATGAGGTTTGTTTTATTATTATTTTTTCATGCTTCAAAATTTTCATCAAGCAAAATGCACACATATATCACATTTATAGACCTATAGAATTCTTTGAATCTCGTAGATTAATGTTTCTCTAATTTTTCTTTTAGGTTTTATCCATTCTTCTTATCATTGTCGTCCGAATTCATCGACACCACAACATTATAATTCATTACCAGCTACCAATTCACTGTCAGCATCATCTACAAGTACAACAACAGATGCTTTTATGCCTGCTCATCTTCAATTAGTGAATAGTACTTTATGGAAATTGTGTCCAAGTGGAATATGGGTTTAGAACGCAAAAAAAAGACAGCAACATATCTTTATTATATGTATCAGTTATTTTTTTAAATATTTGAATGAATAAATTAATAACAAACTGTTTTAGTATCTAAAAACAGAGAAAGGAACATTTATAAGAAAATATAAATCTTCGTTTTTTAGTATGTGAAGCAATAGAAAGTGTTTAGGCTAAAACAAAAACTATCAATCAGTGTCAACTAATTTTATGCTTTCATTTTATTCAACCCAATTTTTTACATTGTTTTACTCATACATTCGATAGGATGAGAAAAACCGTTTTTTTTAAAGTAATAATTGATTTTCGTAGAAAAATGTTTCATGATTGTGAAGGTATACTTGAGTAAAATCGATTTGAGGTTGTTGTGTGCATTAGTCAAGGAAGAAAAACTCATTCCCAGCCATTCGAACGGCTAGGAATGCCAGAGAATGCCCAAACGAATTTTTCTTCCTTGGTTCTGCACGAGAGTAATACCGTGCAAATAATAAGTTTTGAGTTAATGGCGGCAAGAAAATTTCTATAAGATTAATTTTCAACCGAAATTTGTAAAAAAGAAGCATGTGAAGTGTGTGTGCTATTGTTGACTGAAGTAAAAATTTTAGACGATGTAGCTAAGAAGCATCGAATGAAACGCGACACAAGCAGTTTACTTCTTCAGCGAAATACGCTGTTGTCTTTGGCAAGCATAGTGCCATGAAGAAAGCAAAAGCCATCTTTGAGTAATGACCGAACAGTTGAGACCATTCGAATTGCAAGCACAAGAAAAGATAAATACGAACACATATAAATACAAATTTTCAAATTGATCGAAAAATGGCCAGCTCAAAGACTCAAGCTGAGCACAACAAAAATGCTAGTTTGGAAACACACAGCATATTTTGGTTAGATACGTCAGTCAACAATAAAGAAAATCGAGCAGCTCAACAAAAACTAAGAAAAATGATTAATCAAATACGGACTTGTGTCGATCGCAAAGAATTTTTGGACATCATTCGCACTATGCAGCAAGGCGGTCTGACAATTTTGATTGCAAGTGGTCAAATGAGTCGTATTGTCGTGCCAGAAATGCAAACATTACCTCAAGTATCATCAATATATGTATATTGTTTTGATAAAGAGGCTAATTTACAATGGAGCCAGCCATATAACAAAGTACGTGTATTTTATTATTTAAAACTATTCTATACATTATTAGTTTATTGAAGGTAAAAGCGGTGCGTATCAAACTGGATGAATTGATCGATATGATTCGAGCCGATTAAAATAATCTAGGCAGAAACGAACGTAGGATATCTTTGAGCGGGATTCGAGTATTTCTTGTAAGGATTCGTTAATACGTGGGACCAAGAAACGAAAGAGGTGGACCGAAGTAGAACTCGACGAGCTCTATCGTATGCACCATTTACTTTTTCTTCAGCACCTTTCCTACCTGGAGAAAAACCTGAAATACTGCAGAAAAAAGGCAAAAAAATCGTAGTCTTTTTGCAAAACATGTAAGGATTCGCTAATCCGTGGGACCAAGAGGTGAAAATGATACCAATCGATAGAACTCGACGAGTTCTATCTTGGTCCCACGTATTAAAGAATCCTTACAAGAAGTACTCGAATCCCGCTCAAAGATATCTTACGTTTCTTATCGTTGCTTCACTACCAAAAACATAGAATATCTTATTAATAAGATCGTAGGTTACATCATAAGGTTTGTAATCACTCAAAAGAGTGAATATTGTAAATTTTCCAGTGAATGGATCAATTTTGTATAATTTGTTTGATGTTGATCCAATTTCATACGTTGTTCCTGATAAATAACCTTTTGGAACTGTTCGTATGCCATTGATTGTAATACAGATGATGTATGGCAAGAGTAATGAAAATAGAAAAGAATAATTCATTAATCTAAAATTCCACGCAAGTGTACATTCTGAAGCTTTTCATGTCATATGCGGAAGTTTCGTCTATACCTATATCAACAGTAGGACACTCTGATTTCGAAAAAAGTTTTCCTTTTAAAGATCAGAATTTTTTGCATCAGAGCTGACAATATTTTTTTTCTGTCGTTTAAAATGCACGAGAATTTTGAGATTTCTGATCAGTTTTTGCGTAAAATATCGAAATGCAGAACAAGTCGATGCATTCATACAATTAAGTCAAAATAAATTTCTCGACAAAAAGCTTTTGGCATATTTACCGATTAGCTCCAAGCCGTAAAAGAGGCACAGATTCCAACGCTATCTCCGGTCATCCCAATTTTCTTTTAGCGGCACTTTTTAGATTAGAGTTTACTGTTTCAGATCAGTTAACTCTGGTAAAAATACAGGCACGAGGAGTCTATGAAATCGACGTCAAAAATCGGGCTTTTGCGAAAAACCCGATTTTGTCCAAGGTGTCCTGACTGAATACTTGGCTTAAAGAAGCTGAATTTTTTACTATAAAGAGATCTCACTGAAATACATGTGCATACAAAATTTCGGACCGGTACCTATTGCCAGTTCAGAGATATGAACCATCAAAGTTACGGAAAAAAGTGATTTGGGCCGGTTTTATGAAATCTATAGAATATCAAAATGACGGGTGGAGTTCAACATTTTTTTCATATGTAGAACTAAATGATGTTTAAGGCTACAAAAAATTTCAGCTTAATCGGATGAATCCTTCTTGAGATATAGGGTGCCTAAAATCACATTTCGTATAACCCGAATAAAACCCAATGGATGAATATTTTTTGAATCAGGTTTCACCATGATGCATCAAACACTTGCGTCTATCACATATATGAAATTGAGCAGAATCCGACGATATCGATTGTCTTAAGCATCTTAGATGTCAGCAGCAACCGCAAGTAATGACGTTGTAAGTATAAAATAATAGAAAAATCGATGATCATCATCATCATCATCGTTTACTTGTATAGGTTTCATTCATATAATGGATATCATTATTGGTATCCTCTTTCTGGTGGAATGATACTCACTTTTGAAACTATCATACTGGCAGGGGAAATTTATTTTATAAAGATAAGAGTATGACAATGCCTTTAATTCAAGAGACAATATTGCTCACCTTTGTTGCTCCTCTGAGTGATACACAAATATAAAGTACTATATTTTCGATCACCAGTTTGTTCTTTTTTCAATTTAACTTTCGTGTGATACATAGTATGTATAACAAACATATGTTCAGTAAGTATGTAACTGCAGATTATACAACATATTAAGGATGCAACGATACCAATGCTTTTTCAACACTTTGTCATACTATCGTTACGACGACCTAGGGTAGGATAAGATACGCATCAAATCTAAGCCTTGATGGTGATATCGTTGTTAGCCTGCAGTTATTGTTCAGCCTTTTTCTCATTTTAATAAATTTTATAGGTAATCTCATTTTGGTATTAATATTTGTCATTACTACATCGAAAAAGGTTGAAAAAACACATATTGCCACTGTAGCAACTTCGCCGAAAATTCAGTAGTCAAGTAAGCCTTAGTATAACGATTTCTAGCCTCCCTCCATCTTGAGGATGAGCATCATACAAATGAGAAAAATAACATTTTGTACTTAAACAATATATACAATCGTTAATTTCAAATAGTAATCGTTTTCGTTCGCTTTAAACTTTTTTTATATCACACTATCATGATCCCAGGAGAATGAATCCTAGCCTAGGATCCGATGAGTTCCGATCGGTTCCTATTGGAATCCAACGGAGCTCTTCAGAAGGCGCAAGGAAACTATCGGATTATCGTCGGATTCCTGGTTCCGGAGTCGATATCGGATCCTAGTATCGGAAACTGATAAAATCCGACATCAACCGTCAATCGGAACCGGAATGCTTCGGATTTCATTGGTTCCGACAATCGGATATCATTGGAAATACGATTGTCGGATCCGACATTGATTCCTCAACCGGGAATCCCGCGGGATTTCGTCGGACGGTAGGATCCCATAGAATCCGATGGGATTCGGTATCGGATTGCTTCACCTGGGATAAAATCTAAGGAGAAAAGGATATGTCTGACAAAAGCAAGTAAATAAGATCTTTTATGATTATAGAAGATTGGATTATACGAAAGGGGGGCAAACTGATTTCTTGATTTCTTTAATTTCTCGTGATTTTAGTGTTCTTCATGAAGCAATAAGAATTATCAGAAATGCTTAGAAGTGATGAGAAATCACAAGAAATCCAGTTCAACTACTAGGAGTATTCATAATTATTCAAAATCAAGAAAATTGAAAAAATCTTCAAAAATCCATAGAAATCACAGCTCTATTTTTAACCGTATTACTGAAGATTTTCTATAATTAAAAATAAGTTCTATTGATTTCTCATTGTTTCTAATGGTTTCCTATAGTTTCCGATAAATTTAGAACCATTTCCAGTCCATATTCGTATCCTTCAGATTTTAAAGTGACTTCTATTCTAGAAATCAGTTTGTTCCCTCCTTAGATTATACTATATGATTGTTAGATCTGGACACAATCTATTTAGTATGGTCTGATACTGGTAGTATGCATATCGGACGACATGAATCGATATCAGCCGTACTAACAAATGGAAACGTTTTAATGATTGGTGGAGCTAATGACCGTGGTATTCTAAATAGTACTGAATTGTATGATCCATCGTCAGGAGCATGGACAACTGTTGACAGTATGAATGATGTACGATTTTTGCACACCATATCTGTATTACTCGATGGAAGAGTTTTAGTTACTGGTGGAGTTAGCAGTGGTGCTGGTATTACAAATACTGCTGAATTATATGACCCATCAACAGAAACTTGGACACTCACCGCTAATATGAGCCATGGGCGATATTTTCACGCAGCAACCGTATTAACAAATGGACAAGTGTTAGTTACTGGTGGTGATGGTACTGGTCCTCCAAACACTGCTGAATTATACGATCCATCAACAGAAACTTGGACAATGACTGGTAAAATGAATTATGAACGAGTATCACATACGGCATCATTATTAGCAAATGGAAAAGTGTTAGTTACTGGTGAAGAGGATGCGCTTGCTGGCCCTCTAAATACGACTGAATTATACGAGCCATCAACAGGCATGTGGACAACCGATGGTAGCATGCATTTTGGACGATTTTTTCACACAGCATCAGTATTAATTGATGGAAACGTACTAGTTACTGGGGGAGTCAGTGATAACTATCATATTACAAATACTACTGAGTTCTACAATCCATCAACAGAAACGTTCATGCCTATTGATAAAATAAAAAATGTGCCATCTTCGTACAAACCATTTATATTAACAAGTAAAAAAGTGTTAGCCGATAGCGAAAATAATGGTACAGCGTTTTTCAACACAGAACTACATTAATCAATCTAAACAAATTAACATTCCAAGTGACTATTAACTTTTGAGACAATCCAGAAAAATGAACTCTATTTCCTATGAGCACAGTTTCTAATAAAAAAACAAGAAAACATTACCAAAAAGAATGATAATAGCTCACTTTTAGTCTTCTATGTGCTCTTGAGGCATTTTTTTAGTCGTAATATGTGAAGATTGGGTTGAGGACAGTCGTTCGTCGGGCAGTTGCGGGTGTGGGTGTAGGTATGGGTGTGTATGATCTTGTTATGACCACCCACACCCTAGATATCTTGGAAAAGGTATCTGACGATTATATCATGTTATACTATTTAGAGACGAAGAAGTTCTGGCAATGGACATTTTAGATTGAAGTTCAACAGAGCTGACCGGTGAATTTCTGCATTCACGATTGTTCATAGATGTACTGATTAGAATGAAACCTAGTCAAACAAGACAAAAATGAATTTCATATGGAATATGAATCAAGTGAGGGGCGATTCAGTGGTACAGACGCGAGTCGTTTTTGTAGCGTATGATGAACAAGGCATTGCGCATACGGAACATTGACCTCATTTTTCTTTTTCGAACTGTGATTCGTGATATTTACGAACAGTTACTTACTCATCAATGCCACGAGCGCGTAACTGTATATCGAGGTCAAATAGAAGCTGATCCTGCTGTCGTTCACCTGGCGAATGGCGAGAATCGACAATCATTTGCACAAATAGATGAGTTCAGATATTATGGGCAAGAAGCTGAAGTACTTCTCATGCTCGGTTCCATCTTTCGATTGAATGAAATCTATGATGACCATTCTTCAGCCGATGCGCCAGTCCCCATTATTCGAATGAAATTATACAGTGATCATGATAACGATCTCAAGCAATTGTATGATCACATGAATAAGGAATACGGCGGAGCGCAAATGAATCTTTTCACTCTTGGTAATATGTGATGCTCGACATGGGAAAATTCGAGCTAGCGGAAAAGTACTATCGTCGACGGCTGACCGAATGTCCATCGAGTGATCCTTCCCTCAATTTGTTGTACAATCGTCTTGGCATGGTTGCTCTCAGCAAAGGTGAGTATGACATACGTCTTGAATGGTACCAGAAGTCACTGGAGATTCTTCAGAGCACTCGTTCATTCGATCATGCGAATATTGGCACCATACATAACAACATCGACGAGACTCTTCGAAAGAAATGTGATCGCGTTCGAGCACTCGAATCGTACAATCGAGGCGTGTCCCTCTTCAAGCAAGCACACTATGAGAATCACCCAGATATTGCCTTGCTTTACAACAGCATTGGGTTCATGTATATAGAGCAGTAGGAATACTGAGAAACTCTCGATGTCTATGAGAAGCCGCTTGCTATTCAAGAAAAACTTTTTGCCAGCAGATCATCCGATTTTGAGTCAATTGTACAACAAGGGTGATTCTATGTTGTATGACAACTTTCTGAAGAAAATTAACAAAATATTAATTCAGTGTGAACTTTTGGTCTCGTAGACAATTCTATGAAATGAGATTTCAATGCAGATCATATACCTCTAGAAATAGTGTCGTGAGATGAATTAATTTAGTTCTTAGTAGTAATTTAATGACTGACGAAACTATATGATTTATTGATGAGTATTGATCTGCTGAAGCCTTGTCGAACATAGCGAAATGATATATCTCATTATACTTAAGAATAAAAAACTCAATATGTTACTGATACTCGTTTTGTATCTGTTCTTTCGGATCAACTCGAATATTACTCTCTATGAGGATATTTGACTGTCATTATAAAGGTCACGATATTCACAATAGATCATTTAACTTTGACGTTGTCGGCAATAACAGACATAATAAAAAATTATAGCGTATTATTACATACAATCAAAGATGAATTACTCAACTGTTAATATTGTTGACCTGTGTGATGAAATATTGATGTATTATATTCATTCATAGGAAGTAATCGAAAACGCAATAGATTAGTACGAAACATAAGCTATCACACAATCTATTGACTTAGTCGCAATATTATCAAATGAACATGACGATGACTCAAAAAACAAGTCAATACTCGATCGATTTTGTTGTGATATAAAGCCTCGAATTCAACACAATGCTGAATGTCTTACGCTTGGTCCACCGTCAGTCGATCGTGTTTTTTAAATGGAAATTATTCCAAACTTCATACACTTACTTTTGTCAATCTTCAACTTGAAATGGCATCCCGTATTTTCGCTTATTCGTCAAAGTAAAGTACAATAAGTTGAGTAATAGATTTATTGTATTTATTTAGATGGATCATCATTTTTGCATATTTCCAAACACTAGAAAATTCATGACGATCAGTAATACGGTAAAATATTTTAAAATTAATTGAAATGGTTCTTTTCCTGTCGACTTTTGCTAGAGCGATAAAGCACTGATATGATGAGAAATAAATTAGCAACAAATATCAATAAACAAGACAAGCTCTATTGATTTGATGTGAAATCGGTCACTGAAATTTTTTTCTGATGAATTATCACATCAATAAAGGCCGCAAAAAATAAATGTATCGAAAGCACAAATTATGCAAACAGAAATATTTTATTGTGAAACTGTTCGTCGAGTATCTAAGCTCGTTTAGAATTAATTTCAAAGAGTTTCCGAAAATATAAAACATTTAATTGATTTCCTGAAGTTTTAAAATTGGTTTCGAGGAAAAGAACGCTATGCCATTGTCTATGGTATTAAAGAGTTTAACTTTTATCAGTGTTATAAATATTGCAAAAATATTTTAATTTGATAATTGATGGAAATAAGAGAGTTTGCCCATAAGATCCTAAATATCTCAATTATTCGATGATTAGATTTACACTTGTGTGGAGTGTCAATTCAACGTTTACTTTAATATTTTTAGCGAGTAATGTCTAATCTAAAGTGTTTCTCGGTAGCTTCGTTTCGTCGAACACAAGACTATGATAATCAAATTGCACCGGTACTTCGTCAAACGTCATTTATTGGTGAAGATCATCTGGTTAATGATATCCTTAGTAAAATGTCATACTGACTATACTATATTTTTCAATGATCAATACCATGTGTACCCACTTCCGTTCACTATGGAATGTATTGAAACACATAGCAGGAAATTTCCTGGTAGTCTATTGAAGACTGTTCGTCAGTTAATGAAAACGAACAAATATCTTCGATGATTAAGATTTCTCATCTTACAATACTTGCTATCTCCAGATGTAATATCGTCTATTTGAAACAATTGCTTTTCGAATTCAACACACGTTTACTTAGCCTGAACACATTACATATTAAATATATAGAGTTGGCGATCGTAACAGAGAATTTTACAAATAACGCTACTCGTGTTAATTATTCAACATTAGACAATATTATCTGTAACATACCGCCAACGAAATATCCAAAAATGATTAGTTGTTCTCCTTTGTGGTAAATAAACTTGTAATCTTTTCTTTAGACGAAAAAGCAAGTTACGGCTAACATGTTGGTGCAAGTTTAGTTAGGTTTGAATCAAATTTTGAAATCGTAAATCTATTACCAAAACGAACTCATTTTCAGTTGTTAATCCTCAAGGTAACTCTATGGTTTTGGGTTTAATTTGAGATAGTGCCGAAATTGTGGATTTGACGCACGTTGACGGCCTGTTGGTATGACTGAAGATACCAGCAACACCCACACACCATATTCCCAGTTCTAGATCATGTTTGAGTTTATAAGCAAATAAGAAAATAAATGCTTTCGATACTGGATAAGCACCTCCATAAATAAAAATTCTCAAGTTCGTGATATTTACAGGCAATGTGATTATCTAAGAAATATAGCGCTAAAAATGAATACATTCAATTGTTCTTGCTCTTGTTTTTTTTCTATATGATAATCAACAATTATTAAACATCCACACTCTATTGTTAAAACCTGTTCTAGTTGTAAAAGCTTTAAAATGAAGCAAAGAAAAAACGAATCTAGTTTTGTATTTATTTTAATGTGTGAATGCATAAATGTTAAAAAAGCTGCCACAGAATGCTTACAAACACACACACACACACGCGCACACATCATATACATCTCATTCATCAACTTCTATGATACAAACAAAAAGAAAATGGCCACTTCTATCTGAGAGCAAAAAAAGAAGAGATTCTATATACACAAAAAAAAATCATCATCTCTAGTCGTGGGTTGGTTACTCTTTTTTTTAAATAGGAAAATAAAAAGGAATTAAACATAAATGATAGTGGGAGGCCCAGTAATTATTTGAACTGGAGTATGAGACAGTTGTTGTTGATGTTGATGTTGATGAGATATATCATTGTCACTATTAATTACGTCATGTTCTACTTCTTCTTCTTCTTCTTCATCATCATTACTAGTCGATGCACTACATGGCAACATTACATCATCTTCAGTCCATGTCACTGGTTCAATTTCATTATGTGATGAACTTGTACCTATGGTTGTTGTATTTGTTTCAATCATTGAATGTGTTGATGTTTGTTCAACTGATGACAATGGAATATTTCTTGATGATGATAAACTTTGCTTCGCATTCATATTCGCATTATGAATATCATTGGGTGTTGACATAAGATCGTATTTAACATATGAAAATATATTCGATGGTTTAGAATTCATTGCCGTCGAACGATGAGAATTTGTAGGTGAGCGATGATGAATTGTTGTTAATTGATTCGTAGATAACAGAGATCTATGCCGTTCGCGTAATAATATGAAAATAAGAATTAGTATAACAAAAATAAGGATAAAGATTAATATGCAAAATATAATAGCGATTGTCAAACCATATCGTGATTGAGATACAGGAACTAAAATATAGAGAAAAGAAAGATCAAGTTTACATTCAGCGCTGCTTTTTTTTCTACACTCAATGACGAGAATCTATCGAGTCTGATGAGTCCTAATATATATAATGCGAACAATGCGCTCTTGAGTATCAATATACTATGATTGCAATTGACATGGCGAAATACTTACGTTTGCCTTGATCATTTATAAAATGTAATTGATCACGACATATAGGACAGCAATGGCCCGATAAGGTCACAGTATGTACACAAGCCAATGAAGGACATTTATGTTGATGACATACAATAGTACCAAATAAACATTCACAACTATGACATTCGCTAACCTAAAAACAAAAAATTCAACATGAAAAATATTTTTGAAAACGAAAATCGTCTTTTTTTTCCAACTCACATTCCAATGTTCACCCGAACGATATTGAACATAATTGAAAATACAAACAGCAACAGCAGCCGTAGGTGGAAGACAAAAAGGACAACATTGACCTTTTTTAAGTATCGGATTTGAGCATGGTAAATTTTGATCACATGTTTGTGAAAAACATTCGACTTTTGCACCACTACGTGAACAAAGACATGATTGGCAATCATCATGCTTCCATAGTTCTCCTGGATGTTTGACAACTCCATCGTCGAGTATACAAATACTTTCATCGATTGTTGCTAGTTCGTTATTTGGTAATGAAGCGGACTTTTTCGGTGGACATATAGGACAACATAGAGAAGAATCATAGATTGGCGATGAACAAAGTAATGGAGGACATAATGATACACTGCAAAATGCTATGTTATGTAAACATGTACATTTAGTGCATGTATCAAATTCGAGTTCTTCGCCAGTAACATATTGACTTGCATAACAGACTTGAGATGATGGAGTAGGTTCGGGTAACATCGGAAGATCTTCAAGATAGAAAATAAAACACAATTAAATAGACGAAAAACAAAATCTCACCTGGACAAGAGGGACAACAGCGATTTGGTAAACGAATAGGTTGTGAACATTTGAGAGCCGGACATGAGATAAGTGCGCACAGTTGTTCACCTTTATGACATAAACATTGACGACATCCGTCAAACCATATTTCACCATTTGAATAAGAAAATGAACCTGAATGGCATTGTCTTGGCCATGATTGTTTAATTAGATCGGTTTTTTTCGTATTATTTGGTTTTATTACATCACTCTCACAAACACATATTGGACAGCCAACTTCATTTCGTTTTAGACCGTACGTACAATTTTTGGTACAAGCTAATAATGAGCAGGGATTACATTCACATGTTGGGCAGCCAGTGCGTTTATCAATTGAATAATTATAAGGACAATGTTTATCACAATTTAATTGTCCGCAATTAAGATCATGGGGTGATACACAGGAACAATATTGTTGTGATAATCGATCGAATTTCAGAGTACACAATGGCGAGGGACATGACATGGTCGAACAAGCACATTGGGCACAGCCTTGTTCATCTTTAGTTAAACCATGTTCACATGTCAATAAACATTTGTCAAGTTTGGGACACTTATTTATTGTTGGTTGTAATTGTGATGATGATGATGATGTAGTTGCATCAATATTGGGAAGATCATCATCCTCATCATCATCATCACCACATACTGGACAACAAACATTTTCTATTTGACGAGGATTGTCACAAGGGGGAGCAATACATCCTTCAGCAATACAACGCGATCGGCCTTCTTCACACCAGCATCGCATACAACCATTTGATTCGATCCAAGTTGAATTCATATGTTGTACATGCGAACGATCATTCAAACAACCTAAACGTATGATCTATCATTGTCAAGCTACTTTTCGAAGCAATTACCTCCACATTTTGGACAGCATTCATTTTCAGGTTTGTACATATACCCGCAATGTGTATAAGTCGGACATTGTATCATGGCACAATCGACATGGCCAGCACGGCACGTACATGTGGTGCATTGATCAATGGACCATGTTTCATTTTCATTATAAATCTTTTTATCATGATGACATTGTTTCGAGTCTAGATTAAAAATAAATATTTCGATTTCTATTATCTAGATTCCCCTTTGTCTCACCTACTCTTAAAGCATTTAAATTGGTCACAGCATTGCCCAGGAATATTTCGATTGCCTGTACGATATATTTGCATTATGGAATTTTCTCCACAGATTGTTTTTGGACATGTCGAACAGACACATTGGCCTTGAGGTTTACAACATAACGATGAAAGATCGTTTGATGAGGAGAATGATGACGTTCGTAAAAGAGGAGAATGATCTTCAACAAAGTGGCTGTCGGTTGGACATTGAGATGAATTTGTCGATGTTTTATCGCAAACGATGTTTGAACAATCGGTTAGATTATTAACTGGAGAAAAATAAATAATAATTAAGAGAATAGTATAGACAGTTAAATTTCAATGAACATTCATCAAGGTTGTGTCTCAATATGTTAATGTATTTCATTTTGTTGATACAATTTATGTAGAAAACAGACTAATTTAATCTCTCAATTGACATTCTTTACGATAAAGCATGTCGGTATTTATTGATATTTAACATTTAAATATTCTTTTAGATTATCATTATCATCACTGAAGTAGCCTTGCAACTAAATCTAATCATGAATATAATTTAGATTTTTTTTCGACCTAGTTGACATTTAAACATATCGATTCGTAGTATTTTGTGTGAAGGAAAAACGAATTTTTTTTATAATAAAGATTACAAATGTCAGTTGGTTATGTTTATCATTAAAAATAAAGACAAGAGAAAATTGATCAATGCTAAGATATTCAACGGATAAATTGTAAGAAAATAAAGTGAACTATTTTTCCATTTCTATCAATCAGATCGAATTTTATATTCCTTCTATCTTAATTTCAACGTTTAATATTTCAAGAAATCCTCGACGATTCTTGATAAACGATTGAATTCAATCAAAAACAAGTAATCATGATACGGCATACTTCTATTTAATTGTATTTTCAATTTTCGCAGTATCATCATTTTCTAAATCCTCGCTCGATATACGTATATAAATATATATATGACTATAAAATAAAACCAATAACGCGAATTGATTGTTTCTATTGAAAACAAAATCCACAAAATACTCAATGTCTATTTTTCCATTACTTTTCCTTATGAATGCCATGATGTTTCATGGCGTTTGCAGTCAAATGGTTGGAACAAAACCACCACCAACTTGTCCAAGCATTGATGAAATAAAATCTACTATGGGGGAATTATTCGATACACAAACAAAAATTTTATTGACAAAACTAGCCGAAATGGAAACACGTTTAAATGAGTTAGAATCTTGTAACCATATGGGACCCAGCGAACTTTTTATGGGTATTTATGAAAATTTGACTATCTACAATGATTGGACATTACTTTACAATAAACCTTATAATCATAGTACAACAAGCACAGAATTAAAAGCAGTAGCTGATCAATGCTACAGTGATCGTGTAGTTGTTGGAGCAATGGAAAATGAAAATTCGGCTATATTGAATGTTGCTGCTGTTGGTCCAACACGAGTACTTTATCTTAATGTTTCGTCTGAAACACCGGAAGAAATCGAAAACGTCTTATGGTATCTCGAGTCAGGAAGGACATTTGGTTTTCGACCAACTGACAATGATCCTAATGAACCACCAAAATCAGAACTTTTCTTAGGTTGGTACGTTGATGTCAATTACGGCGGTTGGCGGGCTGGTAAAGCTACGAATCTTTATCAAAATTCAAAATGGCGTAAAATCATTTATTGTATGCCAACTTTTTAGCCGAAAAGAAAATCAATAGTGATGTAATCGTCTTTTCAGTATGAACTAAATGAAGTAATTACGATATCGAATTCTATACGCAAGGGAAGAATTTCATTTTCTTTTTTTCTTTATATCAGATACTCAGAACAGCGTTCAAGACATATGCGCAGCTGCTATGTGTATGTTTATTTTCACAGCTTATCTTACATCATTCTTCAAGCAAACAAAAGAAAGAAGAATCGAGAAGGGTGATACAGTTCTCAGATGATATTCATGCACACAAGACAAAAAGAGTTGCTACAATTGACTCTGTTTAATGACATAGATCAATATAGGATACGATATTACCATTACTCTCAATGGTCTCTGCTCAGTTTATAGTCTACTTGAATAATCTCAAGTTTTTTTGCCAACGAAATTCGACATATGTATACAAATTTAACTATCGAAAAAGGTCATCGGCAAGCATGACGCTTTTTTTATCCATGCCATATGTCTGTTTTTTTTCTTTATTATCCCTGTCTTCTGATATTATTTTGTCTAGTCACCCAAATTATATTCCTGCTTGTCGAATTAACAAAATCTGATAATTGATTAACTTAGCTTGACATTAATGACCTTTCTTTGTTACTAAAGTCGATGTTAGAGACATCAGCAATAATCTAAATATGTTATCTCAAAACACGACAGCATAATACATTTATATGCGTCAGTTGTTCAATTAATCGATACTAATTCCATTCGATATATAAATATATATATATGTATATGTATGTAATGGTGATAGAGACAGATGTTTGACCTTTTTTTGTTTGTCAATCAGAATAGATGAATAAATAGTTCGTTGCACATACACAAACGTTTCATCCAGCCAATTCAAGGATAAACGTGTCATGTTTACTTTAACTACTAGCTACCTAGCTCCAATAATGCTTATCGATTCGAACAAGAAGAAGAAAGAAAAAATCGAAGAGAAAGAACTATATGTGTGCTAATGTGGCGAAAAGAAAAATACATGAAGATATAAATGATGGCGATTGATCAAAAGAAAAGATTGATAGAATGATAAATTACCGTATAGCAACGATAGAGTTTAGCTTACCATCATTTGTCTTCACCGAGCTTAATTCTCGTTCTTGTTGAGATAGTGATTGGGGTTGACAATAATGACCTGTCTTATTATTATTAGCATTTCGTTGAAGATTAATATTACAGGGTACGCGCCGATTTGCGCATTCGCATATTGTTTTATTCTTGATGCTGACAATTAAACATTCATATTTTAGACATGCTTAAGAGAAAAAAAGATCATAATCATAATAATATTTAAGTTTTTATCTTTCTTACCTTTAACACATATGCCAGTTTGCTCAAGAAGATTATTTGATGTTTTATTAGATTTATAGCATAATAAATCTTGTTCACATAAACCATAAACATTTAGACGTCCTCCACATGCTTGATTTTCACTGCGAAGACAAACGGTACAACAGTTACATTGATCACGTATTAGTCGAGTACAATCTTTATTAATTGATTTATATTTCAAACAATAGTCTATAGAACAAGGCTCTTGACATTCATTCTGATTAGCTGCCGATGATGATGATGGTGCTGAAATTGGTATAAGAAATAAATCAAATTGTTCTTTAGATTTTTCATTACTAATTATCGATGATTGAATCAGATTATTATTATTATTATTCGTTATATTGGATGTAATAGCAGCTAATATGAATGTCAAAAGCACAATAATAATGAGCAGACAACGCCAGAAGAGCATTACTGCTCAAGTTCTATGTACATAGTCTTGTTCACTAGTAATGGGTGAGTGATGAGAAGGGATAATATTGATGATATAAATAACGACTAGTATGAGTGATGGTGATGAGGAACATCATCAATGTTGTTGGCTTGTTTGTCGACACCATTAAGTCGCTTGAGTTAAGGTCGACCTGAAACAGAGAGACAAAGAGAAAAGAGAGAGTATATATGCGTGGAATATAGAACAAACAAGAGAAAAAGGAAATATGTACCACAAGTAGAAAGACGAAGAAAGAGAAGATGAAAAAGTGAATAACGAGAAGAAAATGCGAGATTTTCTCTCAATTCTCCTTTTTTTTTTGTTCAAAATGCGCTATTACCTGGTGGATCCATTGACTTTCGTAGAATTTTAACTATCAAGGTTGTGTCAATTACTTAGAGCGGCATTTTTTCTTTTCGTTTTGACTACTAAACGTTGAACAATCGAAGATAAGTTAAAATAATATCTTAAATTGAATACATACGATAGAAAGAATGCATGTGCAAAAGAAAATGGCTGAAATACTTTATAATCTAAACAATTTCGGACTTCTAGGCAATCAATTGAATTATTTAGAGAAAAAAAGGCTTCAAACCACTTAACATGATATTTTGCTCTCACATATTTTTATTGTTTCGACTTGTTACTCTATCATCTAAAGAAAGAATGTTCAATCAACATAATTGTACGAGCTCAAATTGCTATGGTTTCAATCTATAACATTGATTGCATTATCAATCGTATGTAATCTTCACAATATTCATTGATGAAGCCATCTAGATACTGAAATAGTTGTAGGCGAAGATAAAACAACCCAACAAACAAATAATATAAATGAGTTCCGTAGTAGTGTATGTTAATCATTTTAAAAAATATGTGAAATATTCTAGAATAAATAGAATCAAAACTAATTCTTTAAATTACATTTACAAGTAAATGAATATTTGTATTCAGATAAAGAAAATATATTTATATGATGCATTTTTTCTTACGTAGAATACTAGTCGTAAATGATTAATCATGGAGAATTTCGTTTTTGTTTTTCAAATGAAAATATCCATTAAAATAGCAAAAATAAAGCATTCGTCTAAGGTATGTTATAAGAATAATACTTATTTAACTAGGAATCTTTTTTCATTTCTTGTTCTTTGGTATTAATATCAATAACGAAAAACTATTTATATACATATCGAAAGAGGAATGTGTAAGAGTAAATACTTATAGAAGAAAAAGAGTAATCTTTCTTCTTTTTATAGATGTATAACTTTATTCTCTCACTCTGCCTTTCATCGTTTGATGAATAAGAAACAGGTAGATTGTCTAAAAATCAAATAAAAAAAAGGTACGCGATCATTTGATATACACATAGTTGACATTCCAATCGCATTCCGTTTTTTTCTTTTGCTTATTATTTAAGATGCGACAATGAGAGAAAAAGAAGCATAAATCTATTCCCGACCGATTCATCGTTATCAAAGACTAGTAATAACAGTAAAAGACAATAACAACAACAACAACAACAACAATAGATATCATTAAATCAATCCATCATATCAGCGAAAACAGATGAAGATGACGACTAGAAGGAACCAGAAAGGATTAAAAAGTCTGCTATAGAGAGTTGTCGACGCATGATTTAGAGTGAATGATGTATTTGGGCTTACATGCATCTACAAATCTCTTTCATGCTGCTGCTGCTGCTGCTGCTGCTGCTTGTTGTTGTTATTGATTTAGCCAAGATATATTGGCGTATGATGGGTCTTTGTAATATTAACTATCTGTCGATGTCGCCAATAATAATGATGTGTGATTAGGAGGCATACGCTTGTCGTTATATGTGAGAGATACGATTATTGTTTTTTTTATTCGTTTTGTGAAAAAAAATTGCGTAGAAAGGAACGAATGATGCTGCAATCGAAACGCAAAAAGAACGACTGAATGATGAAGACATTACCATCAAGGAGCGATGTTTGATTGAAACAGAAAAAAGGTAACAAAAACAAACAGTCTACTTATGTACACAGGTGTTATTGTAAACAGGCAATCACCTGATTTATAAATAGAAATAATTACCAATCAAGTTTTGCCTCGAAGAACTACTCAAACTTCGACAACCACTTTTTGATGTCATCTCTCTTCTATTCTTCTTACTTGTACAAAATCATAAAATGATTGAGCATACAAACAAATATGCACACACGTTGTTTGACAATAGAACAAGACTTAAAATAACGAAAACTTACGGTTGAACAGAATTTGATTGAAATAAATATCACAGCTGCTGCAAATTTTGACTTAATACGTGTGTTATAGAAGAAACGAAAGAAAGAAAAACGACAACGATGGTAGCAGTTTCATGGTTAAAACTTATCAGTTTCGATCAATAAAAGAATATAAAAGAACTAGCAAAATGATCTCTAGCTGCTGTCAAAAAAAAAAATCATAACAACATAGCTGCGGTGACGACCCTGAAAAACAACATGAAAACCACAAAATACGATTGATGTGAATTTGCTTTCTCTTTCCTCGTCTTTAATTACAAAATATTTGTTCTATTTTTGGCTGAATACTTGATGTGTAAGATCACTTGTGGCATAATATATTTTATATCCCAAGTACGTTTGAAAATGGCGTAAATTTTTTGAAACTTGACCACACTTATATTTATTCTTGTCAAGAATACATGTCAAACAGGCCACCTGCTTTTCCCCGCTGCCTCTCTCTCTCTCTCTCTCTCTCTCTCTCTGTGTCTCTCGATTTCATCGTCATCAAAGCCTTCGTACATGTCGTAATCTCGTTTTACTCTCTGCGCATACAAAATACGATATGTGATAAACAAAAACAACTACAACAACAAATATAGAAATAAAAGAAAATTTTCATTTTATTTATAGCAACAATGATTACGAGAAACTTCGAAGAATACAAAGAGATTCTCTCACCCATTAGAGCTTGTCTATTTTACTTTTCTTCCCGTCGACGACTATTTCTATTACGGATAGTTACTATCAAATCAGAAACAGTGCTTTTGGGAAGATTCGAACAAGGTCACTGTCAGTGTATAGAACCGTTTGACTAAAATTTTTTTTTCAAACATTGTGTCTCTGTACTCAAGGTTTTTATACTATTCGTTCCTAATTAAATATTGCACATGTTTGTATCATGAAACGTGCAAACGAACAACTGTTGATTCGAAGGTGAAGGGTTACTCTTTCACTTACCAATCTGACAAGAAATCAATTTCGTTTTCTTCTGTTTTTTAATGTAATGATGTGCCTTTCAAGAAAAATTGAAGAGATAAATAGGCTATTCAAGTTTCTTTTTTGCTCTTCAAAACAAGGTTTTCATAACGTCATAATTTGTTTTTCATCTCTTTCGATTGTATATTTAGATATGAGAAAGAGAGAGAGAGAGAGCGTGCTTCCCTGTGTTTCTTTCTCTTATATACGAAGAGTAGGGGCGTGTTATGTTACTTAATGTATGAAACAAGTTATTTTCTAGTTTTATGAAAAAGATCAAAATTTTAAGTGTTTTAGCACTCACCTTTAAGTTCTGTTAAATAAGTAAAAAACTCTAAAATGCAAAACATTTTACGGCAGCAGCTGTGCTTAATTATTAATGCTCTTATCTTTAACAAAGTTATATACATACACATATTTTCCTTGCATTAAAAAATAAACATGGATATGTAGCTCACACAGTCGCCTTGCTAAAGTACAAATTTTGCCCTGTTCTATATATTTTTCCTTTAAAACAAACATATGCCGAGGTCAACAGTAACCGAAACAAATTTACACAGCAAAAATTATCGCCGTTTTCGTTTTAAAAGACTATTACTAATGGGGACATCGAACCAGCCACGGTGTCTAATGAAAATCCAACTAATGACAGCATTGCGAGACACAAGCGATAAAAATCTGATTCATCAGATCAAGAGAAATGTCAAAGTCAAGATTCGTTTTTCATCGAGAAAATACTTTACATACACAGATTAAAGGTGCATATTGAGTAGGAAAAGCAATATAGGAAACAAAAAATGTTTAATCTATATTTAAATAAATATTTTGATATTTTTTTATGAACAAGATACAATCGAAATAACATCAACAGCGTTAAAAAATAGTGTTCTAGCATTAAAAGAATCCGGCACTATACTCATAAAAAAGAATCACTCTTTCGAATTTAAAAAAAAGATTTCTGTTGATTTTTGAATAAATAAAAAGCTTTCAAGAAGATCTACATTTGCTAATATTTATTCTCATGTCGATTATTTTGAAGCAAACTTGCTTTTCTCGCTCAAGGACATCAGCCATTCTTCGAGGATAAATCATCTAATCAATCAATGTCGTTTGATAACAACAGATAAAATCTCAAACTTAATATCTGTATAAATAGAAAAAGCTGGATTGACTTCACATGCCTACATTGCTATTTTCATGTACTCCGTGATGAACCAGAGATTCATGGCCTACTCGATATATCCTATAAATCCATGTGTTCGAGCAAATATTTTCCAGTTCAGTGGCATTATATCCATTTGTTGACGATAGAATTTCCGAATCTTGATGCCTATATCTGTTCTCTTAAGGTCCATTAGTATCAGCTGATGCATTTTTCTCTCATTGAGATTCATTTTACTATCATAGAATGCATCTTTATGTTGTTATGACTCTTTATCATATGGTGATATCGTTGAGTATTTTTCATTTTCATTTGATGAAGTTTTGCTTTTTTTTATCTTTATTTGACGAAATTTTATTAAGTATTGAAAAATCGTATATGAGACTAGATGGATTTTGTTTAAAAATAAAATAGCCCTATCATTCTCATCTAATGAAACATGAACAAAAATAGAAAGAAGAAAAATAAATTTTTGTTTTTGATTTTCACATCAATGCAGTTTCATTAAGATCATCACCGAATTTTGCCTAGAGTAATGATAATATAAATAATAACAAGAAACGAAACGTCTCAATATATACCTTAGGATTGTGTAAAGCGACCTTTTTACTGGTTGATTGGTATCGTACTAACATATGTTCAGGTAATTGCTAAAAAATAAATATTATTACTCTATTGACAGTTGCTCTTGTCAATATTCGTCAGCAAGATAATCAATAGCTTTGTTCTCCTAATCTCAAGAGAAACCTTAAGGATGGATTTTGCGGTTAAATCTACACAAACGATTATGCAATTTATTTTACATCAACTGTCGAATGCTGTCATGAGAAATCAGCAGTACAAAAGAAAATACTTAATTGTCGATCCTATATATAAAAACAGTGTTGAATAAAAAAAAAGAATTTTCTGGCCACGAAGTACGATTGGCTGCTTAGACTTTGAGTACATCAGTTGGTAGACAAGTTAATATTACCATTAATGGCTTTGTCTGTCATCAATTTTAATGTACAAGAGTGATGATTTCCACATGTTTTTCTCTTGTATGTCAAAATCGTACTCAATGAAAATAAATAATAAAACAGCTTTTGTTTATGTCGCTTACTCTCCCGATCTATTAATAATTTTCTGACAAAGAAAGTAGTTCCAAATGCTAACTTGTTTATTATTACATCTAATGACATTGACTCGGAAGTTGATGAACACGTGTCGTTTTGGAGCTTTGTGCTGATATTTTCAAAATAATAGATCGAAGTCATCGTGTAAAAAACAAATTAGCATTCGCTATCGAACTCTTTGAATGAGTGATTAGACGAAGTACCGTGATCATGTATGAACTATAATTTCAGTACATCAGAGTCGACAAGAGCTGTTTTAATATTGACGATCACGGCTTGTTCTCACACACATGCACCAACACTTTTCTTTGAAAGCAGCAGCAAGTCACAGAAGGCTTCTAGTTTTGGTCAACGCCGCTGGCATATGTTAATTTACTTACTAATTTGATTTTTAGTTGAGAATGAGTTTTATTTTCATCTGTCTTTTTTGTTATCGTTTTCTTCTTCTGTTTCTCTTCCGTTGGTGATACATTTTCAATTTCAACGACATTCTTTCGAACTCTGGAACCTCGACGAACAGCATCCGGTTTTAAATTTCTGCAAAAATAAAATAAAACGTGATTAAATAACTAGATACTGTGCACTTACTTTTTTGCAGCTTGTCGTCCATTCGAAGTGTTACTTTCAGTTTCAATACTATTACTCGTTATCTCTTTAATTTCATTACGAATCTAAAATATTAATAATGCTTCTATTAACTTTATTCAATATAAAAAGAATAGTCTTCTAAGTATGAAATATGATGTTCTTGACATCTGTTTCACACGCACATATATATAGATATATTAGTAGATGAATAATCATTTTTATAATAAAATTCAAAAGATAAGTTTTTTTTTGTTTTATAACTTACATCGTTAATTTTCAGTGCCGCAAGAAAACGACGATTATCTTCGAGATTATTCTGACGTTTTGCTTCGAAATCTTCATACTTGAATAAGAATAAAAATTTAGAAAATTAATTAAACAAAAATAAATTTTAAGACTTACAGAAGATTCATTTCTATTAATACAAGAGGAAGACATGATGGATTTTAAATTGAAATGTAAAATCTAGAATATTCAAATATTGATTTCATCCAATACGATATACGTAGGTAGGAAAATTATTTCGTCGGACATCTATATTTTAAACAGGATGAAAAATCCAGCCAATAAGAATTTATTCATTCTCCAATCTGTCTACTTACTCTTTTTTATTTGCAATTACAAATATGTCTTCGAATGTGTCGTCAAATCCAACATTTACAAATCGGTAATACAGTTTTATTGATTTTTTCCAAATTAATTAATTAATTATTTGATTTTAGGCTTCGCCGAGAATGTCTCGATCTACAACAACATCCAGTCCCATTCACTTGGTAGGATTGAAATGTTATTTCTTTTTGTTAAGCAATTCATTTTTCTAGTGCTGGTCCAACAGCTGATAGTCTTAAGCAATGGCTTGTTGTTTTCGAAGGACCAACGAATTCACTTTATGAAGATGGTACATTTTTTGCATTGCTGACGTTTGACGATGATTATCCATTCACACCACCTACGGTAAAAATTTTCTTTGGCTAATTTTCTTTTTATTGTGAATGTTTTTGATTTTAGCTTGAATTTAAAACACGAATTTATCATTGTAATATTTACCAAAGTACGGGACTAGTTAAACATGATATATTCGATAAAAATTGGTCGCCAACTGTTACTATTCGTCAAATTATACAAAAAGTAGCAAATTTACTTGTTCAATGTGAACCTGGTTAGTAAAAGAAATTCAAGATTTCAGTAGGGATTAAGGATATTACGTAGATCTATAGATGTTTAAATGAAATCTTTACTGAAAATAATCCCAAACAAAAGTTTTATTTAGGGATTCTGCTTATCAAATCGATTTCGGATCAGCAAAACTTATTTTTGAATATCTGTAACTTTTTACAAGTAGTTTGTCAGTGTGCTATGCAACTTAAGTACGAGCATTTTTTACACATAATTTCAATACATTAAACTCAAGAGAGAGATCCTAGTTCTTTCTCATGTGGACACAAATAATCAGTTCTTTTCGGCTTAATGTATTTGTGACATTTTCATAATTTAGATCATTGTGCAATGAAAGAACTTGGCTTACAATATAAACATGAACATAGTGACTACGAACGAATGGCTCGTTTATGGACTATAAATTTTGCGCGTTAAACTTCTTGTGTACAAACAGAAAAATCAATATATTTTAAATTTTTTTAGATGACATCTCCACTATCGATTTATGATAGTGAACAATATTTGTTTGAAATAGCCCAAAATTTTATTCGTTCTCGTGTTGTATTTACTGCATCAGACTTGAAAATTTTTGATTTACTTTTATCATGCAATGATGGTTTATCATGTTCAGATATCGCTAAAAATTTAAATTTACATTATGTCGAGAATCAATCACGATGCCTTCAAGATGTTCTTGATTGTTTAACTTCGATGAATCTCTTGGAACGTTGCAATGGAAATCTATGTTATAAATTAACAAATTTTGCGAGAAATTTTCTTCTTCCTAATCGTGAAGTTTTATTAAATATTGATGAAAATTTTTATAAAATTATGCCCAAATTTGATAGTATGTTTCTAAAGAATTCTTCAAAAGAATCAATTCATGCAATAATGTTATTACGTATAAAACAATTAGTTGATCTCACAAATTATTCAAATATCTCATTTGATACAATTAATAAAAATTCAGATATGATCGTCCTTTGGCGACAAGATGGGTTGTTAAAAGATAAAATAAAACAAGCATATCATGCATTGCCAACACACGGAAAAGGTGTTTTGATTTTAATTTTTCCGGATGATGAAGTGACATTAGCATTTAATCTTTTTAACAATATGATGACAAAAGTTGAAGAACAAGAAAATCCGAAAGAGTTGTATTCGAAAAAATTTCTTCGACAAATTGGATTTCGATCTGTGGAAAAGAAACAATCTGAGAATGATTTACAAATTCTGATTGCTTATAAATAACTTTGGTAATGGTGATTTCGATATTGATAATAAAACGGAATGGCTTTTCTTTAATCTCACTGTTGGTAGTCAATGGCTGTGTCAAATAATCTAACGTTTTTTTTTGTGTTAGGAAATATATTGGGTTAATGTAATCTATACAAATAAATTAACTTATACAACAAGATATTATTTTTGACGTCCTAATGTATTACAAGAAAAAAATGGTATTTTTGCAGTAGGAAAAGAAATTATGTTATCAGCTTAAACTAAAAGCTTTTTGCTCTGAAGATATTGAATTATTATAGTGTTGTGTAAATGAATAGCATCTTAATCGCTAGACTCAACATTCTTCTATTCATGATAAACTACCATTGCTAGTATGTGTTGTGGTATTAAATATCAATTCTGAAATCAGTTTCTCTCCATAGAATAGCGGCATCGCTAAAAACTCGAACTGTTTCCAGGCTTATATGATTCAAAGTCGCGATCACATTGCTGCATTGTCATTCTTCGAAAGAACAAAGCATCAATGTTGGCATTACTGAGTTACATTTTAAAACTAACGAAGATTATGTTTTAAAATATAAATTACAGAAGTTTTGTTTTTTTATTAAATTTACGTTTTAACAACTAACTAAAAAGACTAAACTGCCGATTGTGAATAAATAAGTTCTGTAAAAGAAGCAAACGATTGTTTCTGTATAATAAGATCATCATTTCGTAAATTTGGTTTCATGTACAGCTGATTCTTATTGCAATTGTTTAGCATGCAATAAAATGCGGATACAATTTGATTTTTTTCATAGGATATCATTCCTTGATCAATAAGTCTAACGCATAATGTTGATAATGATATAGGATTTGTTGTACGAGTGCATTGACGATTATATTCATCATATAATTCGATTTGAAGTTTTTTTGCATCGATTTTAGCAAAATTTTGATCGTATTCAATTCTTTCATATTGTACCGGGCGACTGAAATCGTATTGAATGTGTTCAGATAATGGATTGTCGTAATCCATTGGATCAAAATCATCATTATGGTGGTCGTCAGTGGCATGCATTGCAGAATTTTCATTTGCATCCGATAGAAATTGTAGATTATAATCAGGAAAATAATTTAAACAAAATAAATCCTTTGTTGGTCGTAGTTTTCTTGAAAGTTTAAATTGATACTGATTTTTTTCATGCAAGTTAGACTTATTTCGATTTTGATAAAGTATTGTTGATAAAATTTTTCTTTTTCGACTTTTCATTGATTTTCTAGCCCATGAATTCGAAGTCATTAAATCGTCTAACGATTGATTTTGTTTTCTATTTAAGAAATCTAATTTAAAATGACGTGCTGACGAAAGACGAGTATTAGTTTGTGATGCTTGTTGTTGCGGTTTGGAAATAGAGTTCATTGTATTCGGTAGCAGATTTGTAAATTTCCATAGATGCGGCCCAGCAAATAATTTTAATTTCGTAGAATCGAACAGGCTATACTCGGACAGATCAGCCTTTGAAATACAAGAAAAACAAAATACATGAATAAAAAACTTACGGCGTAGTTTTTCTCTACGTAAATCAAAATGTTTTTGGTCACGGTATAGTCTCACATATGTTCTATGCATCATTCAATTATAGAGAAGAATACGGTGTGAAAGCTCGTGCCACCTATTCGCGGGAAAATACGATTTGTTATCGTTCTAGATTTTGACACCTTATATTTCTGCGCAATGATAAGATGTACGAAAAAGCAGCATCGTGCTTTCAAATTTATTTCATTCTTAAACGTCAGATGTCAATTATCAACGTACCTGATCCCGAATTAACTGAGGTATATTATCAGCAAATGACATTTTACTATGCATTAAGGTTACATCCATTGAAACCATTGTTGTAGGAGCAGTCTAAAATAAATTCTCAAGTGCTTCTTTTTTGTATTCAATTAGATAAATTCACATGAGTTGATTGTAATTCTTGAAAATGAAAAGTCAATGGATCATCACGTGGTTCACTAAGTTCATCAAAATAAATGTCATCATTTATAATTTCAGCATTATCTATTGTATTCATAAACGAACTATTCATAATCGAACATTCATCAACGGTTTCAATGTAAGATTCTGTTACATCTTCATTGAATGAAAATCGTCGTAATTCTTGGGATCCTAAGAAACAAAATTCGAATTTATTAATTTAATTGAAGCTCTATTGTTTTTACCAAGAATATGATCTTGTCCATCGTGTTCGTTAATAACGTCTCTCAATTGAATTAAATCAAGCATCGCTTCCGCAGCTCTGTCAAGTATCGTTTCGTTATCTTCATATTCGTTATTAATCTGATGATGTAAATTAACAAAACCATTTACAAGAGGAAAATCACTTGATGAATACATTGTATATGAAATCATATCTGAGTAAGAAGAATCCAAACCAACACCGCCTGGCCATCGACATATAGTTGATGGTTGGAGAGGATGAAATTCAAATTCATCGGCTAGTGAAATGGTTGATAAATCCGTAGCAACATAGGAACTTGCTCGTGATCTGGAACGTTGCCTTGACTTTTTTATTATTTCAATTTGATCACAATCTGTAACACTCAATTCTTCTTCTTCTTCGTCATCATTTTGCTGCATAGTGCCATTGAGTTGTTGAGTTTCCGAATAAAGAGCATCAACACGGTATCCATAAATTTTTGCACTAAGAAAAATTCCGTGGAAATATTTTATGAAATCGCAATGCTATTTTTACCTTGTATCAATAACAGATCCAGCTTTGACAAAATTCGGCTCGTGATAATCATCAGAAGAAACATCCAGTTTGTCATCAAATGCAATAATGTCTAATATTTCAGGTAACCGATCGACAAATGAAAAATGAAAAGCATTTTGTGCATTTATTTTATTTTTTGAAGCTAATTCAACTGTTTTTTCATATAAAGCAATTAATTGTATAGGTGTCTGAATATATTCATCAACACCACTATCGCTACTATGAGAATTATTAAGAACTATTCGTGATGGTCGTGATTCGAATGGAGAATCTTCAGTGTCCGAACCAAAGTGATTTACAATTCGATTCACCAGAGATCTATCAAATGAAATTAGAAATCTGAGAGTTTTTATTCAAAAATATTACCGTCGAGGTATTGGTAAAGGCTCGTTGTTGTTGTTGTTGTCGTCGTCTTCGTACATGATTAAACTTCTGATTCATAGACACTATATCATTTTCCTCTTTTAACTATTATCAAATTATATCGAGCGCTACTTTCGAAGCTTTTTTTAAATATTGGATTCGCTCACTTTGACATTTAATCTAGAAGGAATGATAGATAGTAAAGAAATTTTCTTCATCTATCGACAAGAAATGAAATGAAATGATTTTGATATTTATGTTTTATGAATAAAGCGATTGATAGAAATGGATATTCATCATCGAATCAAGTAGACTTTCCTTCGTATGTTCTAACATCAATGTTGAATCAGATAGAAAACTCACTACTAGAGGTGAGTGAGGCGTGTTAATTTCTCTTATGCTTTTGAAGGTTGGCAATTGTGTAAAAACAGAACTAAAATAATCTTCAATATTTTCAATCAAAAAAAAACATATCCGTCGAAAAATTAGCCACTCTGAAATACTGTTGTTTTGGCTAAACCAGAATTTTCGATGCGCATATTCGAAAAAAAAGATCGTTATTACAGTTCTATAAAATTCCATGCCAATTATACATTTTCATTGGATGAAATGTTCAATTTGTTTTTCTTTAAATAGTCCTATTATCGATTGGTTCAAATATTAATGTTCAATTGCATATTTGACCAATTTTCTCTCTCGCTCTCTCTTCTTGTTGCGCGTCTCTTTCTCCGCTTGCTCTTCATAAGACATATAGTCAATTAAGTGTTCATATCGTTTTATTGACGAAATACATTCGATAATCTGCTTTCGTTGCATGCCGATCATTTCTTTTTATTAAAAAGAATGTGTAAGTATCATTTTTCTCATATAAACACATATTCATATCAATGAGTTGAACAAGGATTTGAAAGGAAGATATGCTTTTTTTTGTACAACAGTTAGTTAAAAAACTTTCGGTGTTACAATGAGTTGCTAATTTTAATATGCAACTGACTAAGAGAATAGTATTTTTAGAAACCTGCGATAGAATCTCTTGGGGTAAACACTCTAGATCCCTATCGAAGTCAAGAGTCTGAGCAAGCGGCGAAAATTCAAAAACTAACTGTGAAATTTGTAGTTAGGGTGATTTTAGCGGAGAATAGAGAGAATGCGAATACCTCCTACTGGGTAGATTCTTAAACACGTTTTTATGATTCTCCCGCTGAATATTTCATTTGCGCAAATCGGATTCGTGAATGAATTTTTTGCTCTCATTAAATTCATGGCAAAAATGTTCATTGACTTGTTCTTATCTCGTTCTAATTCAGTGTGAAATACCGAAAAAGAATCTTCTCATATCTGTGAAAATTCGATAAGAAAAAAACGTGATCATTCCATTACGATCGTATGCTTATCGATATTTTCCATCTTTTTCCTCAATTTACCGAAGCGTAACATGAAGAAATGAGCTGGAAATGGGAATGGTGGAGAATTTCGCACGAAAAACGAAAGTCTTATCACACGATGACACAATTGTTGTGTCGCTTTTTAAAACAAAACATTTATAAAAACATGTCTGTTAGACTATGGATGCGCGCGCGTGTTCATTACATATTTAAATAATTGTTATGGCATTCCATTTGTATTTTTTAAGTGACATAATTGTTGTTGAAAGATCGCATTAAGACACGAAAAATATTTTCTTTTCCTTAAGCCTACGGATCATCGTCACTTGACTTCATAAGGATCAAACAATTTTGTTGTTCGATTCTCAGCTTGCTCAAATCGATGAGCTGCTAACAGAAATGTCTATACGAGATTTAACATTGTGATGTAACTCAAGAGAAATAAGAAAAGCTGTGAAATAATAGCGGTACATTAGAAAAGAACATTAAAGTGAATTAGTATCGATCAGCAGGTGTCATTTGTTTAATTGAAAGTATTGGTCACCTTGTGAGAACGTAATCGAATGATGACAATAAGGTTTGTGCCACTTCAATTAGGTCAATTAACGATATCCTGCTGTATTGGAGAGATCAACATATAGAATTTTCTGTTTTTTATTTGAATTTAGATAACGTTGCTTCATTGATGTCATCATCTCCAATTCAAATTGTTCCACCAAATCGTCGTAATATATCTTTATGTTCAGTATGTGGCGATAAAGCAAGTGGCAAACACTATGGTGTAATGAGCTGCGATGGTTGTCGCGGATTTTTTAAAAGAAGTGTTCGGTAAAAATTGACTTTTTTTTCTACAATTTTATATTATTTATTTATTTTCTTTTTTTTTTGAAAGACGCAAATTAGAATATAAATGTAAAGGTGATTCAGCGTGCCAAGTTGATGTCAACCGACGAAATCAATGTCAAGCATGCCGTTTTCAACGTTGTTTAGCTGTCAAAATGAAACCGAATGGTGAGAGCTATTTACATCTGAGTGAATAGCTAAGCTAGTTGAATTTATTTACTCATCATTAAAGAAAAAAGCTTTTTTTCGAGTGTCTTTTATACTCATGAAAACATATTCCAATGGTACTTTTAGCTGTACAAAATGAACGAATACCACGTCATGGATCTAAACGAGTAATGCAAACTCCTTCAGTTTCTCGAGTGCAATCTTGGACACCGCCAGCTGTAGGGTATGTAGCAGAGTCACTTAATAAAGTGATGATGCCATTTGGTTTTCGAAATATACCTATGAATAAGTAAGTAGTTATTTGTTTCTTTTTTCTTTGATACCTATTACGTAAGTTGTTATTTTATGTTTTTATTGAAGCCGTAACGTCAATAGAAGAGACTTGAATGTAGAAATTTATTTTTTTGTTTTTGTTTAGTACATCGTCTCCAATATGGTCCGCGTCTCAAATGTTTCTCCCCCAACAATCTTTTAATATATCGAAATGCAGTACATCATCGGATATTTCAAATAATGACGAAACGCAAATATCAATAAGTAAAAATTTCGCAAAAGAAAAATTTTTCTTTTCGTTTAAATGCGACTTTGTTATTTTAGATGAAGATAATTCATCACGAGTTCTATGCGAAATAGCATCATTCGTTTTACTTGAATCAATACGCTGGCTTTATTCAGTACCATCATTTAAAGCACTAAATGAATTCGATCAATTAGTATTAGTTGAACAATCATGGTCGATGTTATTTATTTTAACATCGGCTGAAATGAAAAAATTTATTGATCAAAGTAATTTTATTTTTGAGAAATAATAGTTAGTTGTTTAATTGAAATATTTCAGATGAAATTGATGATTCAGGCGATGATGATAGTCCGTATCAATTGTTTCAATCAATGATCAAAGAATTTATGATTCATTCTATTGATCAAAATGAATATACGCTCATGAAATTGATAGTTATTTTTAATAATCGTAAGTTTTCATAGATTAGAAATTAGAAATAGTTATTATTTTTTCTCTGTACTATTTAGCAAAACGACATGAACTTCATGATCCATTAATAATTGAAAAGTATCATAAAGATGCTTTATTTATGTTAAATGAATATACGAAAAATTCAAAATATCGTCGTTTAGCTGAACTTCTTATGTTACTATCGAATCTTCAAGAAAAAATCGTTCAGATTAATTTAGATAAGATCTTTTTTCAGCATTTAATTAATCGTATATCAATGAAAAATCTCTTACATAATATCATTCGTCATCTCACTGCATTTGTTCAATAAGCAAAATAAACTCATATTGTCATTTTTTTTTGTACATACAAACTTCGCATATGAATCTTGTCGTTTTTTAAATAATGAAATGACTTCTATTGATTATTTTTGTTTGCTTGTCAAAGTCATAATAAAATACAAAGATGAAGTATTTATTACTTCGGATGTCTAATGTTGAATTTTGCTGCTGAAAAACAAAATATCAAATCACTTGCACTATTTAGAGAACTACAAGTCAGACCGGGATTCGGCCCAGAGGTGTAACTCATAAAATTTGTAGAAAAAGAAAAAGAATTGTCATCAGATAGCATCCGGTATCGGAAAGTAGATTTTGTTTTTGTCGAAAATTTACTATTACGGGAAGTTGTATTTTAAATAAATTGACTTTTAATGCGATATATAAATATAAATAAACTATGAATATTTTGGTGACGATACTGAATTGTACTGAGAGTAGTTTGTTGTAGGAATTTTCAGGTCTTTTGATTTGTTTCTATTTTTAAAATAACAACATAAAATCTTATAGACTATAAGAAAATGACGTTAAAGAGAAGAGACGCTATCACTAAGAAATAATCACAATGAAGTACTTTTGTTAATGTCTGTTTCTATGTAAAAAAAAAGTTCACAATCTTCTTTTCTGGTCTGCCTCGAGAAACCAAATCATCCGTTAGAAAAGCGTCTTACAAGTGCAGTAACTACATAGCGATAATAAGCTCAGAGCACGAACTCTTTTCAAGGTATTCATCCTTCGTTCGAATCTGAACAATACAAATAGAGCCGAAACAAAAGCGATCTATCAATTGAAGGGCTTCCCTGAAGGCGAAGAAGTTCAAGTTCTTTTTTTTTTTCAATATAAAATAGTATCAGTTACGATCAAATTCTCGTCTTGATTAAGAAGTAAAATATCAAGTCGAGGATAAAAATATTGCAATTCAAAAAATAAAACATTAGCTGCCGGACATAGCGATTTTATACTTTATCGATCAATCTCTCCAGAAAGTAAACAAGCTGAAAAGCAAGCATAATAATTATGAACATTCTTGAAAACTTATTCAACAATGAGACGATCTCGTTGATGAATACCTTGAAAATGTAATCTTTTAATTTTCTAAGCATTTAATTATGAGAAATAAAATTTTCAGATTCAGCGATTAGTCAGATTGTTGAATTGCGTCGCTGTTTAAGAGACGCATGAAATTTTAATTACAAGAAGTAAATAGCAATATTTTTCTATGTTACATATATTGCTCATAAATCATCGATTGCTCGAGAGAATATCTTGAGTACTATTATACACATTTAGAAACATAGCCTTGCTGATGAGTTGATAAATGTACTACGAGGAAAGTTAATTAATCGATATCCGTAATATATGCGCAACAGTTCGGAAAAAGAGAAACGTTTTTCAATAGAAAATTCGATTAGGGTGCGAGTGAAGCAAAACTCTAAAGAAATGTCCGATGACTTATAATATACATCATGACTATTGGATTACTATAGAATTTTCTTTCTCAAACATAATTAAACGAAGTTCTACAACTTATACTTGAATAATTCTACTGTTCTGTTGCTTTTAATAAAGTATTACTCGACGTCGCATAGCTTGGCAAGAAAACGAGAATGACTTATTCGCTAAAAGACAAAATTGCGTCATATATATATATATTAGTTTCTTGTGATAATATAATCGATTCTATGTGATCAATAAATTTTCATTGTGAAATCATAAAAAGCTTTAGCTAAGACAAAATTGATAGAAATATGGATCTTACTATTCATTTAAATGTTAACACAATCTGAACGACTGTAGAAAAAACAAAAGAAATAATGTGTGTTTGTGTAACATTTTACGGCATAGAAATTTTGCTCGTTGTGCATGAGAAATATTTTAGATGCTTTCTTTTCTTTTCTTTTCTTTTCATCAAAAATAATTTATATTTATTATTTTGAATATTCCATTAGTTAGTATTTATTTTTAGGAAACTTCAAATGACTTTCATAGAACATAGATCAAACTAAAAATTTTTGTATGTTCATTTACTCTATTCTGGTGGTTTTTGTTTCATATATATATATATATATATATATATATGTGTATCCTTTTTTCATAATCGGCAGTACATCAGCTTGAGGATATAATTTATCCGAGAAAAATATAATATTATCATTGGTTAACAGCAGACATCTGGCTCCTCTGTACTTGAGTCTATCCTGTAAAAATCATTTCAATATTTCTCTGCTCAATTCTTTATAGACTCAATATTGACTTTTAAGAAGCATTCTTGTCATAATGAAAAAACAATCGTTTTTAACAACTCCTTTTGTTCATGCTAGGAGTCAGCTATGTAAACAAAGCGAAGTAGTTAACTGTTTGTTTACATGAGGATAATATTGGCTTCAGCATGTGTATATGCATTGTATGGGTGAGAAGAAAATGACAAGAACATGATTTTTTTTTGACGGATCCGAAAAAGAACTACGTAATTATAGTCATGATTCGCTTTCTTCACAACAACATAATTAACATAAAAATCCATTGTTTTTCATGGGATGAAATGAGAAAAAGAATCTTTTTAATTAATTTTTTTTATGGGCGGAGAGTACCTGTAAGACATCGAAAAGATTCTTGAGTAAACGAATAAAAGCATAGTGCTCGAATAAACAAAACAAAACAAAAATATTCTTTTACTATGGAGTTTAGTACTATATAATGTTACGTCAAGTTTCACTTGAACTTTTCATCTTTGCAAGCAAAACAAAAAATATTCTTGATTTTTTTTCCTCTTCATTCTTTTCTTTCAATACAAACAACCGTTCTCGTTCTGAAAATTAAAGAAGCCATCTCAAACACGCCAGTCATTCATTTTTATTCACACGCAGCAGTTTTTTACTTTATTCACATGGCTGTAACAGCCCTTGTTTCACCAGCAGCAATTCGACAACAAATCGAACAACAGCAACCGCCACCTTATATCTTACAAAGTTGGCGTCGTGAACAGCCAAATCTAAATGATCATTATCTATTGCGGCAAACATTTTTAATTGCACCTGATACAGCCGTACCATTCTCTAGATTACGTCAACACATAAGAAATATTTATGACGAACGTTCACGGCCGGTGATTGTCGTTCATTATGATCCATGGGCGAAAGAAGCGATTACTGCATCACGTGCTAAAACAGCGTCGACGTCAACATCAACATCAACGACCGGCTTACTGCAAAATATGGACCTTATAAGAAGTCATACAACAATTTAAGATTATTTTTTTCTTTTTTGAATCTATGAACATTTGATTATTTATTTAAAAAGACACAGATTATTTGTCCTTCATAAATATCTTCTTGTTTTCTTTTTGTTCCAATTTTGATAACACATATTTTAATCATATGGCAAGCAGCTGTTACTTGTGCTGGAGGTGCAATGATTCGTAAAAGAATCACGGGCATGTTCTGCTTTCACATCTGATTTAGTTACAGCTACAAATAGTCAATGGTGATCGTTCGCTCGAACGGCGATTAGTATAGCATCCTTTATTCGATGTAGCCTACTTGTGAATCAATGAATGTTATACAGAGAAATCCTTCGAGTAAAAAAAGAGAAGAAAGAACTCACAAACATTTTTCTGGACGAGTTGATGACTAGAACATTAGACATGACAATAAAGATTGCCTATGGATTAAGCTTTTCAGCTATATTCTATTCCGATTATCTCATTATTGAATTGTTTTCCGCCATTGTAATCATGAGAACTTAATGGGAAATCAACCGAGAATGATGATGTGAGACTGCTTTAAATGAAATGCATCAGATCTGTACGAGTGCTTAATCATAAGGGAGAATATGTTTTTCTTCATCGCACGTTCAATCTTGTTTTGTTAAGTTGTGCGTGTAGATGCATGCAATTAAGGACTGTGATGAACAATTTCATCAATAAAAGAAAGTCAGTAAGTCGATATATTATAGAAGAGTGACAAAAAAAGGAGAAGGCAAAGCCAAGTCGACGGTCCGCTAATAAATTGTGTTTTTTTTCAGTTTTTCTTTCCTTTTCTAGTCGTATACTAGTACTCGTGTATTTTCTCTCTTTTTTCCTTTTCCTCTTTTTCCTCTTGTATTCTTCTTCTCGATTTGATGCCAAACGGTCTCTTGCTTGCTCGTCTAAAAGACAAAAGGTTAACACTTAGTACTACTAAGCAAACGCGCTATCAGGGACACGCAAACACAAACAAAAACAGACAACGACAAGAAAGAATCATTCAATTAGAACCAGAAAGACGTCAACAGGCATGAAAGACGTGTGAGTCTTCATCAGCGTATACTCAAGAAAACATTCAATTTGCACGTTTCACAGTAAGTAATAGTACGTTTCTCGAACAGGGAATAAGGATTCCGTTACTCTATCTGTGAATGTTTGAGTATACTATGGTAGCATCTGGCCAACGTTAGACTTTTCTCTCAAGATGGCAGCGATAGCGATTATCCTTGTATTCACAAATGATGATATTCTTCGTCATCGTCATCTATAACAAACTCACAAGGTTATCATAAGATGAATAGAAAAACTGTTGAGAGCATCGTGTTGATAGATCGATTTGAACTAACTATCTATGTGAAGAAAACACTAGGCTACACGTTTTGTACTTGTTATTCAATCAAGCATATTTGTAGAATTCTTCGAGTGACATATTGACATCAAGATTTTGATAATCTTTTTTTTCTGTTTATTCATTTTAAACTTGCACGTCAACGCTCTTCTTTCTTTTTGTACTGTTGGTTACGTCAATGAAACTAATCGAAAGAGAATTACCAAATATGATCGTTATGTCATCAATTTTTCTTGTCTTCTCAGATGACTTTATGTATATTTCATCAATATGGACAAATATAACTAGACCGAAACATAGCTTAGCGAAGAGAAGAAAAGAAAGTTATATTGCGCAGGAAAAGAGATGTTGTTGATTGACTTAGCTCATCTATCTTTTTTTTCTATTTGTCCCTATTTTTCTATATCCCGCTCTTTTCCCTTCTCTCTCTCTTACTGTTTATATGGACATATCAGCATTGGTTTTTTCACGACATGCATAGAAAACTGAGAGACCACACAAATCATTGCATATTTTTTAATTTATTTATCATGATAGAAGAAAAACTCTCATAGAACAAGCCGATCCCTGTAGTCAATGCATAACAATCAAGATACAATTAATTAGAAGAAAAATCATGCTTAAGAGTATCATAAAATAAACCACTGAAGGCAAATCAACAATAGAAATGAATGCCATTCTCCATTATTACCGGTAGGATTATCTTTATTATATTTCCTTTTTTTTTGATTCGTCAAATATAAATCATAAATAAGAATCTTATTGTATGTTGTTATTAATTAGATTTATTACCTTGAGAGTTCTGTTTGCTGTTCAATGTATTTCGCACGTGTCACCCTCCGCCATTTTGTCCAGCAGAAATATTTAATTCTCTGGAGATGATCTTTTATTCAGAATTATTCAAATGATCTAATTAATCTACAGGTCCATGTGTTGTATGCATAGGCTCCATAGACAAAAATGAATAATTAGATTTCGTGCATATATTCGAATTTATTATTATCATTACCGATATATTGGTTGTTGTTTAAGTACAAAACAATAACCGTCGCTAAAGGACAAAAGTGACAATCCATCGTTATTATTGAGTAAAATACGTCTATCTATTCTTCTAGCTAGAAACAACGATCGATGATTATACGATGCAGTTGGACATATATGAGTGACATTATTTGAAAGAGATCTCAGATCCTTTTAGTAAAATGTCAATAGGATATCTTCGTCGTAAAAAAACATAATTGAATAAACATTGCATTGAAACCTACTTCTTTTTCTTGTACTACATATAAGCGCTTGCATAATAAATATCCTGAAAAGTAATGATCTGTAACAAAAAGTATTGCAGACTTTTCTATCGACTAGATAGTTCGTTAATATTTCTACTGTCAATAATTTGGAGGTCGTACGATAACATGAGATAGACTTATTCTCATATTAAATATTTTCCTATTTTGAGCTAAGCCGCTCGGCGAGCCTTCATAGAATGTGTAATTCCCACCTGAAATAGTGGCGCATATGTAAATTATCAAAATTTTAATTGTCCTAAGTGCAAATTAAGATAAATGAAGTGCTGGAAATTTTTTTCCTGTCATTCTAACATTTACTGGATTAAAATTTGATCTGTAGAATAGCGAGTAATACAATTTTCATGGAGCATACAATAGAATATTAAATATGAAATTTGTCACGTATAATAATCAAATCCTGAAATACGATCTAAATGCTTGGCTTTTTCCTTTAAAAAGTATTCATCTTTCACGCTGACTAAAAAGCAGCCATTGTCTAATTTAGTTAGTTCTTATTATCTGAAAAGAAAAATCCAAAAGAAAAAAAAAGAACAGATTGTATTCAACTGAATAGAATCTTTAAAGCAGTACTCTCAAGTAACAAACAAAGAATTTGACATACATTGTCTAGATGATGAGCAAGAAAGTCATCGACTGGAAAATAAAAACAACCATAATGCAAAGTAATGAATGCAGCAATTAAGAAAAAACTTGAATAGTGAAGTGCGGCTAACGGAGCACGAAAGAATTGAAGTAACTGACGTGGCTCGAATAATCCAATCTCAAATAAATGAGCGCAATATAACAAAATGTATAGAAACAATAAATGAACATGTAATAGGATTAGGGCTAAGTTGTGAGAAGAATATATTGATTATAATGATGTATAAAAATAATTTTAATTGGCCGAAGAATATTACCGTTGAAATTCGAATAACAGTGCTAAGAATGAAATAGTTTTTTTGGCTGCAAATCATTTTAATATCGTATTTCCGTTGACCTCGATAGAATCTGTTTCTTTTCGTATATGTTAGAACTTTCACGTGATACCGACAAAGTTTTATTTCAAAGTGTTGCATGTGAAGAATTCAATTGATGAATTATGACAAAACTATAATGACCGTTTTCCTATGATATTATACGTGACATCGTTTTTTCCTTCTTCTCTTCTTTTGAAAGCCACTAAACTGTTTTCGTCTTCTATAAGTCATAAAACATGAGTGAGTTAGTTAATTTGTTTCTCTCAAGGATTTCATTAAAGCTCTACATGAATTTTTCTCCTGCGGTTGTTACTATTCATATTATGTATGGCTTTCTCAAATACTATTCTTTCTCTTAGACTCAACGAATCGCTGCGATGAGAAAAAGAAGAACACTAGATGCAATTATCTTCTTATAGCTCTTTTTGTTTATCGTCCTATTCAAGAGACTACTTGTTAATAAAATAAATGTTCTAATCATAATTGGATTTTTCGATGAAAACACTCCTGATTCTATCGATTATGATTGAGATAAATAAAGAAGAAGCTCTTTTATTTTCTATTGGACACAAACGAAAAAATAAGAACAACGAGATTTAGAAGTCTTTTTGTTGATATAAACACGATAAGATTCTTGTTACGATAAATAGAAATTTATACTGTAACAAGAAACTTTTATTTTTCTTTCTCCTTGACGTATCGATTAATTATCATTAAATAGTAAGAGTAAGTGCGACCTAACCCTTTAACACGCATTTGAAATCAATTAATCATCTCCTAGATATATCAGAATACATTTACAGTAAATATATATTTAGACAATTGGAAATAAGAATATTCTAGATCCTTGTTTATTGTTTAATGTACGATAATCAAATATGTAGTTGCTTATGAATAGAACAATTTTAATTGAGTAATCAATTGCATTATCACAGGTGACATGGAGATGGAGAAAACTTTCTCAACCAAAAAATTCAGTGTTTTGAATAGATGTAATTTCAATGACAACCACACAATAAAATTTATTGTAAGAAAATATCAAGCAGATCTATGAGTTCCGGAACGTTGATTTTCAATAGAAATATGAAGTATAATGAAACTCTGGAAACGGATTACAGACGACATCTAGTGTCGATGTTGTAATACTGATTAGTAAATTATATTTTCGAAGATATTGCATTTGTGGAAAGACTTTTCATGACATAATAAATTCTTTATGTTGACCTCATGAGAACAAAGAGATTTTTCAATTTCCTCACACAATAATGGTTACGAGTGTATCCAAACAAATCTCGTGTAGATTAGCACTTTTGTACCGCATTTATATAGAACGGTGTTGACATGGGAATTAGCTTTGCTTCTATTTTAAAACTTGAAAACGAATGTTTA